TCGAAACACTCGTTTGAACGCTTGTTCAACTGTCAAATACACACTGCGGCAAATCACTCCCCATCCTAGTAAACCCACCTTCGATTACAGCAGTCGAGGAGACTCGCATTCCATTCCGTTATCAGCCTCACAACCGGCGCTCTCAGTGCTACTGAACGAACACAGTAATCAATCGCTCTTTGCCTCGCTCTTGAATTTCTCCAATTTCTGTCGAAATGAAGAGAGATCCGCATTCCATTCTGTTATCAGCCTTACTAAGGGTGCTCTCACCGCTAGATAATGTACGCGCCGACCTAGAGCAGTCGAATTGAAGCATTTCATACCTTGATTCATTCATATTCGATCTTGGTATCAAAGGTACGCCGTAACAAACCAATTTTTGCCCACCTCGCAGTCTCATTTTCAATTAGGGTGGTTGACCCTTCCGTCGCTTCGCCCTTGGGCTCGATAAACGTTGCAACAGCATCCTTTCCCCCTTCTCTTTTGACCCTCCAACATCGCAGCAATAAGACGTCAACCATACCGGCTACGGCTGCGTGTGCAGCGTAGCAATGTGCCCATGAGGTACTTAGTCGGATGTCTGCTGTGTGCCATAGACGGCCGTCGCGGCCATCTGGAGCCTCGAGGAGAAGCTGCACACTCAAGCACGTTTGGTGAGGCAATTGGGGCTATGTGTCACCTAGGGCGCCGTCGCTCCCTCACGCGACCCCAACCATGTTGCACCTCTTGGGGGCATGCTACAGAGACCTTGCAATTACCGCGGTTTTGGCATAACAAATGTTCCTTCACCCTTTACATGCCAGTCTATTCTAGTCATAAACCAGGCGAGCGAGCGCAGGGAGGAAATTAACGGCAGGTGCCAAGCCCTTGTGAGCGACTGCGTGAAGGCATTAAATAGCCACTGTCCGTCACCCTCCTTTCATTCCCTACCATCAACTACCTCCCTGATGTCTGGCACTCTTTTTGACGAAGCCCAGGTTATATTCCTCGCAAATCCGAGCGCCTCCAACGTTCACGGTCGTCCAGATCGGGGCTCGACCTGGTTAGCGGTATCATCAGGAGATGGCGAAAGTTGTGTCACAATTCGGCGCGAACACGGTGCAACCTTCACCGTGATCATGCTGTATAAAGAGGAGGTGAGTAACCAATGACCCGTACTCAACTCATCTTCTAACTACCCCACTAGGCCTTTGCTACCCTTGAACACGTCCAAAGTGTTGAGGCTGACATCGACATTATCTTTTATGATGTTGGAGATTACTGCAGTGTATACGACCTTGTGGAGGGGACCGTAATTGCCCTCGCCTCCAGCGGTCGATCCAAATCTTGGCCAGGTATGAAAGGATCATTTACTTTGTCCTCATGCTAACACACTCCTTCTTTAAGTCACCAAGGGAAGGATGGTAGCGGTGGGCGACCACACTCTTAAGGTATACACTGAAGGCCCCAACCCGCCACCGAAGGAGTTAGCATCGCTCGAAATACAGGTGAGTCACTTGATATTGTGTGTGTTTCTTACTGACATCAGTTCAGCAACTCCGTGACACAATTGACGATGCCTTGAATACTTTGCAAGATGAGGGATCTACCCTGCGCGGACGTCGTCAGGCAAAGATCGTTGCGGAGATCACTTTAGCCAACTTCATTACATTGATTTTCAGATTTTTCGCCTCCAAGTAGTGCTATTTTCGTTTACATTCCCTAATACATCGGACACTCAACGCTAACTCGGGAGGACTGGAGTATGCGCCTCCGGCACGAAAGCTGGCGCTATGTTTCCCTTTTATAGTAGGCTTCTAACCGCTGACCTTTCCATAATGGGCAGGAATCTCATTTACCCCACGTGAGTCCGAACCGCGGGACTCCGCGCTTCTCTCATCCTTTCCAGTCGACATGCTGTGCCTGCCGCTCGAGGAGCATGAGGTTTCTGAGCTTCTGGCGTTCCTACAAAGATCTCCCAGCCAATACACTTCCCTTCCACTAATTCGGCAACGACTCAGCGCGCTGTCGGACCCAGCAGAACACGAACACGCGACGGAGCAAGGGCGCGCGACCGACAATCCACTCGCTGTCGAGCCTGTTGAGCATGGGGTGGGAGCACCACAGACTTCGGTTTCGGCTCCCTGGCCAACACCGTCGCCTAGTCCTGAAGCCCAGGAGGTATGTCTTTTGGCCCCGCACCTCCAGTTCCGTCAGGTTTGAAATCTCCGGCAGAGATTAGTTTCCCCTGCGAGCGTCGGCACGGAAAGTTCCTATGGGTTCAATTTCCCCTCAGATTCTCTGAGCCCTGCTCTATCAACGCCTAACCGCAAGCGAGCACAGACCTTGGTGGCTAGCCAGGAACCCTCATCGTCGTCGGACCCAGGTCGTCCTCCCAAGCGGGCTAACGCCGCATGCAATAGGAACAGCAACACTAACTGGGCTCCCACTGCCGTCGCTGGAGTCCGTCTGTCGCAAAATGCTCTGAACGTCTTTAACAACATCATTACCGCAGCTGAAGAGCTTAGACCCCTGGATGCATCAAATTGGGGCTTTCGGATTGCAGGCTATCTATTGGACTATTCTGGTTCTCAATCGGCCTCGGCCTCAGATCGCCTTTCTACTCTGGACGGGCTAGTTGTCAACATTCACAAGATTGAGGGTAACAGTCAAGGGGCTAGCGTGGTGCGCATGCTTAGATTGATCCAGCTGGCTGGATACGTCGACGTGTATGTATTATTTCCTTTCTTTTGAGAAACCCATACCTGAGCAAGACGTAGATTGCGGGAAGGAACTACATCTAGGGCCCCTTCCTCCGTAGCCGACATAGCCCGGATTTCTTGCCAAAGTCCAAGTATTTCACACCTGGGCATCGTTGCACGAACTTTCCAGGATTGGGTGTCCTTCGGCAGGAAATATGCCTCTTTGGCAGCGGCTAGTGGGTCTTAACCTTTCCTAACTCTAGTGGTCGTTGATACGATCGGAGATACAGGCTCCCTATACATCCTTTGGGTGATCGCGTCAAAGCAACTCGTCACTGCCACTCAGACTCTCCCTATGCAGGAAATCAATTGCCTTAGTAATTTGCTACGAAACCCAAGTCAAGGTGTGTTCGTGTGTCCTCTTCGCATCCAAGGAGCTCAATGATTACAGAAAGCAAATACGGAAAGTCGGTGAGAGGGACAATCATTCCAGCAATGTCTAGCTTGCGAAAATCTCACCCTCTTCGCCTCACCAACGTCTTCGGGCCAGAGTTTTTGCAAGCAGGCGAAACGGATTTGGACTTCACTGACCTGATGGCCACGGAGAAGGTTCTTGACGCATTGAAATCGAAGTACGTTCATGTTTTCCTGTAGTTCATTGAGGCTTTTGTTGACGTTAGAACTTCAGCGACTTCGCGCCTCTCCCCAGATGCAGAGATGCATGGCTACCATTTCTCTCTAAGTTGGACGCACTCCTTGAGGTCGATCTTTACTCTGTCACGGCCAGATCACTAGGCGGCCAAGGATGCTCTCCCCCACCTTCAGCATTCTACGAGGCCCAGGTAAAAGTTTTCCAGGCGGTGGCTCGTCTGCCAGCAGCCCATACCTGTGACATCATTGAGGTCGATTTCGATGCCACCGCCAACAAAGTCCAGTTAAACTCCGACCGTTGCAAAAGAGTTGCTAATACAGTCAAACAAAGGTCGAAGGCATCCAGGGCTCTTTTGGTACGTAGCCTGACTGATCTGCGAAAGAAGGTATGATTCTTTGGCATTACCAGACAACCAGGAAACATGCCTTACTCGTTTCACCTTTCAGCTCTCTAGCTTTTACAGCATGGGTAAAAAGGTTCATGACAACGAGTATCTATACCTGTCTTTCAAAGACATCCAGCCAGAGTAAGATCATCATGCTTTATTTCCTTATTCATTACGCTTACCTTATTTACATCCTAGCAACAAACCCCTGCTAATTCGTTCTAAAAGTCCTGATTGCAAGGGAAATCTTGTTCTTCTGCGCGGCACTTTATCAGAGGGCCTCAAGAAGAACCTCCTCACAAAGTTGATGGGCATATTTGGCGACCTCAGCAACCGAATCCAACCTATCAACAGGGGAGAGAAAGAACTAAAAGTCCCTTTCCTTGGTCTCCACTTTGACTGGTACAATCGTTACAGCACCAATGTACGTAGGTTTAATACCTCTCTGAATAATTTACTGGCTAAGTGTTTGTTTTACAGGGAGACGATGCACCTGACGATATTCACCCAGCTGAGCTTAGCAAGCAGGGTCTCAAAAGGCGATCGACATTCTCCCTGTTTGTGCCGCGACCGTCGGAAGAAATGAAGAGGTTTCCAAAGGCGTACGAGGCACTCAAGGACAACTTTGCCCTGGCTTTTGAGGAAATAAGAGATATAGTACCTTCCCTTCCACAATTTGCTGAATGCCCCAAGTCTGACGCCCTAATTTTCATAGCTGCAAACCTTGGTACCCAAGGAATACAACATAGAGAAGATCTTTGCAGAGTTTCTACCGGGCGATGAAGTCTCCCCTGTATTTCCCTTCAGTGGTGTCGTGGTCAATCTCAACGTTCAAACTATTGAGCACCGTGATGGCATGGACACTCTGATGTGTCTTGTTCTTGCTATAGGAAGCTTCAGGGATGGAGACATATGTCTACGGGAGGCTGGCTTGCGATTGCAGCTCAGGAATGGGGACTGGCTTGTCTTTGACTCGAAAAACATAACTCATTTTAACATGCCTTATGTAGGTGAGAGGGCGTCTTTTGTCCTGCACTCAGACAAAGCTGGAGAAAGCTGGATTAAGAACCGTAACGGTTGGATTAACAACTCTAGTTTCATGTAGATACATAGTACTTATTTTTGAAGTAATAGATTTCAAGAGAGCGGACAAACTTTAAATTCACCGATATTTTCAACAATATTCAGGGAGACTTTTCCTTACGTCTTTGGCATACCGTACCTCTTTTCAACGTTGACCTCTCTCTCCTTCCTCCATCCATCTTCCACCTCACCGCCCACTATGGCCAGAGTGACAAGGTCTAACACAGCTGCTGTCTCTTCACCACCCCCGACAAAGAAGGCGAAGAAGGGCAAAGGCAAGGCTGAGGCCCAGGATGAGGATGTGGATGACTCGGGCGTAAAGTCCAAGGCCAAGATGAAAGCACAGGCTACCGCCGCAAAGGTCAAGGCTAAGAAAGCTAAAAAGGCAGAGCAAGAAGCCAAAAGCAGTGGTACGTGCATCATGCTCAGGCAGTCTTAGCTCATGCTTTCTTGATGGCAGAAATCCAAAAGCGGAATGCAGATGTCTTATCCCGAGAGAACTCACAGGAGACGGGCCAGACTAGTCTCGGAAAGCGTTCCATATCATCAGCACCTGACAGAGTGTTGCCCAAGAAGCGGAAAACAGAGGAGGGTGTCCCTAACGCTGACGAGATAGATGGTCTTCAAGATGATGAGGCTAGTGCTAGCGATACTGCTGGTGATGGTCTTGCGGCCAGATGGAGGGGCTTGGCTCCCAAGAATGCGGCTAAGACCATATATTCTGAAGACGGTGACAATCAATGAACTGGTTCTCCCTTGATTGCTAAATCATGGCCTTTTGAGCAGATGAACCACCTGTGGAATTCAAGTCTAAGAAGCCTGAGGAGGACGAGGACGAGGACGAGGACGAGGACGAGGACGAGGAGGACGTGGACGTGGACGAGCCATCCGACAAGACCAGTGGCTCAGGCAGTAGCAGTTCCATGGAGGACGAGGAGTCAGATCTTGATGTCAAATCCAAGAGGCGTAAGTCGAAGAAGAGCCAAGTTGAGGAGGACTATGACATAGAGGTTGTTTCACTGCTTTGCGTGCTAACCAAGCTAATGACTCTTCAACCAGATGTTCCCGTTGAAGAAGAAACCTCACAAGAGAAGCGCCCAGGTCACTTCCCTTTCTCTTTCACTAGAGATGAAGCTAACCAACATTTGGCAGACTGTAGCAGAGGATGGCGACGATGAGCTAGTTGGTCGCAGACGGGTTCTAAAGAGGAAGCGTGGTACAGGCCGTCGGAAGGGACGTCGTGGTCCTAAAATCAACATTGAAGACTTCAAACCTTATCCTGAAGCACGACACATTGCAATCAAGGCTAGGGAAGCCATGCAATGTCACATCTGTCTTCAAGAAGCCTTCCCACGCAACATCAATAACTTCATCTGGGACCTAGTACGTAGTACATGTGATTCTCCCAATGAGATCAAGTACCTCGACGGTCTGGAAGAGGCTGAGCTGGATGACGGCGATGATGATGAAGATATCAAAGCCATGTTGATTACCTATGTAAGTTCAATGTTGTCTCTCTCCCTTCAGAAACCTTCCAGCTTATCTTTCCCTCTTCACCGTCCCTCTGATGCTTAGATCAGCTACGTGGGACCATTGATGAGGAATGCCGTGAAGGATCGTGCCACCTTGTTGGCGCCTGGGAACTATCGGTTTCTTGGCCCAGGTTCAGACGCATCCAGCATTAAATCAAAGGTAGCCTTTCTGTTGGAAAAGGGTCACCTTCATTACGCTGAAGTGAACGCTCTGGTGAGTTTGTTTCTTATTCTCACTTGGATATGAGAATCACAACTTTCATTTAGAAGCGAAGCTTTGACGCTCAAGCTCCTTTTGGCAACAGTGCCATAGCTGATGTTATTCGAAGGGTATTCTTTGACGGCTCAGGCAGTCTGACAACCCAGATGGCCTTTGGCAAAATGCTGCAGCTTAAGGCCATACCGAAGGCTCTGCTCGCCTTGGTAATCGCAGCTGTGAGTTCCCTTCCCGACCTCGTCTCTTTAGTACTACGTATACTGATTATTTTTTGTTCAAGCTTCATCATGCAGTTAACGAATATCGTGATGGATACCGTACGGAGGTCAAATTCAAGACAAACATTGTCAGGCCTATGTGAGTAATATAGTACTCTGGTTATCTGTTCTGATTTGACTGAGGGTGATTGCAGTTACGAGCATTATATGGCCAGGCTTAATTATGTCGAGCAGAAGTCGCCAAACTGGTTCAAGAAGTTTCAAGAGTCTTTATGGCGTGATATAATGTTTGTCCATCTTTCGTCCATCCCTTCATTTCAAATGACCTTTGCATATCAGGAATATTTCCAAGCCAGGATTCTTGCATGCTCATGACTACGGTGAAGATCCAGCGGACGATTTTGATGAGGTGGATTTTGACGCCCTAGAGGCAGGCCCTGGCCGGTCAACCTCCAAGTCTAGTACTGCATCATGTACTTCATCTGTGCCTGCCTCTGCCGCTACCTCGTCTACACCTGCCCCTGTCTCTGCTTCTGGACTAGCTTCACAAACACTCTCCAGAAGTCCAACTCCAGTCCCTAGTGCATCGTAGATATCACTTCATTTCTGTTCCTTCCAGCATACATACATACTATACCTACCTTACTATACAAAGTCATCTAATACCCATTCTGCCCTGCTCCAGTATGCAAATGCCAACACCAATTTGGTGGTGATTTTATGAAATCAATGTGAATTATTTCTGTATTGCTCTAATACTACTCTTTGGTATACTTCCAAGCTTCAACATCTTCAACCTCTTGCATACAGGATATGATCTCTGGTGACTAAAGGCAGATTTTGATTTGGACTAAGTTCTTCACATGTCTTGCAATGGATTTCTATGTTGAATGATGGCTATGAAATCTTTTGATAGGTTGGACAGGTTTGATTGCTTTGAGGGCTTCGGTGGCTTTCAAGGATTTGAAAGGTTTTGGGTCTTTCCAATCTTTCAAGGATTTGAGAGGTTTTGGGTCTTTCCAATCTTTGGGTCTTTTGTAGGTGACAAACGACGTCAAACAAACCATACATTAGGATTAGCTCAGGGAAAGAGTCAACATTTATGTTCTGATTGCTTTAACATTTCGATATCCAGTTGAACCTTTGTTTGAAATCTTAGTTGGCTTGCAGAGGTTTAATGGCTCCTGTCAGCTTATTTATGCTCTGGGCAGCTTCTGTCGGGCTTCAAAGCCCAGGGGGTTTTTCCTGATGTAGCCGTCCAGATGATATCAAACGGCTGGCGCATGTACGACAGGCGGTTACGCTCACAGGTCTTGGCTCGCCACGCTTCCAGCAGATGGTGAACAACTCACGCCGCGCATACTCGATGTTCAGTCGTTATACGCCAAATGCAAAGCTGCTTCCCTGTCCGGAGTTTCTGGGCAAGGAGGGCGGGAATCAACAAGAAGACTCCGAGCACCTCACTATAATGGCTAGCAACAGGTTCTTCACACCCGCAAAGCAATCAACCGGTCTCGAGGTCGTTGACATCAATGCCGAGATCGATCCCCGTGGGATCCTCTCAAAGGTGGACCACACCAAATTCCTGCACACCGAGGACAACACCGTCGAGTATTATATCATAGCCAACGAAGAAAATGGGACAAGGCAAGCACTCATATGCATTGACGACCTGAAGCCTAACGCCCCCCAGGTACATTCCCACTACTCCAATCATATTCCAGATCGGAGACATAGTTGAAATTCAAGCATCGATGACGTGTATCCCGAACAAGGGAAATTTTACGGTGAAGTTGCTCCTACGGAGCATCATGTTGCTAGACGGCGAACTAACTACGGTACGTCAACATCATCTGAAGTATAATCTTCGCGCTGATGTGACGGCCCTAGGACGCCACCACTGCGAGGACATTGGCTCCCGCCCCCACCATCGTACCAGCGGTAAAACGTTTGAAAAGATGTAACCCATACGCCGGAAGCTCTGGTACAGGTAAAGTTGGGTTACAGCCTTACGCAAGAATTGATGCCCAGTCCGAGGGGACAAATGAGGGAAGGGGGGGACACGCCGATGGCTTTCAGGAAGGACAGAGCGGTGCATTGGGGGACACATTCATGGACGAACAAGCATGAGCATTAACATAGACGTAGAGGATAAGGGTGTATACAGCTATTAGCTAATGATTGTCGTAGGCTACCAAAAGTGATTCAATCAGCCCCCAAGGTAGTGTCGGACGTGCTCTAAGGAAAAGGACGGGTGAGCGAGTTTGCAAAAGGTTTTCAAAGGGCAACACACCGAGAGCAAACCCGAGGACAGCATACCGGATAGCAACCGACGACGCAGCTTCGTCGATGCGAGACTTCAATAGGTAACATCTAAGCACAAAAGGGAATGGCAGAGGAGCATGGACTTGGACTCACGAGTACGTGACGACGAGTTTGCGAGACGACAGTACGAGCTTGCGTCGAGTCAAGGGAATTGAGGCGCCATCCGAGATGGTATTCAGCTCGGCGGCGAACAACATCATCGTTCAGCATGCTACAATAGAGACCCATGACTGAGGGAAGGGATGGATGCGGGACGGGATACATACCAGAGGGTGCCAGCAGCGTACGCCTCCACCAAGATGTGAGTTGTCGTACACTGGATGCTACGGAGCTGATGGTGGTCGAGAGTAACGGCGGCGGTGTCACCTCTAAACATTTTTCAAGAGCGGTTGTGGAGTCAAACGGAGGACCTTGAGAGAATGTGGAACAAAGACCAGTTGCTTCTTATCCGGTATGGAGCACTCCGCGAGGTCTGAGGGAGAATACAGCGGCATACAGAAGGGCGCGACACGATCCAACAGGGACGAGTGAATGGGTGGGACGACCGTACAGAGGAAGACGACGACGAGCAAGAAAGAAAGGCTATTAGGCGTGGCGAGAAGCATGGGGGAGAATGAGGGCCTGATCGAGATCAGTTCAGATCCCGATGAGCCGGCTACCGGGTATTGTGATACCCACCCTCTTTTGTAAGCGCCCGCGCACTCCGCCTAATGAAAAACGGATCCTTACATTTCACTTCGTTACATTCCAGGACCCGTAACCACTTCGGAAGTATAATTGCGATGTCATGCGACTGTCCACCGGCGCTTATCCCCTTGCTCGACGGTCTGTCTCTTTGAAGTTACTTTTATCACAAGTCCTCGATTCATCCCTCGCGTACAGATCACTTCTTCGCCATATCTGTACCAGGATAATATGACTTGGATCATCTCCACTGTTCACCCACTATTAGCTCACTGTCTGCGACTCTGCTCCGAACCCGAATCATCAACACAGGCCAACGAACGAGAAAAATAGCGTATATTGACCGCTCACTTTACGAGGCGATGATGCTTCGTGGAGGCGTGAAGACATACAGCCGTTCTAATGTAGCGCGTCGTTGTCAGCGTCGAGCGCAGCCGTTACGGAATTAACGGTTAAGCGAATGTTTCATGAGCACAATGACCAATGGGAGAATGGAGGGAAGGAGGGAAAGGATAGAACTGAGTTGGGGCAATGGAGACCGACCTGGTACGTAAGCGGAAACCCTATTCCCGTACCTTCTCCCCTTCTCAACGCCGCGCTCCTTTCCAACCTCCATCATCTCGACGACGAAGCTACGGCCAGGCTGCCTGCTCGCTCGCTCTGTTGCCTACAATGCCAACACCGGCATGGATATGCTTCGAGACGGAGCTTCTTCATGGACGAATCCAGAACGCCGTCGCCGTTGCGGCAGGTCATGAGTAACGGGCTTTCTACAACGTTTCAACGAGACTGACCGTAACGTCAATATTGACGCCAATGGAGGGCTTTTGCAGCAGAGTCGAACTACTCAAGGTCCCCGCTCTCAATTTGAATCTGACAATAATTGACAAACTTTCCCGGCGGATGAATGTCACAGAAGACGCTCGCCGTTCCCATTGGAGGCACGTTCGTCTGGCGTGGTGCGAGCATTACTTATAACTGCCTTCTTTCATCAGGAACTCACACATCGTGATTCTTACAATCATATGCACGGAGTGCCGATTCCTGCGCCGAACTCAGTGCACTTTGAGAATGTCGAAGTTCTTTAAATATCAGTTCTTAATATACGCCCGGCGCAGCCAATGTTGCACGGGCATCCTTGCTTCTCCAGTCTGTGGGATAGGGCTGCCTCTGTCTAACGCTTGCCGGCACACTTGCAATCCTCGTGTTCACCCCGCCCCCGAGTCGAATTCCTTGCCGCTGAAGGCGTATCCCATGCTCTCATGGGATCCCTGGTTGGAGTCAATACACCCACAGTGGCGATTTCGGAAGCTTCTTGCTTCGGCGTGTTGCCGCAACTCGCACAACCTTGCCGTACTACTATTGATCCTTTCGCAAGAATAGTGCGAGGTCGAGTTAGTACAAGTATACATACGCCCAAGCTAACCTGGAATGACTGGGTAACTTCACATCGTCGCCCTCCTACTTGTTTCCTGCTCTAGTCCCGGCGTCGACCAGGCCTAACGTCTCCTGCAGAGATCCAGTTGCCCGAAATTGACGATAACGACGGGATGGCATCAGGTGACGAAACGATAGCGAGGAGAACATCCACTGCGGTGGTGGAGGGAGAGGAGAGAGAAGTACAGCCGCAGCCACAGAGGCAGACGGGAAACCCAGCACTGATGTTGTCGAGGGAAGACATCAGATTGTTGAGCCTTACAGGTGTAAGCCTTGGTCGCCTCAGTCGTTCCTTATCCCGTACTAATCCCTTTCTCGATCCTTACCCAGACCGGCAACTTCATGGACGGTTCGTCGTCTTCGTTTCACCACTCTGAAAGCTAGCTCGTGCTCAGTCCCCTCCTTCTAGCATACGATTATTTTGTAATCAATGTAGGCTCTTCTATCCTGCACCTCGCTCTATTGCCCTGATGGGCTACTTAAACGTGGATGCTTAGCCCATATCTACAATGCTTCAATACGAGCTATTCGCCGGGGATTCACTCCCTCCCAAACTTGAAGGATTCCTGAAGTCGGGCGCGTTGATAGGGAGTGCCATTGGGCAACTGCTTTTCGGTGTGTACAACCCCATCCTTCCTAATCTTTCACGCAAATATAACTGGCTAATCTGACGTTAGGCTATCTTGGGGATGCGTTTGGAAGGAAAGCGATATGTTCGCATCCGAGTTCTTCCTTTTCCATCGTGTCTGACCTTGTTATGCCAATCGGATATAGATGGCAAGGAACTTTTGACGGTCATTTTTGGGACTATACTGTGCCTTTCAACGCCGACTGGTGAGCCGATTCCCCTTATCCTGTTCCAAACCCCTCGTCGTGACTCGATATCCGTACGCCAACAGGGATTCTCAGCCCATCCAACTCCCTCATTTACCTCGCATCGTTCCGTATCATCGTTGGCATTGGTATCGGCGGCGATATTCCCATGTCCTCGAGCATCACCGCCGATCGCACCGAGCCCTGGAAGCGCGGGACTGTCTTGGCGTATATTGTTTCGATGCAAGGATGGGGCAGCCTCGTTGGAAGTCTTGTCACCATCGTCGTCCTCGCGGCTTACAAACATGCCATCCATGATAACGGCGAAATCAACAAACTAGATGCAGGTGAGGGTCGAGTTCAATTATACGTGAAGCGGTATTGATAGACCATTGTCATCGACGGTGTTTGTTTAGTGTGGAGGATCACGATGGGCCTCTCGCTCGTCCCTGCGTTTGCGACCGTTTATCAACGGCTTACCCTCCCTGAGCCACCTCTCCACTCTGCCGCTCGCCGTAGATGCTTTGATAGAGTTGATTTATCGTTGAATGGTACCAGCGCTACCAGGGAACTTCAGAGCGAGGCCGAAGAAAAGCTACAAACCGATATCAACGTTTCGAGTGAGTCCTCTCTGACTACTCACTAGATATATATATTAATGTTTCGCTACAGTGGCAGATGTACCGAAACCGGCGCACATACGAGGTATGTTGCTACGTTGCACTCTCAGTACGGATCTGTGATACGACTCAATATACGTCCAGAATTCTTGGAATATCTGTCGGAGGGGGGCCACTGGAAGCATCTCGTTGGGACGTGTCTCTGCTGGTTCCTCACCAACATTGCGTGCGCCACACCCTCTCCCTGATGCATCTCTACTTACAGGTTGCTTTCGCCCCAGGTTTTACGGCGTGAACCTCAACCAAAACTTCGTTCTTGAGCAAATTGGATTCCAAGGCACCACTGGAACGCCCTGGCAGAAGCTTTTCAAGATAGCCACCGGCAGCTTGATCATTACGGTGCTAGGTTTCATTCCAGGTACGTACATGTTCCCTTTAATGGTACTGTATTGACATTCGGTTTGAAGGATATTACTTCACCATCTTCACGGTCCACAGACTTGGGCGAAAGTGGATCCAAGTCCAAGGTGCACTCATGACGGCTCTATTTAGTTGAGTAATAATTTGAACGAGGATCGTCCTTATGGCGGTTCCGGTGGGATTCTGACTGTTTATATTGTGTAGCGGCAATATTGGCGGCCAAGTTCCATTCGCTGGGCACGGTCGCGTTCATCGTGTGCTTCTCATTCTTACAGGTCAGCCCTTTCAAAGTATCACTTATCTAAACCAAATTCACCACGACGGTCGTCACATCCAGTTCTTCTTCAACTTCGGAACAAATATGTGCGTCTGCTTTGCGTTCCTTTTTGGGTGCTTCTGATTGTTTCATTAGGACGTCCTATGTACGTTTAGAACACATTCATGCCCTTCATTCACCCCAATCTTACGCCGTCTTGCAACCAGATCATCCCAGCAGAATTGTTCCCCTCGCGGTATAGAGCTTCCGCTCAGGGCCTCTCTGCCGCCTCCGGTCGATGCGGCGCCATTTTCTCATCGTTGTTCTTCAACCAGCTCAGCAAGAGTGTAGGTACTCCTGTCATTCTATGGAGTACGTGCCGTCTTTCCTATCGATCTCCGTCAACCACCGGCTGATTCATGGGTGTTCGTATGGTGGTTAGTCTTCTTTGCGGTGTCGCTTCTTGCAGTTGGTCAGTATTGTTCAGTCGTCCCGTAGTGACGTCGGCTGAATCTTGAGCACACTGCTTGCTTTTGACTTCCGTTTGCAGTTGTTACTCTGATCTTTCTGCCCGAGACAAAGGACCGTGACGCAGATGCCGTTTTCGAAAAGGAGATGCAAGCAAAAGCTGGATACGTTGGGTCTTCAAGAGCCGGAAGTAGAACCTCTGCATCTTGATAATTTCGAGCAACTGGCTTTCAGACTTCGGCTTCGATACAGGGTTGTTCGGTTTTATGCAAAGGTATTTACGGATCAGTATTCATACTCCTAACGAGTTCATCCCCTCGTTTAAGATGCCTATAGCGTTCCACGAAGTAGCAAACATAAACAACATAGATGAACATACATTTCCAAGCGCCGAACATCCCCGAGTCCTGGTTCATTTAGCAACATCCACGCAACTACCAGTCAAAGAAGACTTACCAGGCCACCCAATTCAGCAGCGAGTGGGACTTAGCAAAGTTTATGGGCCTCCATCAGCACGCTATCTCCACATAGGATCCATAATTTCCCATGCGTGAGACACAGAATTCGAGAACCGCAAAGAAGCTTTCATTGGGACTTCGAGGACCTCTGTCCAAAGCCTTTGAATAGTTTTCGCCCCCACGGATGCCGGGGCCCATGAGCCTGCATCGTATGATCCACTCACTAGCGTCGATGTGTCACCACCATCAAGAAGTAGTCGATGGCAGGCCCATGATATATATGTTACTCAAGGACGGCGATGTTTGAACACACGGCAATATGCCTCTCACTCTCTATGCATATCTGGCTATTCTCATGTGCGTTTCTTGGTGCATACGGCGCACCCGGCGGTCGGAGAAAGCCAATCTTCCGCTTCCGCCAGGTCCAAAGACACTGCCATTTATCGGGAATCTGTTGGATGCCCCCTCCGAATTTCAATGGATCAAGTATCACGAATGGTCCAAACAATATGGTGAGGGTAGACTATTTCGAAACACAGTTCACTCATTGATTAGCCGCTTGTCGAAACAGATTCAGATATTATCCACTTGACTGTGGCGGGATCGTCACTCATTGTTATTGACACGACTGAGGCAGCGAAAGAGCTACTCGACAAACGATCGTATATCTACTCGAGTCGGTATGCTTAAGATTCAAATGACCTTTTCTCAGTTCGCTGACGGGATTTCCCTCACCAGACCACGATTTGTGATGCTCAACGAATTGTGAGTAAGCGTCTTCGTGAACAAGTGGAGTTTTACAAGGACTTTAGGATGGGCTGGTCATGGCTATTCGCCATGATGGAATACAGCGACCGGTGGAAACAGCATCGGAAGCTCTTCCAAAAAGAGTTCCACTCCAATACCGCAACCTCTCGATTCAACCCACAAATACTCAAGCACACTGTCAAACTCCTGCAACGCCTCCTTGAATCCCCAGATGACTTCATGGAGCACATGAACCTGTATGTCTGCTTCTGTCGCTCATCTGGCATGTTAAACCTTACGTCGACGCAGAACTACCGTCGCAATTATTATGGACATCGGTTATGCCATTGATGTGTCGTCAAAGGAAGACCCCCACATCGTTACAGCCGAGAAGGCTTTAACTGGGTTGAATATTGCGTCTCTCCATGGTGCATTCCTCGTTGAATCTATACCTTTACTCAAGTATGTTCCGTCATGGATCCCTTGGGCAGGGTTCCAGAACAAGGCCAAGGAGTGGAAGCGCTACACAGACAAAATGATTAAGGATCCTTTTGCGGTGGTGAAGAAAAGGATGGTACGTGCAACCATGTGCTATCCATTGAAACCGGGCGCCACTTACCACCGAGGATACATGAATTTAGGCCAGTGGAATCTACCAACCTTGTTTCACTTCGCGTCGTCTTGAAGATATAGATGAATCGGGGGATATCGCCCAACAGGAGCGTCTCATTCAAGAAACGGCGGCCAATCTTTATACTGGTACATCATCCCTCCCTTCTATGTCGCCTATTTGCCAACACTCACTATCACTTGCCTACTTGAATAAGCTGGCGCTGACACAACCACGTCGGCGATGATTTCGCTGGTTCTGGCGTTACTGATCCACCCAGACATCCAGGCAAAGGCTTGGCGGGAAATCGACGGCGTTTTGAAGGGTAAGCGCCTACCGAGCTTCGAAGATATGGATCGTCTACCCTACGTGACCGCCATTGCGAGGGAAGTTCAACGGTTTGTTTTCACTAGCATCTCTTGCGATAATGGCTAATTGCCTATTCCCTAGGTGGCAGCCTGTCACACCGTTGGGTAGGCTACGTCATTTCTTCACTCAGCATGCAGCAACCTGACGCGAGTTTATGAAGCAATACCCCACTTCGTAACGGCCGAGGATGAATATAAAGGGTACCGCATACCTGCTAATTCTATCGTCATTGGGAATGCATGGTACGTGCCATCCCTCTTCCAGGTTCTTTTTTGCGTCTCGGCTCATCTGCTGCCACGCTCACAGGGCGATGCTCCACGATGACGCGAAATATCCAGACCCATTTGCGTTCAAACCGGAACGTTGGTTATCGCAAGATGGCACGCTGAACCCAGATACGAAGGAGCCGAATGTGGTGTTTGGATTCGGGAGGAGGTGCGTGCGTCCTGTCTCTCTGTTCCTATTCTATATGTGAATGAGATGTGCAGGATCTGTCCCGGCCGGTACCTCGCCTCCTCGTCCATTTGGATCACTGCGGCCATGTTGTTGAGCGTGTTCGATTTCGCCCACGCCGTCGACGAGAAAGGAAACCGCATCGAGCCTTCTCAGAAGTATTGCCCTGGGTTGATTCCGTGGGTGTCCCCCGATATTGATTTATTGCGTCCTAACTTGTTACAGGTCGCCGCTTCCATTCAAATGCCAGATCCGACCACGATCCCAAGCCACAAGGGCACTCATTCAAGGGGCTGCGAATGCTTGACATTGCTATCTTGTTGAGCCGCCATGTGGCCTTCGCCGCGCGATACCAACAACTTCCAGTGTACCTATTATGTCCCCCTCAATGTACTATCTACCACTTTTAATAGACTGTGCCTTCAGCCTTCAGGATGGCTGGCTGGATGACTCCTTGGTTTCCGAACTACGGCTAGTTCACTAAGGGGCGCGGTACTCTCAGTCTTAGAACCGACTCAATGCTCGAGACAGAATATAACATGAATAATGATATATCTCTCCTGTTCCGATGTGTGCCATTGGACTTTGCTGGAGTCAACATGGCCAAGGTAGTCAACTTCCCCCAATTATCCTCCGTCCACCTCGACAATTACACGAATCTGTGCACGGCATTCTTGAGGCACTCCAAGTTCCAGCGCCTTACATCGCTCGACGGCATCGCCGCTTCATTCGAACTCGAAGATAGCGACAAATATGCAAGTCTGTTCGATGTTTGCAGGCACCACTTTACGCCATTCTTCAAGATCCATCCTGTAGCCCAGCTTGACGTCATAACTACACCCACATCAGTACAGGCAGCGGCCCTTTGTAATCTCGACAATTCGGTCAGCAACTTGGAAGCGGTGATGTCTGTCATGTTGACGCTCCCACTTTTCAAAGATCTACCGCCTCTCGTTGATACGGAACTGGTCAACCACATGGTTCCCCCCAAATTCCTTGCCGGGAAGGTCGACTGGGCTGGCGCGTGACTTTCTGCTTGATGTTTTTGCTGGTATTGTAGCCTGAGACGATTATATCCATGGAAATTATAAATAACTGTACACCTTGTTGACGAGTAGCTATGATATATTTTATTCGCCATAACTTTGCCTGAGAACCTCCTAGGATGATAGGGGCCCTTTCCCACACTCAACTTCGTCTCTAACTTCACCATCTTAGACTTATTCTTATCACCTTTGGGATCGGTGAGTCCTCTGCTAAAATATAAATAGCTGGTGAACTCACATATCGGTCGATCCAGCTCAATGCCATGTCAGATGTGTAGTACTAGTATTTCCTCCCCAAGCACCTTCCCCAACCACGAGCTGGTATCCACGAACTGTGGCAAGATGAACCAACTTCATCTCAAATCCTACCATCGCGCTCGAAGCCTTTTCTGTCTTTGAGCCCGCAAATGAGGAAACATACACACGCCGGGAGTTTGGTGAGCATTTCCCGCGACACAAACTCATCTATTACTAACGCCGGGAACTTCAATTTCCCAGTCTATGGGTACACTTGTGCGGTCTCTTCGTCAGCGTACCTTTTAACGTCGATCTGGACCACTTTCGAGGGGTGGATCGACCCCTTAGCTGCGCTTCCATGGTGCACTGTCAAGGTGAACGGAATGATATTGGATATCGTGACCATTACAGTTTGATATCATAATCAGTGGTAGCATGCTCTATACTTAATCGAGCTGACTTCCTCCACGCCAGAGGGTTTAACAGCTTTACCAGTCACTCACAGGCGGCTTGCATTCGGCCCCCACGCTTATCACTCACCCATCATGTTCTCCTCGTCGACTGCAAAGTTGGGGGACGGGACGGCAGTATTCTACACAGATAGTGGCCCGCCGCCATCATCGAGCGACTACACCACGCTTGTAATAATCCACGGAACTGGTTTTAATGGCCGTGGGTCCTCATTTACGGTTCACTGGCGGTGATGGGTGTAATAATTTCTAACTCATAGATGGTTTCGAACATATCCATGACCTCGCTCATGAACGCAACCTTCGCACCGTCGCTATCAATCGGAGGGAGTACCCCGGTTCAACAGCGTACAATGACGAAGAATTGAGCTTCATGAAAAAGAACCCTCAAGCGCATCTCGAGAGCCTTGCTCAGTTTATTTCTTTGTTCCTTGTAGCCTTCATCGAGGAGCACTCCATCCCCAAAGCGTACGAGAACTACACAAAGGGAGGATTAGTGGCATTGGGCTGGTCGACTGGATGTAGCATGCTTGTCTCGATGCTCTCGAATGCGAGCGCCGTGTCACCACAGTCGCGTACAATCCTCGAACCCTATCTCTCAAACATCGTTCTCTACGGTAATGTTGCAATATATTGACCACTGGTAGTGGTACTCACCAAATCACATCATAGATCCTAGCCGAATCTACGGTTTCACTCCTCTGGATCGCCCAACGACTGCGTACACACCCTGGTTGGATCGCGACCTGAAAACAACAATGGAGATGGGGATTGCATTCAAGGATTGGGTCAGCAGTTACTACGACCCTCCTCCGCCAGCCTGGGATGGGTTGATAGCGAATTTAGATCACCAGCGGAAACGCACGCCGAAATCGTCTACAGACTCATGGACGCAAGCAGATATTCAGCGATTCTGCAATTTTGAAGCAGTAGCGAGAACGGATACTCCACTGTACGTACTTCGGCTAGTTATCTTGATGAATAGTCTAATATGCCTCGCTAGGAATGGGGCAATCATGAGCGCAATGGCTGGTGAAACGCATCGCGCCCTCTTTGATGAAAAACTCGTGCAGACATACTTTCCTCGGGTCAAAGTTACTGTTATATCCTGCCGCCAGTCGGTCTGGCTCTGTCTCTGGGTTACCAATCGAACACAGACACTGCACGATGAGTTCGTGAGGCGAGGCAAAAAGATTCGACAGACTCAATTCATCGATGTTGAAAAAGCAAACCATTTTGTACGCATATCGCCTCTCCGTTGCATCGCAGGGCTTCTAATGAATCTGCTCTTCCATATTTAGTACCATCTTGACGATCCGAGTGGATTCCTTGACACCGTAGTGCAATCAATCAAGTAGGACCATGTTAAAATACCTGATATGTGACAATGGTAGCCCAAGCCTCCCATTCAAATTTGGCATCAATTTGATGAGAGACTTCGTGATAGTGTACGTACATGTTCTCCCAGTGTTTCACTTTCCCAATGCATACGGCCAAATTTCCTCGATGTTCAGTGAGGAGGTGAGAACCAGAAATTCGCTCTACTCCTGGGATGTTTCGTCCTCGCTGTAATCTGTGGAGTCGTCTGGCGTCTGGCGTTGCATTTCCCGACGCACCGTCAAGGCCGCTATGATTGTAATCTCTGTATTCATGATCTGCTGAGGGCGTCAGCCACGCCAGCCGATCTGAATGCCTTCGAACCTTCTGGTCTACGTATTGTGGACTTCTCGCTCGGATTGCCTGTGCTTATGTCAACTTCTGTAACCTTTGCGATGCGCTCACCACCGAAGTGGTGGGATTATTCCCAGATGCAGTTCTTCTTCTTTGACCCAGTATTCTTCCCGACTTCGCCACCATCGCCCGTGATTTGCACCTGCTTCCCAGCATTTCTACCCGACTTCAACGATCTCACAACCTGCTTGCTGAAGTCTTCGGGAGCTGGGGGTTTCACCCCTCGATTCCCTGTGGCTCGATTGCCCTTCGCATGTGAGCAACTCTGATGTGAACGTCCACAACTGTCGCACGTCCTCCATTCAGGCCCGAATTAGAGTTGCATCCGTCTTTGCGTTGTTAGAATCGTGGGGGGGGGGCACCGAGTTCATAGGCATACCTGCTGCTGATGCTTCCCCGTGCGTCCCATTTACCATCATTGCTAATACAACACTTTCTACCATCCCCCCCTCTTTTCCCCTGTAGTTAGAGCCTCCGCCGACACGCGTCGATTGCGCGTGGGAGCTTCACGGTGACCGTGGCACTGTCTCTTCCCCTTTTCTTGTGACGGCTCCCCTAATCGATCTAGGTGGTGTACGTGTCTCGATTGGACCTTCCTCGTCCACACTTATACTTTTATCTTGATTCCGGAAGATAACATTAGAAAGTTACGGACGTCGATGCGACGAGATGCGTTTCGAGTCATCCTGCCTCGCCGCTACACCTTGGAACCCCGGGCTGTACTTCGACCCCCCATCCCACGAGCGCGATAAGCGAATCCACCACCTGAAGACCTAGTGCCTCATCCATGGAATACAGGGAGACCTGTGCTAGCTCCTTTGCTCACGTACAGGACAAGGGTCAGATCCTACAGCTAGTTGTTGCTTTTGGCAGGGGAAAGAAGAGCATAGCTCGCCCAAGATTAACCCACTTGTGAGCAGTTGTCGTATTCCTCTAACGTCGCGTCGATGTACTCAGTACCTGGTCCATGTTCACGCGTCAAAGGCATCAGGACTTTACCGTGGCTACAGTCTTCTTGGACTCTCCGGGCGCCCCAGAACAATACCTCTGTGTGGACGTGATCTATCTCGTTAATCCGGCTCGTAGTTTCGGACTTCTCGCTCTTTGCTGGTTCTTCTTGTACACTCCTGGCTGGCCGGAGTCCAGCGGGACTGCAAACGGCCCGCAAAATGAGGACACAATCCTCCGACGTCTAACCCTCATCTTCTTCTCTCGCGTCTACTAATCCATCAGCTTCGACTCCACATCTACCCCCCAATATCCACTGATTTATCATTGTATTTCTCCGCATAGGCAAAAGACTGCACCATACCTAGACCCAATTGCGTGTGCCGGGACGTCTCGAATCTCAGGTCTCGACATGATCCCCTTCCCTGTCGAGCTTTTGCGTGAATAATGCGAAGGTCTTCGATGTAATACTCCGGTTGCGTGGTGTACTCCACTACGCTCCTAACTCCTGTCGTGCGTGGTGATTGTCCTGATAAACTTGCGAGGTGTATTGGTACGGACGACGGGGCCAGCCAGTCATTTTTTTGGTCCGGGCGGTCCACACGGTCCGCCTCTCCTCCACCGGGCGCTCATTTGCCACATCGCCAACGTTGAAAGTCTCCACCTCGTCGACGCGGCGCATTGCATTGCAGCCGAGGGTAATCCGACGAGTAGAAATGTCTAGGGATGCAACTCGCGAGGCCAACAATTCGAGTATAAATATACCAGCGAGCGACAAGTTGAAATGTCAGAAGAACAACTTTGTTCGCCTTCCTACCCTACCTCCTCAATCATGAAGTGGATCGTTTCTGTTGTCGCTCTACTCACTGTACAGTTCGTCTCGGTACGCTTGTCTCCGCTGTTCTATTTTTTAACGCTCTGCTGACTTGGAATCGTGCGTAGGCTTCTCCAGCGCTAGTCAAGAGAGCGTCCGTCAACGACGTCGCGACTGTAGGTTACGCTTCCCTCAATGGCGGGTAAGTACAGCATGTGTACTCAGTGACTTGCGAGGCGCTAATGTTGTGCCGTGATATCAGCACTACTGGGGGATCTGGAGGGCCCACTACCACTGTAACCACTCTTGACGCGCTCACCGCCGCTGTAGCTGGCAACGACCCCAAGATTGTCATCGTTTCTGGTTCGTCCTCCCTCCAGCGGCTAGCATAACGCCCCTCATTGTCCTTACTTTCGTAGGTACTATTACTGGCGACGCCATCGTCAAAGTCGGTGGGAATACCTCCCTCCTAGGTAACGGTGCTGGTAAGCTGTCCTTTCTCACTGACATGTCATTATGGATGCTGAGGGGGTTTTGCAGTTCTCAATGGCATCGGACTCCGCGTTATCGATGTCAGCAACGTCATCATCCGTAACATCAAAATCGCGAAGGTTTTAGCACCGGGCGACAACGTCGCTGTACAGGCATCCAGCCAGGTTTGGTTGGACCATCTCGACCTTTCTAGCGACCGCGATCACGACAAGGACTTGTACGTCGTATTCCTCCGTCGCTCCTTGATGTTGCTGATTTTACTGTGGTCACTTATAGCTACGATGGCCTTCTGGATATTACACACGGACCCACAGGCGTCACGATTACCAACAGCATCTTACACGACCACTGGAAAGGGTCCCTCGTTGGGCACTCCGACAACAACGGAGCTGAGGACGTTGCTATCACCGTCACTTACGCCAACAACTATTTTTCGAACTTGAACTCCAGGACCCCATCTTTCCGCTTCGGAACCGGGCATCTGTTCAACAACGTCTTTGACAACAACAATGATGGCATCAACACCCGTGATGGTGCCCAACTCCTTGTTGAGAACAACGTCTGGACTGGTATGTATCTGGTCTACAGTTCACCAGTTGGATTAGTCACTCATACCATCATTCCTACGATTAGGTACGAACAAGCCCTTGTACGCTACCACTGAAGGCTTCGCCGTCGCCGTCGGCAACGACTTTGGTGGTGCTGAGAACACGGCTCCTGTTGGCACTTTCACGGCTGCACCATACCCCTACACCCTCGTACCCACCGACGGCGTCCGCGCGGCCGTGGTTGGTACAGCAGGCGCTACTATCTCCTTCTAAATCAATAAGCTACCAAACAGTATACGAACGTACTTGTAATAGAGCGCAGATCAATTATCTTATCTAGAACGTGGCTTCGATCAGGGTCGACTTTAGATGGACCCTTGCTGTACCGTTTCCCCATACTACCATCTTGCCCCACGCGCTCTGACCACGCCGCCAACGACGGTGCACACCGGCGGTCAATTTATTCTTAGGTGGTGACCAGTGACCAATAACAGTGCTCCAATTTTCTTCGATTTTCGTCACTGCCACCGCTCTTACTCCTTTTTCTTGACTTCTGATGGATTCATTGGCGGTACCCACGAGCGACGCTACCAGTTCATCTGCGACAACACCAATGAGCCTCAGTCCAATGCCGTCTTCGACGCCGAGCACGGAGGCGACCAGCGTTGTCGAGCTCGAGGGCGTCGTCGAGAAGCTTCAGCCAAGCCCGACCTCGTATGCTTCGCCGTTCAGCGCACCCCCCTCGATTCCGCAACCCTACAACCCCGCGTCGGCGCTGGGGGACATTCCTGCTATTGCATACGCACTCGAGCTCTTCCTGTCGTCCAAGATGGTCGAATCGGAGAAGTTTTTACTTGATTGCGATCCCACCATGTATGTGTCTCATTCGGCTGGTTTTCGCCGGATGTTTATCGTCGTTGGTCACCCTCAGGGAACGTCTGTACTTTGCTACCGGCTACGGCCTCATACAATGCGTGAAGGGGCTCATGTCGTACGAGGACCCGGACTTGATTGCAGCGATAGCCCATACGAAACACGGCAATGCAATAGCAAGCCTGCACAGGAAGAAAACGGCGGGTGTTGGTGCCAGGCTGGCCAGTACGTTCACTATGGAGGATCTGTTTGCCACCTGACTGACGAAATGCTGCAGGCTTCGTTATTCCCTTGCTCTCCAGCTCGCACACGGATCAGGTCAAAGCCATGACCGCGACCGAACGGCACGCGGAGCTCGTATACGCAGAGTCGCTCTTTGAGAAAGCCTTGCTGGGGATCGTGTACTCGGGGGACTGGTTGGCGTTTATCAAAGAAGCGTGAGTCGTCGTTGACGTACTCTGCATTGTTGCTCACAGCAACTAGCCTGAACATGCGCACCACTATCTCTATCTACCGCAAACTGTACGACTACATCGAGCACGTGGACGCAGAATACACTGTCTCGCACCCGCCCTCACCCGCATCCTCTCCTTCAGATACGTACACGACGTCCACCGGGACCACAGTCACGCAAGACCCGTCCATCGACCGCCACTTCCGCACAGGCGTCTACCTCGGAGTGGGAATGTCCAACATCATACTGTCGCTGATGCCTGCGAGGCTGGCGAGCATCGTAGAGCTGTTTGGGTACAAGGGGGATCGCAAATGGGGGTTGGAACTGCTGATGCGCGCTGGAGGGTGGGGGACCGATGGACAGGAGCCGAATATCAGCGCAGGCGAGTTGCGTTCCATTCTCGCTCGACGTGTTGCTGATGCGTGGGCTACTGGCTTAGGTGATGAGGGTGTTCGTCGGACGATATGTGATATGGCGCTCATGATCTTCCATCTCGTCCTGTCATCTTTTACATTCGAATGTGTAGACGTCGGCGTTGCGCGGCGGATACTGGAATGGAACCTCAAACGGTATCCAAATGGTAATCAGTCCTTCCTCTCCCTTCCTCCTTCCTGCGCTAATGACTAGTGTATCGGTTCATCAGGCGTATTCTTCCTGTTCGGCGCCGGCAGACTTTCGCTGATCCGCTCTCAACCACTCCAAGCCATCAACTATTACACCAAAGCCACGGAGGTCCAGTCGCAGTACCGGAACCTGCACCACATCAGCTCGTGGGAGATCGCCATCGCCCGGCTCGCTCTGTGGGACGTCCAGGAGGCGTTGGAATACTGGAGATCCCTTTGCAAAGAGGCTACGGTGTGTTCTTTTTCACACCTTTATATGAGGCGCCAGCTGACTCACGGTATGGCCTTGGCCTGTAGTGGTCGAAATCGACGTATACGTACGGGACGGCGGTGTGTCTGCTGCAACTCTCGATGGACGCGTCCCAGCCGGAGGAGAAACGCAGAGAGATGAAGAAAGAGGCGATAGCGTTGATGGAGAAAGTCCCGGGGCTGCGCCAGCGGATCGCCGGCAAATCCATCCCTCTCGAGGTATGTGTGTCCCCTCGTTTCTTCCCTATTCCTATTCATAGATCTGATCCGACGTGGCTAACATCTTCATGGGAACGCGTAGAAATTCATCGCGCGCAAAGCGCGTAAGTTCCAGCAACAGGGCCACCGTCTCCTCCTTCCCGCCCTCGAGTTGTCGTACGTGTTCCTGGGGATCGCGCACGCTCCAAGGAAAGTCATCACCGACAAGATACTCGTCGAGGTCCGGCGAGTGCTCGGTGAGATGGAGGGCCGGTATGCGTACGAGGACACTACTGTTGCTGGCGGAAAGGCCAAGGGCGCGGAGGGCGAGCCGAAGAAGAGGAGGAGTGTGAGTGAGTATGAAGGCGGGACTGCGGAATTTTGGGATGATTACTGTTTGGCGAAGTTCTTGGAGGGCGTGTGTTTGAGATACGTCGCGTATCCGGTGAGTGCGCCCCCTCGTCTGACTCGATGATAACACGCTCGCTGGCAAATACTCAGCACTCATCGTGTGTATTCCTTAGGATCCTGACGCGGCGCTTGACCCCGCTGAAGTCCCGTCCATCCCCAAGGAAGAAGCGGAGAAAGCCGCTACACAGGCCTTCGAAACCGTCTTCGAAAACGGGATGAAGATCGAGTTGGACCACTATCTCGTCTATCATGCGCGTATGTGTTCTCGTCATCCGTCGCTCGCGTTCTTCATAATCGATCTCTGCGTCGCGATGTAGATTACGAACTTGGCCGCCTCTTGACGTGTCAAGGCGACGTACACGGGGCCCGCAAACATCTTGACCTCGTTCTCTCTGGTACGCTCTCCTGTTGATTTCACTGGAACCCACCTAATCGCATCCGTTTCTTCGGCGATTAGGGAAAACACTAACTTTGCGCAAAGTGAGTCAAAGCCCATTCCCTTCTGATGTTTTCGATAGTACCATACTCATCTATTCTTTCGCGTCCTGCAGGGAAAGTACAGCATGGAGGTGAGCCTTCCATCCTACCTGCTTCTTCTTGGGGGATTGACTGGTTGCTTAGAACGCATTGAACATACGCGCACACGCTGCTCTGGAAGCTCTGAACGCCCAGTCCACGCGGTTGTAACTTATATCGTACGTTAATAACCGAACAACTTTACCGAGTCCCAGCGGTGCGTCCAAAAACAGGACTTCCATCGTAGTTACTCTGGGATTTATCGGGCACGTATGGACTTGTGCGATGTTGTTCTCGTGCGCCGTCTCGCGACCTTTGGATATACATGCACCATGGACAGTACGCACTCGCCTTCGTTCCTTTTGTCTTCTGCGAAATTATATATTTTGGTGGTGCGACTCGTTATATCTACGTAGAATTTATTATCCTTATTTACAATCCGCGTATCTGTACACCTTTAGTGTTGTATATATCAAACAAACATACTCTCAGCCTCGCCTCACTGGACTATGCAGTCGACGTCTGCCTAAACTGGCCATGTCCGACATGCCGATTGCTGAAAGACTGATGCTGATGCGCCGAAGCTTTGTGTTCCCTCGTATTCCTTTCCCTTCAGCTCGCCATCTAGGGTGTCCCATATTGGTGTCTGGCGCATGATGCTGGAACAGATTTCCGCGCAGCTTCGTAATGGTCTGGCTTGCGACCAATGCACTGTTGGATTTCAGCAATCTTGGCGGTACAGGGGTATAGGGGATGCACGTGACTACTGTAGTATCATGTCGCGCGCATGTATTATTTTCTTCATGCGTTTGCTGGAGTCCCAGCCAAACGCAATATATCTACTTGCTCACTCGGAATTCGCGCGACCTCACCAGCTCATTTCAACATGCACCTCAGGGTTCCTGGTCGAAACAATACCGCCCACGACGGGGGTAATTCATTCGATGGCGTTGCCTTCAAATTATCGGCCACGTTGGCACCCCCTACGACTGGTTGGGCCCCGATTATAACTCGTTTCAGCACCACCAAAAGGCAACGGTTTCGGGGCGAACATATGTCGATGTATCCACGCCGCAAGCAATTCTGGTCATATTTGCTATCAACACTTTTTTGGTAGTGTCGCCGAACTGTTGCGACTAGTATTGCCACTGTGTGGCATGTGGTACCGGGCTCTACTTCTACTCTATATCGGTGTTATTGAACTTCGACTACTTAGATTCCTTTGGTGGGTCCATCCCAAGTAATGCCACGCGCAGCTAACCAGCGAGACGCGTTCGTGGCGAAGGCCAGAATGGCCAGTTTCTTCTGTACAACGCAGCAGCAGCGAAATTCTCAGTAGGATCACGATTAGGATTATCAGTCCAATTCTGGACAGGCCCGAAACCCCGGGGTTGACGCCCCAGATCATGGTGTGCATTTTATTTATTGCCAGGACGAGTTCTGATTCATAATGATCAGTCGAAAACTCTTTGTTTTTATCATACCTACCGTGCGCGCTATCAGCGCATCAGACGTAGTGCTTCAGAGGGCTATACTCTGAATTCCGTCGCCTTGTATAAATGGGCCTTTGCTAGCATCGGAGGGCTACATTCCAGTTCCTTCCTTCTTCCTTAATTCCACCTCATGATGATGCATAGGGCTTCGAGCAATGGACGCTTGCAAGCATCGAGAATATCGATTCGACTTTTCTTAGTCTCCATCTTCCCCGCGGTGGTCTACGGAGCTAGCTCAACGGGTTGCAACGACTCACAAGCCGGTCTCACACCGTTGGGGAACCCTTCGTCAACACCGTAGGTTATTCGCCCAAAACCGCACCCCTTTCGTCCGTATTGACTACCAGCGGCTCTTACTAGCAATGAACCCGGACTCCAGTGCAACCTACAGAGCGCAGGAAACACCACCTACCTATCCTGTTGGTGCAATACTATTGGCCTTGAAAATGAAATTTGCTTGAGAAACGTCGACCTGACCTCTGTGTCACATCCCACGAATACTAATTGGGTATTGACTGAGCCCAACTCATGGTAATATACCTCACCATGTGCTATCGTGTCAATTGCTCAGTCGTCTCTCGCCTGCCGTAGCCTCTCTAATTACCTCATTCCGAAATCACGCCCGGGTTCCGCCTCACAATCCACAGGAAACATCGCTCTTCTTACTACGTTCACAGCAATCATCTACTTCTTCGTCAAAGCACTATTCATGAATAGGCCAGTGGACAAGCATGGCTACCCGATTCCCTATGGACCAATCGGTCTACCAATCCTAGGTCAGTGCCAAAGTCCATCATATGAATTATTCTGAGGAACAAGTCTTCGTAGGCTCCTTCCCCTTCCTGACAAGATATCCAGAGTTGACGCTGGACTACTGGGCAAAGAAGTTTGGTCCCTTGTACTCTCTCTGGCTTGGTAATCAACTTTTTATCGTCGTTTCGGATCCTCATATTGCCAAGGACCTCATGGTCACCAACGGCGCCATCTTTTCGTCCCGCAAGGAAATGTTCCTGAAGTCTAAGACAATATTCGCTGGTCGTGGAATCACCGCCACCCCTTACAACGAGACCTGGTACGAGGGTTCGCTTGTCAACTTGTGGCATACTCAACTAACGGCTGCACTAGGCGCAAACATCGTCGCATTGCTGCTAGTTTCTTGGTTCAGAAAGCCGTTGACGGTTACACTAATGTTCTTGATTACGAAGCCACCGTCCTCGTCAGGGAATTGTTCACTCACAGTCAGGCCGGCAACGCACCAATCAACCCGCAGCCACATGCTGGTCGCTGTTCGTTGAACAACATGCTTACAATTGTCTTCGGTACACGCACGGACTCGATTAACCACCCGTTGGTTAATCGCGCTCTCCGTCTGTCCCGGGAATTCATGTGAGTTGCCCTCCCCATCACTTTGCTCTTGCTAACTGTGATCTGTAGGAACTGCACTGGCCCAGTTTCGAACTTGACCGACTTCATCCCCCTTCTCCAGAATATTCCTAATTACATGACACTCCGTGGCAAGCAACTTCATAAGGACCTCGTTGAGACTTACGGCGGAATGATCCTTGACATTGATAAGCGCATGAAACTTGGCGAGAAAGTCCCCGATTGTCTTGTGAAGACGATGCTCGAAGAGAAGGGAAAAGAACAACTCAACCACATCGACATGTCGATTCTCTGCGCAGCGTTCATGATTGGCGGTGTTGAAACAGTACGTTAGTTCTTAACGCCTTTACTTCCCAGTTGATAACAATCTGCGATGCAATTGATCCCTTCTTTTCAGACGGCTTCGATTATGCAATGGTTCTCGGCGCTCATTCCCGCTTACCCTGAAATTCAGGCCAAGGCCCAAGCTGAGTTAGATCGAGTTGTAGGTCGCGATAGACTGCCAAGCGTCGAAGACGAGAAGAACATGCCATATATTCATGCAATTGTCAAGGTACGTAATAGCTGTACCCAAACCTTCCCGCCCATAATCTAATACTTGAACAGGAAGTTGAACGCTGCCACAACCCATTCTGGCTCGGAACACCCCATGTTAACACCCAAGATTTTACTTACCGAGGACAATTCATCCCCCAAAATACCGTTGTTGTGCTTAACACTGTACGAGTGCTACTTCAATTTTGTCAGTGATCTCGTATCTTATCTTCACCCCCATACAGTATACTATGCACCATGACCCCACCCGCCACCCTGACCCACACACCTTCAATGTAAGCCGACACTGATTTACTCTGCATCATGTGTTTCACGTTTCTCAGCCTGATCGATACATCGACGACTCTACATCTTCTTCCGAGTCCGCTAACCTTGTCAACGCGTGCGAACGGGATCACTGGATGTTTGGTGCAGGGTAAGTCGTCGTCTCAACTTCATCGAATGATACTTATCCCACAATTGTGTTCTTCAGCCGCCGCATTTGCCCTGGTATGTGGGTTGCTGAGCGCGAAATTTGGTTGGCAATCTCTCGTATGTTGTGGGCTTTCAAGATGGAAGAAATCCCTGGTGAGCCCATCGATCTGAAGGAGTATGATGGGTTGTCTGGTCGCTCCCCCGTACCATTTCGTATCATGATGATCCCACGGCATGAGAAGGTCAAAGAAGTGCTTGGCCTTTAATGATAGGCCTATAGACAATTCTTCTCATCGAGACAAAACAATTGTCCCGTGCATCCAATACGTATTCTCGCATCATGGATAGCTGTACGGAAGCGAATGATTTCAAATCAGGGGTACTATGAAGGATGCTAAGAAGAGCTGCACCTTTCCTCAACGCTCGTTCCAAGACTGGAGTGGGATATACATGAAGTAATGCCTCTTCTTGCCCAGGAGTTGATCGCGTGTGCCGGATTCACCGACGCGGCCTCCTTTAAGGAAGTATCAGTCACGTTGATACGCTGAATTGCCGGGCGCAAGCGTGAATTACAAGAGAGTCTACTCACATAATGTCGGCGTTCCGGATCATGAATAATCTGTGTGCTACAGTGATGGTCGTTCTTCACTGGTAGTCCCATTCAACTCCCACAACGGAGGGCTAAGACGTCTTGAAGCGTTCAGTAAGTTAGCCAGGCGCTCGATAGATATATCGCACAACCGTTCACCCGTGTACCTATTCTAAATCTCGAGAGTTAGGCGATCAACGTTTCGTATTTGAACCTGTCACCAGATCGCACAACGGTTTGCGACTCCGTCCTGAGCGGAACGATGGCGCCAAAGGATTGAATGCAAAGGGACATTTCGTGTGTTGCTACTAATACAAAATATGTTCGACATAGAGCGAGTTACGAGTCACGAGAAAGAAAAAAAGCAGGTTCAGGCGCTTATGTCAAAAGCTGCGCTCCTCCATCCAGTCTCGCGCTGCTCAGCCTGCTTCTTCTTTTCTACCATATCCTGCAGCGTCTTGACCTGTTCCTTCCCTTGCTCGTACATACCCTCCGCATTTTGTTTCATCTTCCACGCTTCACGACGTGCGGCCTCGCTGGCACCCTCGACGCCCTCACGAACGCTTGCGTCAACATCCATCCTGTCACCGGTGAACTCTCCTACAACCTCTTCGACGCGCTTCTTCAATGGCTCAGACGCCGTGCCGAGGGGCCCTCTCTTCTTACCGCTCAGGATTTGAGGTTCGGCGCCCATGGCGAACTTGGCATTCGAGTCCCCACCTTCCTCTCGAATGACGCCGGTGCCAGTGAGGTTCCAGCTGCCGCTGCGGCCTTCGCGCTGGAGCTTGCCTAGTTCGCTCCAGAAGGCGGCAGTCCATGCCACAGAGCCTCCAAGGCCAGCGTCTTCGAAAACAATCCTTCGATTGCCAACATCCCAACCAACGGCGCCAACCCATTCAAAGGTGCCACGGATCCAACCTTCAATGGTCTTCTCCATGACGTCTTTCATGCGCATCGTGAAAACTGGCTTAAACATGCCAAGCAAGATGGAGTGGTTAGACTGCTTGACTTCAAGCTCCATATCATCCGCGATGTCGCATGAAATGTGTTCGAGTTTGAAGACGGCCTTTGCCTTTTCGCGTTCTGGACCGTCGGGAATCATGCGAACAGTGATGTCGACGTCGACGCCCTTTTCTGGGAGCTTGAAGCCCATCAATCCAGTGAATTCGCTGGGACCCAACGAGGCGGTCTTGTCTTTGTACCAGAAAGATACATCTTTGAGGTGCAGTTGCATCGCTTGGACGTGGACACGGGTGAGAGTGCCGACAGAGCTTTTCGAGGAAGTCTCGGTTGTGGACATATCAATATCGGTGATATTGCGAATGAATATGTGTGCGGGGTTGAGCTTGAATGACGATAACTCGACATTCTCCAAGACGAATTCGACTTCATCGTCTTTATACTCAGTTCTACGACGAGAGGCTTCGTCAACATGGTATGAGAAAAGAAACAAAAGCGAACTGACCTTGGGATGGGTACATCCTTTAGCATCTCCAGCATCCTCGGGGCGTATACCTTAAACATATCTTGAGCGAACCACGAAGCTTGCTCAAGGGCGGCCTGCATGCCACTCTGAACCTGCGCTCCAGCTCGGCCAGCTTCTTTGCCGACTTCAACCAAGCCGTTTTGCAAATCACCGCCCAGCTTCTCGTGCGCCGCCCTCAACCTCTGCAAATCCTTGTCTTCTTCGATTCTGACGGTGAACTGCTCCCACTCCGACTTGAAAGCCTCCCAATCGTCCGCCCACTTCTTACCGGCAGGGTTCGAGTCATCTTGGAACTTCTTCCACTCCTTGCTCAACACTTTGCGTTTCTCCTTCGCTTCGTCCGACCTAGCGTATCCGGGCTCGTCTAAGCTCTTCTTCAAATGATCAAAGAATTGTCGAGCCCATTTCTGAAGGTGAGGGTCTTGGCGAACATCGACAACACATGCACGGATCTTGGAGTAAAGATCATCTAGAGGCTTGCCGCCCGCGATGCGTTCGAGGATAGTGCCGAAGCCTCGAAGGGCATTTGGGACGTGTTGAGCTGGCGTAGGATCGTCGATGAAAGACTCCAAGGACGTGGACTTGTTCACATCTTGGGCGGTGTCCAATCCCTTCGTCATCCATTTTTGAACTGTGTCGAATATGGTAACTAGAGCGTCGTGGTACTCCTTATCGTTCTGAGCACGATCGCAAACCTGGAGCAATGAAGGATCAGAAAATCGTCTTCATGAATCTGCTACAAGGCTTACTTGATAATACGCATTCCTTATCTTCTTCGACGCGTTATTCGCCGTACGCTCAGCGGCTGCCTTTGCGTCCTGACTGGTCCCGATGACAGTGACTCCTGCGTTCTTGGCGGTGTCCATACCACGAGCAAACACTTCCTTAGGGTCTTGATCTTCCTCTTGCTCCTCCTCGGTACGCTTCTTACGACCAATGGCATCCCTCTCGCCCTCTTGCACTTCCTCATCTACCTCCCTCAGCGAAACTTTGGCTCTGGCTGCCTGGTTCTCCATGAGTTCTGCTGCATCTGCCAAAGCTAAACGAGAGAAGGAAGCGAAGTCGGAGAATAGGGAAGTGGATTCGGTAGAGATTCCGGTCCAAAGGGTCGTCATGATAGTGCGGATTGCGTTGCCGAGCTTTCGGGCGTCGTTAGATGCCTCCTTGGAATCGACGAGATTCGTGGAAGTCCCCAATAAATCCGTTTCGCTGAGATGCCAAAGACATTCTTGTATCAAATCATCGCCTTGTAGACGAGAATGTTAGTTTCCCTAATCATCATCAGGCGCGGGCGCCTCACTATTCTTGTTATTCCCCAGCTGCTTATATGCGTCCAATATTTCGCGAATATCGTCTGCAAGCACGCGGCCTTGGGAGCTGAGCTGATCCGACCCGCCTGGCGACGCTTGCGGGATAATAGTGCCATTGAACCAGTCGATAAAATCTGCTATTTGTTGATGAGACGGTATCTTCCCCGCTTCGAAAGCGGCGAGAACTGAAGTCGATTTATCCATTATTTTGTATTGTAGTTGGATGGGTCGTTGTGAAGATGATGGTGGGGGGAGAGTTGGAAAGGAGAGAATTGTCGATGCCTGGGTTTATATATGCCCTCCCCGAGTGTCGTCAGCGGAGGGAAGGGGACGAACTCCAGATGACATCACAAAAAGGGAAATAGAGTGCAGTGATGTCACGAAGCTATTGAGGAGGAAGAGCCGTGGAGACAACCGACGATGTTGACATCACGTGGCTCGCTCCGCCAAATGGATCACTGACGAGGAGACGTGCGTCAAGTAGGCGGATGTGCACCGAAGTTGGATTCCGAAAGATCCGCACTAGGGAGACATCTTTCGGAAAGTATAAGGCCTTGGTCAAGAGGCGTGGCAGAACGAATACACGAATACACGACCATCGAAGTCCAAATGGAGTATGGGGCCGAAGCCATATAAGTCGATACAGAAGCCTGGAGGCTGAGGGCACGTCTACTGAGTCGTCCAATCTCCGTAAGCTTCATGTCTAGCTTCAGATATAATGGTAGAATGTCGGGATAAGATGTGGACAAGGTTTTGGAGTTTTGAAGCTTGACCGGCTTAATACCCAAGGCGTAACATGAGAAACATGATGGAGCGCGCGATCTGAGTATGACTATGCACCAAACTACAGCTGATACAGCTTCCAGCTTTCGAACAACACGTATTCGAATATGCGCCGCGCGTGCTGATATTCAAACACGTTGATCCAGTTTGAGTAGCCAGTTGAGCCCGAGTTCCCGAGGTTTGGGTGCGTATTCTACAGATGAAGATAAGAAACGGACGAACGTGGGTAGAGTCTTACTTACCATACTTCGTACTCTCCTCTACTCTCCCTTTGCACGCGTGCGCTGAGCGCAGTGGCAGCTACTTGTCATCATTGACGAGGGTTCCTGGTTGTTCGCAGGCCGTTCATGATGATGGATCAGGAAAGCAAAGAGGTTCGGTCACTGAAGCTGACAAGTTACTGACTGTGGGAACCATAGGGTGACTGTGAGAATAAAATGAAGGGTGCCGGTGTATGCCGTGTAACATAGAAACTAGCAGCGTACTTGCTCCAAGTCGAAATACACCGCAGCGGCTACGATGAAGTTCTCCTGATGCAGAGGGCACATATACCCTCGCTACTACTGTATGCATTCATGCAAGGTGGACTATGATATCACCAGGTCTTACCGCTGCGCCGGGCCCAATACCATCGCCATACCCAACTACTTTTCTGCCTACCGCGTTCTCCTCCGGGTATACATTGATCTCCGACTTCATGGACTCGAGGATAACAACTGCCTGCGTCTTCGACACGATCGTGTCTCCAATTTCAACCTTTATCTTCCATATGTTCGCGAAGATTGGCGAGCGAACGAAGGCTGTGCCCGCTATGGGTATAGTTGGATCGCATCGAAGTCACGCAGAATGATTGATTTACTGACCGTGGTTATCGACTTGAGTCGGTATGTTCGCAACTCTTTTTTCTGCCTCCCATTCCATGAGGAGTGCGCGCTCACTGTCCAAAACAGCGTTCAGTCTCAAGGCAATCAGTTCTGTCGAGTAAGCCTACCGTTCCTCTTCTATCGCAACAGCGGCCTCTTGGCTGTCTCTGAATGACTTGATTTCAGGGGCGATGGACTGCACAAATGCAGCATACTCTCTCATCGAAAATATGGTAGGCGAAACCTGTTCCAACGAGTCGGTAAACAATCATGGAGCCTCACAACATGATTCACCTCAAACTCGTAGCGTCCTGCGTCGAATTGTTGCTCTAGCTAATTTCATCAACATCGTTAAAGAAGCGCACGCAGATAGATGTGAGACTTCTCACCTCAGCATATGCCCCGACGTCGACGACTTTGAATCTGACCTGCAGAAATCAGCAACGACTCAGCGTCGCATGGTGCCACCTCGTCTACCTTGTCGAAAGGACGTAGTAACCAAGGCTCTTCTGGGGAGAAATGACGGCCGCGACCCCAAGTTTGCCAGGCAGGGAGCGTGCGGCCGTACAATTGGTATCCACCAGGAGACTCAACCGGATATATGGCTGCGACGACGCCGGCTATTCCAATGGCGCCCTGTGTGATGGTCAGAAGCCGTATTACATACAAATGCAGTGGGGGACGCACTCGGGGAGTATATGTCCTCGATGGATTCATCTTTTGGCCTACAAGTCTACATCGTGGGTCTATCTTCAGAGAATATAAGCATTATCTCATACGACGTTGCAGGGACTCACCGGGACCAAAAATGGACAAGCGAGGTAGAACCCAATACCAACTACAAGCTAGGAAGCGTTCGTCAGAACCTCGTGGGAGTGTCTCATTATTGGCGAAACGCTATGTACCCATTCCGAGTCAATCAATTTGCTCAGCGCATCTTCCTTGCCATCCAGACCGTTGTTGCGGGCGAGGTATTCGACATTGCTCGGTACATATACCGCTTTATCCCTCGTCGTTCGCGCGTACTTGTCTATCGCCTCTTGACACCAGGGATCATCCGGCACAATCGGAAATGTGATCTCTCGACTTGGGAACTCCATTTCATCCACAGCGTCAGGCAACCTACTCAGCGCGCTGCTGAGGATACCAAGCACAGTGGATTGTGAAACTTGCAAGGGGTCATAATGGCACTTGAAACGAAATCAGTGACATGGAGAACCTCAAGGTCAAAATTACCATGGTTGAACGTATACAAGGGCAAAGACGCTTGATAGCGTCCACTCGAGCTCCACGAACCTCCAATTCGAACGCGTGTACAAGAGCGCGAATGCTAAAGTCGAGGCGCATCTCCCCGAAATCAACCAAAATCGCGGAGTCGCCAGCCTGAAACGCAATAACAGGTTGAGGGTTAGATTTACTATTTCACAGGGCTTGTTTACTCACTGTACGAAATGTGACCGTAGGCTTTTGGCTCCCCTCCTCTGCTTTGACGACCAACAACTTTGGCCCGCCTAGCCCGCCCTCAGTTTCTTCCTTGAATAGGTCGATGCTGCCTGATTCGGACTTTGATATTGCCGCCTTCACGCCGTCAAGCCAAGATTCATTGCGATGCCGCAATCCCAACGCCGTATCCCAAGATACCCGCCTGAACCTGATCTCGTTCCCAGGACCCAACTGCCCCAATTTCCACCTACGGAGGTAGTAAATAGCCACATTCCATTCGGAGGAAACAGACATACATATCTGCTTCGGCAATCGTACAAGCGCACACGTAGCCCCCCATATCAGGTCCTTCATTTGCGAGAATCACTGGCGTATCGCCATTGATATTGATACTCCCAAACGCATACGCATTGTCCAAGATGTTGCTCGGATGCGATCCACCTTCACCCCCATTCTCTCTGGCCCAACCAATCTTTCCGTCGCCTGAGTCATTGGAGAGTTCCAAGCGAATTCCCATCCGATTGCTGGAGGGACTGACTCTGAAGTTTGTGGCGTAGAACTTCTCGACTCCATCAGCTGTGATGAATTCTGGGTCATCTTGAGGACCAGAGAGGACATGGATGGTGGCTTGAAGCGGATAGGTCGGGATCGTTGAATCAGGAATGCGTATGTTCACGTCTTCTCCGTGCTTGGGACTACATTCAGCAAGAGCAATCTGGTCACCAGGGAGGAGTGATCTTCCCTGGACGATATATCAAGCGATCATCCTGAGGCGAGGGTGACATCGAACATACCTGGTAACCTCCCAATCCCATCGACGTCGACTTGGACTTCAAATACTCTGGGATATTGGGAAAGCCACCCCGAAAGGCGAGGTAGACTCTGAACCCCCTGCTATCCTCGTAATTCGCCCTGTCTTCGATCCGGAGCTTCGCACCTCCCGGAATGCACAACGGGCGCCACATACCGACTGTCTCCTTTGACGACGACTTCGCGTCAAATTTGTCGTAGTCCTCTACGTCGGCAGTGATGGAGAGAAAGACTGGTTTGCCAGTGACCGCGATGATAGTAGGTACATGAAAATGGAAAACAGCCGGGACGCCAGACATGACGATGATCTCGAGGCCTTCGGTCGAAGACTTGTTCCCAACCAGGAGGTTCGCAGCTTGAAAAGCTATATAATCCATGGGGCCTGAACGTGGCAAACCGAGACCCATAACTCTTCCCGGCAGATCCTGCACCGTCATATCCAACCCCGAAGATACTACAGTCACGGCTCTGGGGATTATAGACGTCAAGGGGGTGTGACCTATGACTGTGACGCGAATGGAAGAACTTACCTTGGAATGAAAGGCAGGCTCTCTAACCACCTCGTCGTGGCCCGTCCCTTGGCGAAAATGGGATCGCCTAGAGAGACCTGTAGATGCTCAATGTTGTTCGGAGGTCCGCAAATTCGTGTCTCCGTCAGAACCGCCTTCATGCGAGCAATTGCCTCGTCTCTAGAGGATCCCGTCACAATGACCTTGCAGAGAAGGGGGTCGAAGTGTGGCGTAATGATTGTACCAGTGGATATCTGAGTGATCTCAGCTCACAAGTCTACAGCGTAGGCCGATGAGAAGGCGTACCCAACTGTCTACTCTTAGCCATCCTTCTTCCTTCCGGTCAGGAATATCGACGAGTTGCAACACTCCAGGACACGGCCTAAATCCTTCTGCAGGGTTCTCTGCGTAGACGCGCACTTCGATGGCGTGCAGACCCTCATTTCGCGTCGGGAGATCATCTATCCACCTGCCGGCGCCATCTATCCACTTCGCAAGCTGATCCACGATATGGATCTCTCGTGCAGCTACCGTGTCCGTGCGAGTTGAATGCGCTGCGATTCCCAGGTCAATCATCAACTGAACAATATCCAACCCAGGATACACCGCCTCAGTAATGCCATGTTCGACTTGTATACGCGTGTTCACTTCGAGGAAGCAAAACTCGCCGGTGGAGGCGTCAACGAGGAATTCGACTGTGCCTACAAAATGGCAAGAGTCCGTTGACTCGGGCTGAAACTGCAGAACTGGAGACAGAGGCCTACCTGCCGAACTATATTTCAGCTCTTTGCCTATACGTATAGCCGCCTGGCAAATTGCGTCTCTTGCACCTTGAAATCCGTGTCAGCGGATGTCTTATTCGTCGAAGTAAATGAGTCTTACCCGGATTCATGGCATTATAGAATGGCGAAGGTGTTTCTTCGATTACTTTCTGGTGTCGCCGCTGGACACTACATTCGCGTTCGCCTAAGTGTACGACGTTGCCTTGACCGTCGCCAAATATCTGGCAAGTCTCTCAGTGCGCCAATATTAGATGTTGGGAGTTACACTCGCCTGGACTTCAATATGTCTACCTTGTTGAATGTACTTCTCAACTATTAGCCCGTCGTCCCCAAATAGCGCCTGGGCTCTCTCTTTTGCCTGGTCCCATTTATCTTGGACTTCGTGTTCATGATGGCAAACTACCATTCCCATGCCACCACCGCCTTTGGTTGCCTTGAGGAGAATCGGGAATCCGACGCGTTTGCCCAGGTCTACGGCAGCATTGAGAGACGTAGTCAAACCATTCACGTTGGCCGTTTCTATCGAAGAAGTCTCGTCACCCGAACCAGGACTCACCCGCACGCCAACCTTTCTAGCAATCTCGCGTGCAGCGTGCTTCGCGCCCATCAAGTCGACCACATCGGCGCTTGGGGCTAGTACCGTGATACCTGACTCCGTAAAGAGACGTATGAATCCCGCGTTTTCGGCCAGGAACCCGTATCCAGGATGCACAAGTGTCACTCCAAGTTCCTTGCATATTGAGAGGAGTAGCTGAGCGTCGAGGTACAGCTGAGATTCAGGTACTCCGTCTTTTCCTTCGATAAGATCAGCTGTGATATTTTCTCCAAGGTGCCCTTAGTAGGCTTACGTTTGTCGTGACGATAATCGGCCAAAGGGATGGCCTCGTCAGCAAGGTTGACATGCGGGGATGTCGCGTCAGATGGAGAATATACAGAGATCGTCTGCAGCCCGAGCTTCCGTGCTGTGCTCAAAATTCGGACGGCGATCTCTCCGCGATTGGCTACGAGAAGCTTATGCTGTTCGTATACGGACATTGGGGAAACGTGGGGCTAGACGTTGGAATTTTCGGACGACAAAGCCACCAAACGAGCCACGAGTCGCGTCTTTCAAGAATCGCTGGTTGGAAAGTGGAAAGGCGACCCTCGTCGATAAGGAGCAAGTGGAATTGTCGAGTAGCTGGGAACTGGAAGCTGATAAGACGGGATCACGCGTCTCCGCGTGTGAGCTTTGTTAGCCTCTACATATGTAGTATGTGAGTAGTCCAACGAAGCTGAGTCTCTTATTTGCTGGTATCAGCTGTATCTAACAGCCCGGAAGGAGATAGCTTGAGTGATTCAGACTTTCAGCTCCAAGAAATAATAAAAACCGCACCATCCTTTCCCGTAAGACCATCACCGGAGGAGAAAAGTTGCACTAGAAAAGCCGTGTGATCGCGGAAACCGTTCAAGGATGATGCAGATGATGCTCCAAGTTCACCGCATCCATTTTGCAGTCGAGAGCACCGGTGGTATACCGATATCATCCAGTGGAATATTCAGATGCTGGTGAGTCGTGCTTCACACGCCTAGCTTGCCTAATTCGAGGTTGCCCTACCCAGCCTCCCAGTAGCTAACTGCAGGCTGCTGCGGGTAGTCGAACCAAGGTTAATCTTGCGCTTGAACTCCGAGTTGTTGTTGGTCGGAGTTTGGGAAAGTGCTGTTAACTTACATAATGGAATAGGGACGCGCCAGGGGGTAGCAACTTGGCAGTTGTTTGAATCAGTCGACAATCATCCGCTCTCAGTCCAGCGTCGCGAGCGCCACAGAGTGCGAGGTTCAGCCGCAATGAATGTCTCACTACAAGGGGGCAGTTGTCCCCAACGATGCCACCTTACCACCTTGTCGTAGGTATGGTATGCCTGCCTATGAATTGCGAACTTATGCCAATGACATGAGGCGCAATAGATGGTGTATTAACTTGCTGCTTCATGGAAGTCCAGATGTTCAAGACTAATTAACGTCTTCAGCATTGAAACACCGATAATTTCGAGATCATTTCCTATAACAATATGATAATTGACACTGCCTCACATGCTCCGCTCCATCAACCTGGCTCCTTCAAACGCCAGTATGGCCATCCTACAAAGGACGACACTGTATGGCACTGTCATTCCCCAGTGCTTACCCTTGCTTAGCTCCAGGTTCGCATCTTTGGTTCCGCTCTTCGAAGATAATTGTATATATATAGATATGTGCGGCGAAAGCTGTGTGCGGGCGGGCTTCTCGTTCTCCTTGCACCCTGTCAAGCAGGCATCGTGGCAATTCTCGACGAGTATAAAATCAACTACAGCGACGAGTCAGTAGCAAGCACCTCTACTTCGCCAAAGATGCAGTTTTCCAAATTCCTCTTCTGGGGCGAGTCATATTTACCTGTCTCGTGTGCGCATCCTGACGACTGTTATTGAATTTTAGCACTCTTCTGTATCCTAGCCCAGTTGCTGCTTGTACGCGCTGCTGTACTTGAGCAACGGGCTGACCAGTTCGTCTGCAACGCCAATGGTAGTCGCGGCGGGTGCGATACTACTGCAGCGAGAAAGGCATGACGGCTACTCCTTCTTGTTGATCATTTACTTACTTTCCTTCTCCAGTGCATCCAGGCGCTCAAAGCTCAATTAAGGCCTGTAGCCGGCGGCAAACTGTCATTTTCGGGGAACTACGGTGCCTACAGTGGTGGCTGCCGCTGCTATGCACAATGTAGGACTGGTCCCAACTATCCAACTTGCATAGGTGCTCGAAGTCTCTTTGATTTCTAGGTCACTTTTACTCACAATTTTGCCGTCCTAGTTGGGTCAACCCGCTACGACGATATCTTTTATGGGCTGCGCGACGCTTGTATCTCCAGCGCCGCTCGTGCTCTTGGTACGTCCGCAGCCTGCCTTTTCGCTCACAGCTGACTCACATACTTTCCCTATGTTCTAGGTTATGTCTATGTAAGCCACATTCATTTCGGGCGAGGTAGTCGTACTCACTATCATTCCTTGCAGGCTGACAACGCCAAATGGGAGTTCGCTAGGTATCCTTAGGTCGTGTTTTCATCTTTACTTTGCCTTCCTTGACCTACCCAGAAAGAGGACATTCGGACATTTGTTACAATGCTGTATGTTCACGCTTCGAATACGGTTGATTTCTTGTACATTTCGGGATCAAGTACAAAGTACAGGAGCTCATCGACAGAGTAGAGGTCCGACGGACTACTTAGAAGGAGATAGTCGCTCCTGCAGTACCAACGACGGCTGCGCGAACACTGTCGGTAGGGATGAGAGTGTAAGAGTATGGGGCCGTGGTAAAAGTGCCAACGGGGGCGGTGTTCTCTGCACCACCGAAGTCGTTACCGACCGCGACGGCGAATCCCTCGTCAGTGGCGTACAAAGGCTTAGTAGTACCTTGAAACAAGACGGCGGGCATTAGCATTTGAGTGACAAGGACATTGTAGGGACGGACCAGTCCAGACATTGTTCTCGACGAGAAGTTGGGCAGCGTCGCGGGTGTTGATTCCGTCGTTGTTATTATCGAAGACGTTGTTAAAGATGTGGCCAGTTCCGAAGCGGAAGGAAGGAGTCCTGATTATGGCGCATCAGTGTTCTGGACGTCGAGAGATCTCTTATTATGGATCATACCTGGAGTTCAAGTTGGAGAAGTAGTTGTTGGCATATGTGACGGTGATTGCAACATCCTCAGCGCCATTATTGTCGGAGTGACCAACGAGGGATCCTTTCCAGTGGTCGTGCAAGATGCTGTTGGTAACCGTCACACCAGTGGGGCCGTGAGTGATATCCAGAAGGCCATCGTAGCTATGAACAAGATAAAATCAATATAAGGAATAGCACTTCCAAAAGAAGAGCGTACAAGTCCTTGTCGTGGTCACGGTCGCTCGAAAGGTCGAGATGGTCCAACCAAACTTGGCTAGCCGCTTGGACAGCGACGTTGTCACCAGGAGCCAAAACCTTCGAGATTTTGATGTTACGAATGATAACGTTGCTGACATCGATGACGCGTAACCCGATTCCATTGAGGACTGGAGATTGGCAGTAGGCTTGAGCGAATATCATAATTATCATTGAAGTAAGACAACAGACCGGCGCCGTTACCCAGGACGGAGGTATTCCCGCCAACCTTGACGATAGCGTCACCAGTGATGGTGCCTACAAGTAACGAATGAAACGTGTTTTCTGGGAAGTGAATGCAACTATGACAGACCAGAAATAATAACGATTTTAGGTTCGTCACCGGCCACAGCGGCAGTGAGTTCTTCGAGAGTGGTTACGGTAGTGGTGGGCCCTCCAGATCCGCCGGTCGTGCTGGGATGGTAATGTGAGACGGGACGAACATTCGCGCACGCGCTGTACTTACCCGCCATTTAGGGAAGCATAGCCGACCGTCGCGACGTCGTTGACAGACGCTCGCTTGACCAAAGCCGGGGAAGCCTACAAGTATAGAAAGATGGTCTGGTTAGCTCTGTTTCTGTTCAACAACATAGAAAGCTCACCGAGACTACTTGGACGGCAAGTAAAGCAATAGCAGAGATGATCCACTTCATGTTTGCTTTGGTTGTTTGACCTGTTCAGAAAGTAAGATGAACAATGCACGAATGTTGTTCTGCTCTTTCAACTCGTCTCATCGACGTTTTTATACGCAGAATGTTGGCCTTGTATGGCCCATCACTACTCATCGGATTACCCTCGGTTAGAAATCAACGCGTCACAATGAATACAGTGGAGACTTTCGTTGTTCATGAGACAAGCGCCTAGAAAGTCAGCGGACCGTCTGGACCGCCCGGACCAGAAATATCCTCGTTCCAAACTCGTTCGCGCCAATATGTGCTTGCGAACTTGTCAGAACTATCGCTATGTAGGTAAGAGTCGAGGGCAGCAGTGACATTGAGTGGAGCGCACCATGCAACCGGAGTATTTTTCTGCCGGCACGCCTTCTTCGATTTGCACGAGGACAATGAACAAGGAAGGAGAGAAAATGACGAGATGTCTGCTTGGGTGCGGAAATGCGTTGTTTTCCCCGAGGCGGAGAATTGCGAAGTAAATGGGTGGTGATTGTGATGGGTGGATGTGGAGTCGAAGTTAGTGTTTTTGCGAATGAGAGAGACGCGAATGAGAGTCGGGGGATTATGTTTTACTTTGGCGGGCCGTTTTGCAGTCTGCTGGATGCACCACCGACCGGATTTACGGGCAGGCAAGGCAAGCGAACACTATTGCAATTGGCGCCACAGAAATGACGCCGTTCCGAGACTCCACGGAAGTTTGAGATTCAATGTGAAGTGTCGTCCTGTTTGCGACAATCCACTGGCTTGTAAGACTGATAATTTCCTTCGCCTCCAATACCTCCTATGTCTCGGGGTGCGCCCACGGGCATGCGTGGAATGGCCTCCTTATTTGTCAGGAGCCGTAGCTGAGATGCGATATACTGGATTTGACTTAATTCACGCCCGCGAGTTGGGGTACCGTTGGTTTTTGTGTCGCAAAGCTATCCAATGACATCTCGTTCTCGGTGGAGCTCGAAGAAGATCATTCACTAGCAAGTAGTTGACACCGGCGAAGGATGATAGCGGAGACGCATGTCATCGATTTCGCTGTTCCGACATTCGAACCACCTGACCAATACGCCGATGCTAATTAGCACCAGCACCCGCGCATTAGATGGGAGTACGAGGATGAATGCGATATCATCTGTTAGATCATCGGACTTGGATCGTAATTGCATGCGTGCAACTAGAAGAAGGATGCATCAAACGCTGTCATCGACATCTTCCGAGGGTTATGTGCAAGCGTAGGATAGGATAAAAGAGCTTATAAGAAAGCATGATCATAGTTTCTATAAGGCTACGAACGGAAGGGGCATAAGCATAAGCAAAAGCGAAATTGGGAACCAAATACGAATCACCTAGAAAAGCTCCTCTGAATGGACCGTCTACAACTTGACGCTCTCTAACTCTTCGTCGACATCCGTCCACCACTGATTCCAGTCCCTGACTGACTCCCCTTCAAGCCAATCAGGTTTATCGTCCAACTTGTCCCTGCGAAACCGGAGGAGACCGGAGTCGGCATCATCATTCATGCGCGCAAAATCGAACATCTTCAAGGAGGGAAGTGCAGAGAAAAGGTCTGTCACAGACTCTACGTTGTCGTCACATATAATATTGAGTTGAAGGAATTCAACCTTCGTCCCGAAGAGGTTGTCGACGAAGAGAAGCAATGCAGATAGACTTTCGATGGGTTCCTATAATCGATGAGTCAACCTTCAAGAGAGAGTAAATAAATAACGAACTGACATCAGAGGTGATTTGGAGGTATTTGATTTCGGGGCACAAGCGAGCGTATACCGTTAAGGATAATGGGTCGATTGTGTTAGACGTGATCAAGAGCGACTGAACACACTTCAACATGGGTAAGGGCGTGGCGTCTATCCGCAACTCGAGAAGTGGCGATAAAGATTCGAGATTTTCAGTTGCCAGGCCCAGGTGAGGGACATGTCTATCTGTGAGGACGCTCTTTGCGAAGTCAAGCGAGCTGTCACTCAGAAAACGGAGCAAGGGCAACGCGTCTGTTGCCAATGGAATAGATCCTATGCCGTCCCCGTTAACCTTCACGTACTCCAACGAAGGCATCGACTCGAGGAAAAACGCGAACGAAATTGCATCTTTCACATCCGCCGACCAGCAAAGGTGAGTAATACTGGTAAACCGGCATGATGCATTGACTATGGGGGGCGCAATGGTCACGCCTTGATATAGAACCGTGAGATATTTCAGATTGTGCAATGATAACAGAAGGGCGCTCGTCAGACATCTGTCGATTTGTCCCGGCGTCGATCCGGTGGTGTTCGGTGGATATCTACCAAGGTATAGCGTTCGAACAACATCAGCAAGCCGACCGTCTCCTTTGGTAACTGTTTGACGAAACTGCTCGACCAGATGGGAGATTCCCTTCCTTTTCAGTGAAAATCCAATGGAAGGTTCCCTGTATAACACGGTTTCGACAATTCCTTTTGTGTATCGCGAGATGGAGGCCATGGGTGCAAGTTCATGCTGAGGGAATTGGAGGTGCTCGAATATGGAAAGCCAGATTTCTGGTGGTAGCCTGTGAAGCATCTGTGGCTCATCGGTGTGAATCAGGTCTTGGCCTTGAAGAAATGTACTCACCTGGTCGCTGAAAGTATATGTAACAGTGGCGGTTAGTGACAGGTTGCTTATACTCTTCGGCATCGTCCAGTCGGGCAAGGAATTGCGGGGTTCGAACTCTGACATCGTATTCACGTGCAACTACGACACTGGCTTTACATACTAACACTTCCGTTAAACAACATATCCTGCGGCTTTGTTGCTCATGTCGACGATAGATCTGACCAGCGTCGCAATCTCAATAGCACCCTGTCATCGGTAAGTAAATGTGAGCGAGGGAAAATGTTATGGAAGGGATTGGGAAGTGATACGTACGGGAGTATCGGAATGACAGCAGATAGACACCTCTGTAATGTTCGCTCCTAAGGGTATCTTGGACCCGTCATTCGTCGTAACTAACCCTTCCGTTAGTAGGGTTTCAACCTGTTAGTATAAACATCAGTGAGATTTGCCATGAATAATGAACGGCGAAACTCTTGCTCGGGTTTTCACAATGTCGTGCGGAACAGGGTCATGTTTTCTTTAATGGGTACACATGAGATCTTGAGAGCCCAGTTCTGGAAGAGCATTGGAAGAACGCGTACTGCGTTATTATCAATTTACCCTCAGGGTTGTAGTCGAGATCAGCGAACCACTCTTAGGTATCTGTAAGTCAACTACGATGTTTGGCAAGTGAGGGGAGACTAACCGGCAATGAATTTTACTCCTGCCTCTTCCGCCGCTTGCTGATGGGCGGTTCCCGCTAGCCCTACAAACGCTACCCCTTGGCCACCATTCGCTTCCTCGGTACTAAATATCTTCACAACTTGCACGGCCGCCCGAGCCAGCTCGATTGAACGAGAGGCCTGTCCATATATTGCACCGTGTAGTTTGATCTACAGTAAACCTATGTGAGCAACCCGAGTCAACGGAAAGATTCAGCGTAAACAAACGTGATTCAGAGGTAAATCGTGGCGCTTGAGAAAGCCTGCCAAGGCGCCGACTTGGTACACAAAGCACGACACAAGTTCTGCCTGGATGTGGAGGTCAGATAATGTAGTTCATCAAAAGAGTGCATACGGGCGAAATGTTCATTTCTCTTCGCCCAAATCCTTGTCTATCAGGAAGCGAGGGGTGGGCTCCCACAAGGACGCCGTTCTCTTTAGCGAGTGCTACGGTCTTGTCCATGATAGAGAAGTCGCTGGATTCATGAGTGTAAGCGACGACCTTCACGGTCACGGCACTGAATAAGTGAACCGAGGTCACTCACGACGCGTGGAATCCGCAGGCAACGTTCGCAAGATGGATCGTCTTCATAAGGGCAGCATCGTCCGCCTACCAACATGCATTCACCGTAAGATGAGTAAAGTTTGCCATGACCAAGCCAACCTACTATAGTGTATAACGAGAATCCCTTCAAGTTCGTTAATTCTTGCAAAGCGAGGTGACATCTATAGGCCTACCTCTCCCATGTCACAGTTTACCGTAGCTTTCAAGGGAGGCATGGACAGCAGTTGCGAGTCGCGCCGTCAACCAGGGAGGGGCGATAAGGTGTGAATCAGAATATGGATCAAAGGACTCAGCTTACCATGCAGAGCGTCGTGAGAGCCACCACAGAGCTGTATCTATATCTCACGCCTCCACATTTGCCCCACCATTTATTCTGGAATGCTGCTATTCGTGGCCCGTGAGCTGGATGCTCGGACCAATCGGTAAGCTGGCATATGGCCCGCCGAAAATATTTGAGGAGAAATAGAGCCTAGCTACGCAAACGATGGTATGAAGAACTTCACGTAGTTCCGTGTTCAAAGGTCAATGTCAGTGCTGATCCAGAGAATACGTGGTGGGAACGCACAATGAGAATGATGAATCGTTGTCCACGCTCGCCTTTCGAGATGTCTCTCGTCAAACTCGAGCCTTCAAAGTTGCATTGATTAGTGAACGCGCGTGAACCCTTGTGCCTGCTCAGGAGGGCCTTAGGGGTCCGGCCTACGGCAAAGGCAAGAATTACGGGGCCCGCGGTATATTTTCCAAGGTAGCCCGACCTTCGGCACATATATACATAGACTATGGGATAACACTACTCGATGTACAGCACATGCATGACATACAACGTACTAAACTATTGCATGGGCCTTGTCAGCCAAATGGGGAGTCCCGATATTTGTCGGTGATTCAGGACGGCAGTATAGATGGGGGGCAGGGGTGCTGTCATCGGGGCGATCAAATGCCTTAGATTAGGGAACGACAGTTCCTGTGGAGATACGTATACTCCGTCCTCTTGCATTTGGATTTGGGCGATGCGCCCCGCCGCCGGAGTCTCCTGGACCAACGCGCCCATGACGCCGCGCAACGTCTTCTCGTCCACGAACAAACCCTCTAAACGGGGAAACGCAGCAGACACCGTCTGCGTCCAAAAGCGGGGGTGAAGCTGATGGTGATGGGGGAGGCGACACTGCAGGGATCGCACTTCGCGGCCTGGGATCACGTTGAAAGACCAGGCGAGCAATTCGGCGTCAACGAGCGCCCTGCCGTGCATCGGTCCCTCAAGAGCGATAGACAGCAACAGCACGTCTTCCAACTGCCCAGTTCGTTCGTCGGACATAGAGAGAGCCGCGGCCTGCATGGAGTACAGCGTGCTCTCGACAGCGAGATGGCATGCAGGATACGTGAAGAAGTAGAGCTCGAGGTGCGACCTGCAGACGTCGAACAGCGCAGCGTATGCGTATTCCTCGTTTCCTTCGCGCTCGCACGATTCGGCGATCACGACCAGGTGCGCAAGGCAGTGGAACCTCACGCGTCGCAGGAGCGCGGTGCATAGGCTCATATGGTCATCGAAGCTGAGAGTAGACAAGCGGGGGAAGTCGATCGTCATCGCGATATCTTCATGATCAAGCCCGAAGTTCAGTGGTACGCATCGCGTCAGAAAGAGCTCTTCCAACGAAGACATCCGCGATAGCGCATCCACGAAGCACTGGCTCCCGCACCGGTTGGGGCTGGCGACACGGAGGCTTGTAAGATTCCCAAAGGCGGGTGAGTCCCAGCTGAGTTTCCAGCCGCCGATAGCGAGTTTAGCGAGGCGCGGGGGGGCCTTGCCACCAAAGAGGTCGAGAGCAGCACCGTCTAGTTCCTCGTCGTCCGCGTCTTCCCCCGGCCCCCCGATCCAGAGCGCGAAGGATTCCAAAAGCGGGGTATCGCAGGTGGCGCCGAGCAACGACTCGGAGACGTTCGAACGAAACTCGTCCTGCCGCACGTACATCGCGAACACCGACATCCGGCATCCGGTGGAATTCGGCGAAGAGGAGGTCCGCGGCTCGGCCTGGGACGGGGTTCGTGCCGTCGGCGCCGTATAGCTGGAGGGGCATGTTCTGCGAAAATCGGAGGGCGGCACGCATCTGGGAGGGGGGCTCAGACCCGTAGATCGTCGTACATAGTTCGGGGGCGCCTCGTATGGCGTCCCGCCACGCACTGCATACCAGACTCAAGGTATTCAGCAAGTCGCACGGAGGGAGCCTTCGTTCGTCGCTGTTAGAATCTGTGATAGAGATTTTGATGATTTCGAGGAGAATTTCGGCGGGGATTTTCTCGATGCTGCACGTTTGTGAAGTGTTCGTGGTGGTCGACATGAGAATCCCGAAGGAAGAGGCAGGAATACAACAAGTGGGGCTATTTAACCACCACCCACAATTCCCTAATTTATCGCACAACAGGTGTGGCAGGTTGGCCACTTTTGCCACATCCATTGAGTGGAATGTTGTTCAAGAACGCACATGGTAAGTTACAACAGTAGCAATCCATTAGGAAGGGAAGTCACGGACGAGATACATGAGGGCTACCGATACGATATATTGAGTCACTCAAAGAAATCAAATCATAATCCAGGTTCACTTACTTCGCGGGTCATAACCATCAAAATATCAAGCGCTCGAAACTCCTTGGATGAGTGTCTTCGCGGCGTGGGATCGCGGCTGGATCTGGCATTTGAAAGGGAGCGGCGACCTGTATAATGTCAGCGTACTGAAAGCGCAGAATCTCTGAGCACCTACGGAATCAAACCCGGGCAATACTGCCCAGAAGGAACGATGACATCACCGTCTTCGTCGACGGCGTGGGTGAATTCGAACACGCTCAATAGCAGCGCCGTTGTTATCCAGATGGACGCGGAGGCAAGGTGCCGGCCCGGGCAGAGGCTGTAAATGTAAATAGTTAGACAAACGTACACATATACCATGGCACAGATAATAAACAAACGGATACGGATCGGACTAACCGTCTGCCAAATCCAAACGCGACAGTGGGTTCCTTCATATCTGGGTTCAGTTCACCGTCTGGCAACAGCCAGCGTTCAGGTTTGAATGCAAACGGGTCGGGATATCTCGTTGAGTCGTGCAGCATTGCCCTGAAAACGAAAACGAATCAATGCGAGGGAAAGAAAAGAGAGTGTGGGGATTCTCGGTCACCATGCGTTTCCGAGGACAATCGAGTTCGCGGGAATGCGATATCCCCTGTACGCATCCTCGACCGTTACGAAGTGAGGTATTGCTTAATAATAATAAAACATGGATCAGACATCATTGGTTATGCTCACAAACAGGAATGGGTGTGGCCTACCTAACGGCGTTACAGGCTGCCACCTGAAGGGAATCACTGTCATTCACAAGAAGACATACTGATGAACACGGACCTTTGAACTTCTCTGGTGATAGCGGTCACGTACGGCAGACTGTCCATATCTTCAAAATCAGGCAGCCGCTTCCCCTCCAGAACGCTATCGATCTCTCGTCGAGCTCTGGCCTGAACGTCTGGGTGTGTTAGTAAAGCGAGAATCAACGAATTTAACGCCGATGTTGTTGTATCGAAGCCGGCTGATCAAGACGCATGATAGTCAGTATCAAAGGATGGGCGCTAAGGAACCGGGGAGGTGGCCTACCAGCATACAGGTTGGCGGCGGTGCCTTGAATGAGACGCTCCTGTAAGGCAACATCGCCCGTGTCATCTACGTTTTCGAGACAGCGTGAAGTAAATGAGGGTTCGTAGGTTCCGCTGGCCTGCAATCAGACGCCCTTCTTAGTAAGCGGCACGTAACTTGAATAAACAAGCGGCTGTACGCACCATCTTTTCCTTCACGACAGCAAAAGGATCCCTGAGCATTGTTTCTGCGTAGTGCTTCCACTCTTTGGCCTTCTTCTGAAACCCGGCCCCGGGCACCCACGCCGGAACATACTTGAGTATAGGCATGACTTCGACAAGGAATGCGCCGTGAAGGGATGCTATGTTCAATCCGGCTAGCGCCTTTTCAGCGGTAACAACGTGGGGATCTTCCTTCGCAGCTATATCAATAGCATAGCCAACGTCCATGATGATGGCGACGGTGGTACTGAATCGTTGTTAACATCAACTTGTCGGAGTGGAGAGGGTGGGACCTACTGGTTGATGTGCTCCATGAAGTCATCGGGGGACTCAAGGAGGCGCGTCAAGAGGCCGCTCGTGTGCTTGAGTACTTGGGGCTGGAATAAAGCGGTTACGGCGTTCGGGTGAAACTCCCTTTGGAAGAGCCTGCGATGCTGCTTCCACGACTCGCCATATTCCATGGCAGCGAAGAGCCACGACCAGCCCATTCTATACCCCTTGTGAGTTCCTAGCAAATTGTACGAGGTCAACAAATACTCACAATTCGTTAAGCATAATAAATCGCGGGCTAGCGACGAAGATGAAAGACACTTCAGCAAACGAGAGAAAAGCAGAACACACCGACTGGAGTAGATAGACGATCGCTTGTCAAATAAGTCGTTGGCTGCCTCGGCCGTGTCGATCACAACGATGGATGATCCAGCGACATTGAGATGAATGATGTCAGAGTCTGAATGGGCTATCAGCAAGAGAACAACAATTTGGAGAAAGTTCGGTGGTTACTGTATTGCTTCGACCATTCGTGGTACTGGATCCATTGAAACTCGGATGGAGCATCCAACAAGTTCCCGATAATTGGGAGCTTCTTTGGACCAGGTGGAAGTGGGAGATTCAACTGACCAGACCTGGTGTGCCGTTGGCTGTACAAGGCTGCGCATGCCAGAACAGCTAGAGACACATAGATGGGCGTCGACATCTCAACGCTCTCTCCCTACCTCGGTACCGTTGCGGGACGTATATATGCCATGACGATCCTATACACCGCTTCTTGATAGTGGCAACTCATCGACACTAACGAGTAAATCTGCCGAAGCGATGATGTCGTAGCAGACCTTCACGCTGACGTCATTACCCACATCATGCGGACATACTGCGCAGATAAATACATAGATAGGTGCACACAACAATGGGAATCATCCTAGAGGGTGTTAGTCACTCCGTTCATTGAATAGTGCCTGGTAAGTAACGTTGACGGAATCACTGCTGCGGGTTTCCAGAGTAGCCGTTTGTGAAATGAATGCAATACGCGCCCAAGTGGTAATGTTCGGCAGGGAGGCGTATCGCAGACCGGGGAGCGATCAGTTGTGAGGTAGAGGAGTTGGTTGGTTCGCTCACGAGTCTCATATCGAACGTTTAGTTTGCTACTCCTCGTCCCCGCTAATAGTGACTTCGTATGTATCCAGACTCCACTCGATCGCTCCCTGCCGACGTCAGGCTATACCGCGTTTCATCAGTCTTGCCTGATGCCCCAGCGCAGGCTAGCTCAAGCCACGTCAGAAAGCACATTTACCAGCGTAGGGCAGCCTCGCTAAGGGCGTGGGACCAAGAACTGAGATTCTGGCCGCAATGTTGAGCTCATGATATAGCCCAGCCGGCCGAGGCGAATCCAGTGTGAAGGCGAACGGAGTGGAAGTCAAGTTTCGGGAGTCACCAGCGCCTATTCTGGTTCTTCTCGAACCGTTGGTCGAAGTCCAGTCACGACGACGAACGTCCATGCCACAGTACACGTCGATGTGTTATGTGCACCGATACACTCATTTTCATCTGGTCCACTGCGCCTCACATGTGCCGCGACATTCGGGATAGCCTGCACCATTTCTCGCAACCAGTTGAACGGCACTCGTCGCGTTCGAGCGTGAATTGTAGAGTTATACGTTGGGGGATGCTCCCATATGTAGGCAGCAGGTAGTCGTTGGGCGTCTTGTCACTCGAAGGGCTTTGGGAAGGCGAAGAACTCGGGAACAAAATCAAAGAGGGCGGGAGCCCCGGCCCCCGAGTATTAACGTGAGCAGAGAGCTCATGAATGTACCGTACTACTCAGAACTCACGTCGAGAGGATGCGAGAAGTATCAGCGCATCGTTCGCTGGCTCTGCGTGGCCGTTAATGAGTGCTGAGGGGAAAAAGTCGAAAGTCGAAGAATTTCGTCCAACCGGTGTACATATCACCTTTTCGATACACCCTTTCCCATTGTTGCAAAATCCCGAATAACGCCGAGCTGGGTCCATCCTCGATAAATCCCGAGATTCCATGTTAACTTGACACTGGACCTCAATACCGCACGGCGGTCTTCTCATGTTGCCACAGATATGATCTAAGTAGTGCTAATCGCGGTTGCTTGTCTCACCGTGGCTTTGGCGATAATTACCTCCTCCGTCTACCAGCTGCAAGAAACATCGCGATCAGCATGTCACAGACGTGCTGTGACAAATCAACGTTAACGTTCAACGCCTATGACGCCTCGTGCAGCTCTGGGGTGGTCCCAACCTCGCGCATTGTGATTACCTCATGGCACGTATTGTCTTACGGGTTCTCGTATATGCACTAACCGTATTCACCAGGCGAGGATCATTCTGTCGTCGTACTCAACTTGCATAACGGACCAAGGTTTCACAAGGAGAGTCTCCCTCAATTTCAATTGCGCACTTGAGTGGGCATACATGCCCCCTTTGCGCGCCATTAATGCCTGACATATCCTCTCTCAGAGCTCGCCACTTCTAGATCGTGTTCATAGGGTGATGGTATCAAGTAGTCGCTATATCAGTGTCATCGAAGTGTACGTCGAAGCGCGCATTGAAATACAACGAATCGAGTATGATGTCTGGATGGCGACCCACGATTAAGATGCATCCTAGTCCAGAGAATCTGGAATGAATATTGCTCACATCTCCGTGACCTCTTACCTGACGTTGCGCAGATTTGTTGTAGATGAGAGACCAAGAGCTCGCTGGCTAAGGACTAGCAGAACCGGATGAAACTTCCGCAGCGCGCGTAAAATAAAAACGTTGATTCAACCCAGGCTCGAACTGAGGACCTTCTGTGCGGCAGTGCTATACTGTAAGACAGATGCGATAACCAACTACGCCATTGAACCTATTGATCAGCACGCGACACACACCATCGCACAGGAGCACAGGTCTTACGCGCAAGAAAATACTGTTTCACAAAAGGTACAAGTACAAGCATGCCGAGAACAGGGAAATGAGGCCAATGAGAATAACGCACGCTCTGATGATACTCGTTTATATTCTTCTCTGAAATACCTCTTCATCGGAGAGCCCGTTGTGCAAGGTGCCTTTGGTTTCACTCTGATATGCATTGTGAGTAATTGTAGAAATGGCTGCCTCGCTTCGACTTACTGAGGCCTCAATATCATTATGGGCTAACGACGCTGCAGGGGCAGTGTATCTCGATTCCCCTAGAGTGTCTCTTGCATCCGAAACAATAGTAACAGACTTGTAGGGGGACAATCGAATCAGCGTTCCGAGGGGTGAGCAGACTGCTTGCTTACCTTGCTTATCCTAACATGTGCGGGGAAAGAAGCTAGATGGATCACTGTGCCGTGCTCGTCCAAAACGTGCTCTCGGGTGAATTGCCGAATATTCAAGCTACACGCGGAGTGAGTGACCGCATAATAAATGTCAACTGAGGATAATCCCTACGTAGCAAGCATAGACGCGGCGTATACTGGATAGGACTTGGATGTTAGGGTCTCCTGTCTATTGGGCTAAGTTGAATGTTCACGCACAGTTACTGATAATCTCGTAGACTGCGATAAACGTCATATTCTTCGTGTGTTGGGTCTAGGAAAGACGGTGAGTGGGTTTCATAGCGGAAGACAGAGCCATACAGCTACTAGCGCCATTACCGTGAAATCTGCAATGCTGTTGAAGTTAAGTGTCGTGTGCGACATGGGCCTGATTGTGATACTAACCTTGTCAAAATGCCAACGTTAACTGCCCAGAATATGAGTTTGTTAATGAGCTTGTCGGTTCTAAGTGGCGAATCAGTACATCGCGAAATGTTGGTGAGAAGAGGCGTGCTGCGTAGCCCGACTGACTCTATGATCCCGGAGCGGGCATGATGGAGGTAATATCCCAACGAAAATGCGACTATAAGATCTGTCACTCCTTCCAACGCCAGAGAGCTCGTTGTGAGGTTCTGTATACTTATCAGATGTCTATTAAATGACTGATACAAGACAACATACCTCCCAGGAGCGTGGGATGTCTGAGTATGTATCAATGCCAAATCTGGGGGGGGATGTTGTTCTTAAATATGAGCTACACCACATATGTTGTCAAAAACATACGCAATTCCGGCGACGGCTGTGGGACGGGGTACTATTAGACATTATAATATTCCAATGATGCAATCTTACCCCCTGATGTCGCTGTGGAGAGTATCTTGACGTTAATGTCCACTTCCCAGTCGTCGTAAAAGTGCTAATGCGTACCTGTGTGTCCTATTCCCAGGAATATCTGAAGCAGGGTCGTCAGAACCGAACATCATGGGTAAAATGTATGCACGCACGACGACGAATGGAATAATCCGCGCTCTGCTCACTGCAAAGTATAAGATAGGTCCGCAAGAGGCTTGAGTAGCGTACGCACGTATGTAGATACGCCAAGCGAAGAAAATGTGCGCAGTGAGGGTGAGAAGTGCCTACATGTTAGAAATCAATTTTTTGCTTGATACCTAGTGAGAACGATGAACATACAGTGACGACAATAGTGAGCTCAAGGGGTGTGATTAAAACGGCTTTCAAGTGCAATACGAGTCACGCTCACATTCATGCTCCTGGTTGGGTAATGCAGGATGTTAATTACTAGGTTGGGGGGGCGCGGGGTAAAAACTCACCAAACAGTTGAGTCCAAAACGGATATTCTGCCGAAGCCCAGCACAACGTAGAAATAGACAGCATGGCAGAGGAAAATTGTATGTAGAACCTCGGATATCCTAGAAGGAAATTGGCATGGCGTGTTACAATCAGGATACAATGCTCACCACACACAGGCGACCTAATAACCAAGGGTGGCTTTAGTCGGTGTCTATTTAATTGAAGATGTCACATACGGCAGCCTTCATGATGACGGTGTCAGTCGGATAGTGCTGGTAATAGTACCATGTCTGTAGCGAATTCGCTCCAAAAAAGCTGGTCACAATGTTCATTCGTTGATAGCAGAAGTATGGTAGTGACCCACCAAATAGAAAAGAACGCGCCGATGAGCAAAGCACCAATGGAAGAAGACAAGGCACCTTGAAGGTCTGGAATATCCGGGGAGACGGCACACGACATGCTTCGAAGGTGCGCTCTCGAGTTCTTGGCTTACACCTGGTTTATATGGTGGCTCTGCTGTGTGCACGAAGTAATCAGATCAAAGAGGAGATTCGGAGGCCTCTGGATCAGAACGGGATCAGAACAATTGACCAGCATAAGGGTAGAGGGTACTGACGTTATGAAAACTTTCAATTAAAATCAATCAAGTTCGCCGGACTCGGACTCCCATGCTCGCACCACTGTCCGACTTCCTTCCATCGAACGCTGGAGATTCATTCTATCGAGATATATAAGTACACCTTCATCTTGGCGGCGTGAGCGTGGTTCCCAGCTCTAGCACCATCAGACTGAAGCTGGTGATAGTTGATGGAGTCTACGAGGAAGATACACTGATACCCAAATCAATATGGCATGGTGTGGATGCGAATGACCCCAATTTCTTTCGGACTTCCGTTGCTTCCGTCTCGCACCGGTCTTCGTTTTGGACCTGCAATTCTCATCAACGCATGGACCAACATATTGAATCCCGGACGAGCTGAAGTGATCAAAGAATGGAAGGTCCACAGGGTACGGTGATGCCTGGGCAATCCACCCGTCCTCGCCTTCTTCTATCAACTACTGCGATGTCACTGTGCCAAGATCAGATAGAACGAACACTAGAAGAAAAAGATGATGAACTAAATCTCGTTGTTCGACCAACGTTCGACTGATATGTGAGGCACTGAAAGCATTAAGTTGTTGTGACCAGTAATCTGAGGGTGACACGCACTTGAATTTGTGAAGTCTGGTCGTCCAGCGCTTGTGGTGATGAGAATTGTGTTCTCACGGTTCGACTCACAGGTCAGTTCAAACGTTCATGATTGGAACTTCACGTCAGGCAGCGCCGGCTTATTTTAACAGTGATACCACCGGAAGCAAGATTTCATTGCCCTTTGGACATTTGGTGGGCGTGATTGAGATGCGACGAAGTTCACGCCCAAATTGCCCAAATCCGGCTGTCTTCGTATCACTACCTCTCACACACTATGCGAAACAACCCCCGGCGTCAAGGACAATGCATCGAGGCGAAAACGCGGGTACCAATGATTCATACGTACCTCACAATCACGCGCAAGTGATTTCAGAACACTCGACAGTCTCGAAAGGGGTTTGTTATCGCAACTGTCTACATCGACTCGACTCGACTCCACATCAACGTACCGGGGATATCAATTAGTTCGGGGTAATATCCGTACTGATGGCTCGGACTGTGAACGTCTTCTATCATTGCATCGCGACGGACAGTAGGATGAAATGTACTATCGCAAGCAGGACTTCAGGCTTCGCGACTCGAAGGGCCGTTCTAGCCCCCGTGGAAACGGCCTCCGTGACATACATCCACACGGTTATCGTATTGCCACCGACACCTCCTCTCGCGCGCGATTCAACAACTGTATTCACTTCAAAATCTGATCCTCAGTCTACTCGCACGCACTGCGTCTCGAGGCCATTTGACTCACTCGAAAGACTCGTCTCGTCTCCCTCTGAGCTCATGGCCCGCTTCAAAACCACGTGGGAGGACCTGGCACACTTGGGCTATTCAAGGCTCGATGTCTGGAACACTTTGAACAAGCAGCGGGGCGGCACCATGCGGGGTCCGTTGGATGGCGGCGTTGCCCTCAACGAAGGCATCGCCCTGCAGTGGGCGTACGTTCACTCTTCCTCGCATTCTTCTTTCTCGTAACGCCCTCCTGCGTCTTTCGCTAGGTGGTACTGCTACAACGATTTCAAGGGCCCCGCGGCGCCCAAGGAGCCCGTTTACCGGTCAGTCAGCGCGGACGAGGTCCTTTGGGAATATAATAATACAACCAAAGACCACGTCAAGGGCAAGTGGTCAGGAAGTTGGAAGAGTACGGAGCACATCTCTGCTACTATAACACGAAACGGTGAGTTATTCGCTGCGGTTCTCCTTCTGCCAAAACGGTTGAAAGGTGTATTCTCATCGAAGCCGGCATACGCATCAGCGGTGGCTTTGATGTCCCAAACGCGTTCGACCGAGGGGTTGATTTCCGGCTCTCGCAAGATGAGCAGACGAAGGTCCATGAAGATGTCGTCAACTTCTCACACGATTGGAGCGTGGTGTAGGATGCCCTCTCGGGGCTTCGTCTTCACAATTCTAACTCCTTCCTTCCCGCAGAGTCGAGCCGGGCCAGCATCTGCGCCTTATACGCAAGAAGACTACGATGTCGGGAACCCAGGAATTTCAAGTCGTATGTAAAAACATTATGATGGAGTATGCAGCCATGTCTCACAGCACTCTTTTAGCCGTACGGACTGGCAAATACACCTGAGGATAGAATCGCAAGTGAGTGCGAAAATACACTCCGTTTTTCTATGCTAATAGAGGATTGTTGTAGCCAATGGACGACCGTAGGTGACCACACATTTATTCATCTTTACTTCACGCTTAATCTGCTCTCTTAGGTGGAATGAATATCTAATTTTGGTGCGTAACATTTCAGTCGTCTACGACCACAGATATGATCGCTAATGCGCCTCGTACTTAGCCCTACAGTTTGAACGCGACTTGTGATACACCGTCAAAAGTGATGCTAATTACTTGCATCCTGCGGAAGGAGGAGTACGTCCACGTCCTCCAGGATATTGCGGCCAACGACGTCGTTAGCGAAACACCTCTATTTGTTGAAGAACCCGGAAGTATTCAAGGACACTGACTCAGTGTACGTGTCCGTACTGGAATGTTGCCAAGAAACAGTGAGATCGAAGAGATAGTATCTTTGGCCGCTTTTTGTTCCAGGTCGATATGGTAATGAATGCAATCGATGTTAACGGCGCCGGCGATGAAGAGGAGGCGAGATAAGGCAGTGATGAAGTAACCAGTCGCCGATTCTATGTTTCTTCTCTCAGGCAACCTTATGAAGTCCGCACGATGGGAATTGATGCATACGCGCCGAGTCATCGCACCCGCCTATCATCACAATGGTCCTTTTATACCCTCGCCAGAACACCCTCCGCCGAGCCTGCTCGTGCTCGTGCCAACTGACTCGGTGGTGACGCACCTGTGTACGAATTCGACAAACATGTATCTGCCTCCTTGGTTGACCATCCGGAACCTGGTGATTCTTGATTCTTGCCCCACTTCTGGTTTAGAGGGGAGTGTGTGGTGTGTGGAGACTAGGTCTGGGGTTTGAGATCTGAGTGCGCGCGCGACGGGATGCCAGCCATAGCTGTACGAAATAGGATCCGGAGAGGACCTCGACAACGATGGGTGTCTTGGATTTCCGTTACACATCAGATTGTTCGCCCTCACCGGGGGCATCATACATGAGATGATGGCGAAAGGCGAAAAGCGAGCCGGGCTGCAATCTCGGAGGTGTGCTGCTGCTGGGAGAATGTCGAGGAAGAGGAAGGAAGACACGTTGGCTAGTCAAGAATCGCGACGAGGCACTCCGGTATGGTTCTGTTGTTTCTGCGAATTGGTGAGATATGCATGGAGGGCTGAATAATCTACTGGGGTATGCAGACTAGGGACTGATAGGGGTAGAAGAGGGTTGCCCCTGGCACATCTAAAGTGCGCACGCTGTGAGATCTCGCGACTCGAACGATATCAAGAGACCACAAAGCAAATTGCATTGCGTACTACTCCTTGTCCAACCCGTCGTCTTGAGCACTTGATAGCATCCTACTCGTTTCCATGCCGCCTGCTTCCGCTCGAGAAATAGGGCCTTGGACCGAAGCAAGGCCGTGAACGAAAGCCTCACGGTGTCATAGGCCTCTCAAGATACAACGACGGAAAGCCCCACGCTGTCGTTCCCCTCCGCAGCTCCCGCGATTTCATTGAAAGTCGTGTGGCTAGGCATGTGTCTCGCAGTACCCCCAGGTGGCGCATCTTGGGTACACCTTGGATCCGCCGCCGTCCAGTGAAGTTCGTCCCAGGAACCGCCTGCGGCTTCGACAGCACGCCGACAGCGTTCTTCGGACCATGAGATCGCCCCTCTGCCCCACGCGGCGAGCTGTGCATCGTTTAAGCTCTGCGTGAGGACGGTATAAACCCCACTTTTCCACCCATCGGGCGCTGGGTCGTATGAAGTCTCTACATAAGCGTACCAATCCATCTTGTCGATGTGTCAGTGTTAGTGAGGGTTGCGATGATAGAGATTCCATACGGTTGATTCAGTGAGTTGCGTGTTGGCTCAGGAGATCAAGGTTGTTGTGTGGGGTTCCTTGCGTCGATGAGTGTTATGTGCGACGGTGATGTAGGGGTGATGGGTATAGAGGGAGATTCCCACTGTGCTTCCGCGAATAACTTGGGCGCTGGCGCTAGCATTATTAAGCCCACATAGAAGGAGGCCCGATCACCGTTCCACATTTTCCGGTGGCCGTTGGTAGACTCAAAACAACCACGCTTCGAGAACGCAGGGCATGGGTGTTGGGGACAGCGAGCGAAAGCCGTTCATCACATGATCCGAGAGTCATTTACACGGTTCCGTTTACGTCTGCTTCATATATTTTTTTTTTTTTTTTTTGGATTCTGTTTAACGTCCATCGGAGTTCCCTCCATGCGGACGACTCGTTGCTACATGTGTTCGTATCTACTGCTATATAGAAATATAAATAAACGGGCCCTGTGCCCACCTTGACTGCCTGGCTCTTCATGCGCGACAGACGGACGGTCCGTGACCTCGTCCCCCTGCCGCCCAGTGACGGAAACCACTGTTTTTCGGACGCCAGTGTGATTGCAGGTAGCCGTTGCAGCGCGGATAGCTCCTCTTTTTGGCTCAAAGGCCTCGCATGTTAGGTGCTCGTCCCGAGGGAGAGCGGAAACGTGGCTATCTGTCAAGGTAAGAAAGAAAGGGAGAATCTTGCGGTTATGCTTGAGGATTGGTCGCAAAGAGAAACACTGCCGTCTGTTCTTCCCTCGTCAGATCACGCTCCGCATGCGAGCGATCCACGGTTACGACCATTGTTGTTGCCGCACCGCCCCTCCCGTCCCTACCTCCTCTTCTTCTCCTCCTTCCTCCTCTTCTTTTCCTCCCGACGTTCTCTTTTCTCCTTTAGAACCGCCGCCCTCTTGGGTGCCACTAGGTCTCCCTCGAAGCTCCCAAAGGGCTTCTTGAATCTCTTCGTGTGTTGGACGTATTCAATGGTGGCCTTCATTCCCTCCGCCGTTGCTAGAAGTACTTTGAGCGGTAGGTCGTAGTTCTTGCATCCATACTGCATCTCCTTGCGCTCGATGTCGTACGCCGGACATTCCGTGAGGAAGTGGCGCACTGTCTCTTCCTTGCCATTACAGTGTGGGCAGAGTGGGGAGTCCGCTTTTTTGATGCGGTAGAGGTGGTGGTTGAGGGGGATGTGGCCAGTACGGAGTTGCGTGATGATGCTCGTACGGTTCTTCTTCCAGTCGCCCACCATGTCCAGATATTTACCTACTTTTAGTCCGGGGTCGACCCTTTCCAGCTTCACCCTATGCGTCGACTTCTTCCATTTTGCTTCCCATTGTAGTGAGACTCGCTGGCGTGCTTCCTTACGAACGGCGGCTTTACTATACGGTAGTTTAGGGAGATCATGCAGCAGCAGTGGGCAGTACTCAGCTGGTTGCGCTTTTCCAGTCGCTGCCTCTTTAGCCAGGGTGTCCGCCCGTTCGTTTCCTGCTACGTCGTCATGAGCAGAGATCCATCGGAGCTTCATGTCGAGGGTGGTGTTGGTGTCCCTCGCGCGCTTTGCTGCCAACGATAGTGCTTCTTCTGCGTATTTGAGGATGTATTGTCCCATCCCCTTTTTACCCGATTCCATCTGTTGTATAACGGACTGATTGTCCATGTAGATGTCGATTTTGCCGTGAAGATTTCTGCTGAGTATTTCGTTTGCTGCGAGAAGGAGTCCTACCGCTTCTGCATCGAAGGTGGTGTAGTGGGTGAGCGGGCCTAGGCTATGGCTGACGGCTGAGACCTCCTCGCCGTGTTGCGTAACCACTGCTGCTGCTCCAGTTCCGCCCTCGTAGCCTGACCCGTCGACATAGAGTTTGAAGTTGGCCGTTGACGTGGCTTCCTGTTCCTTAGAATCCTCGCGTGTGGGTGCAATGTGGGTCGAGACTGGGCATTGGTCGCCCAGACGTCTGTGGGATGTAGGGAGTATAGTCTCCGTCTCTGTCGGTTTGATGCAGTAGAGTCGCATGAGGGCAATGATGGGGGATGTGTGACGACCTTGGTAGCAGTGGGTCCAGGTTAGTATGTTACCCACCGGGTGTTCTTTGGGCAGTGTGGCGGCTCTGACCGCATTTCGATGGCAAATGAAGTCGAGGGTGAATTCGAGTGGGGGGAGTCCAGCGTGGATGTCGAGGGTGTCGTTCGCCGTTGTGCGCATGGCTCCGGAGATGGCAAGGGCCGCGACGCGCTGCGCCTTCATGAGAGTCTTCAGTGCCTGGACCGACCCTACCCTTCTCTTCTTGCCTTCTGGCAGGCGAGCAGGAGTGTACCAAACGTCGAGAGCATATGTTAGCTTGGGGATGGCCACAGCCAGGTACAGCTGTCGAAGGAACCTGGAGCTTATGCCGCCGCCCACTCTGCCCAGTCGCTTGAAGACGTTGATCCACTGTATGGTTTTACTTAGTGCTGCTGCTGTCTGCTCCTTCCATCGCAAATGTTCGTCAAGGAGCACTCCTAGGAGCTTGTAGCATGTTTCGCGGATGACTTCCTGTCCTTGTAGCTTCAGTGTGGGGTGCTCGATGGCGTCCGGTGTGAAGTTCATTACACGCAGCTTGCTGGTTTCGAAGCGTGAGTTGTGGATGGCCGACCATGCATAGCCACCACCGGGGCGTGTCATCATGTTAGCAAGCTTGCGATGTGCGGCAGCTGCCGTTTTTGCCTCCGCAATAAAGGTGGCATCGTCCACGTAGGCGATCGCATATTCCCCCTTTTCGGTATCTGGGATGTCAATGAGGTCAGCGTTGTAGAAAAGATAGAGGATCATGGAGATGGGGTCCCCCTGTCCTATTCCGTTGTCCACATTGATCCAGTCTGATCTATAGTCGTCGAAGACCATGGTTGTCTGCCTGTTGGATAGGAGATTACGGACGAAGTTGATGAAGGGTTGAGGGATCCTGCGTTTGCGAAGATTTGTTAGCAACTGATCCGTGACGGCATTTGGGAAAGCAGCTTCGATGTCAAGGAAGAGTGCTGATACCACCTTCCCCCTTCTCCATGCGTGCTTGATCTTGGATGTGAGCGTGTGGAGTGCATCACTAGTGGTACGTCCGGGTCGTCCCCCAAAGTGACGATTCGGCAGAAGATCATGTTTTTCGCACATCTCAACCATGTCCTCGGTAACTAGAGCCGTTAGAACCTTTCCCATGGTGTTGAGCAGCGCGATTGGCCTCCACGCTTTGGCAAGATCATAGCGGGGCTTTCCAGGCTTTTTGAGTACGATGGTTGTCCAGCGCTTCCATGCCAGGGGATAGTAGTCGAGTTGGAAGACTGCCTCGTAAATCCTAGTTAGAATGGGGGCGAGGGTGCTGCTGCACCGCATGAGGACAATGTTGGGGATGCCGTCTGGCCCACAGACTTTGAAGGGCTTGAGGCGAGCAAGTACCTTGGCTGTACGGTCTGTAGTGGTGGTGAAGAGGTGCGGCACTGGGTCTGGGTAGCTATCCGGCTCCGTCGCCTCAAAGTCAGCGGGTCGCTTGGGGAAAAACATGTCAGCTAGCATACATCCCTTCTCCTCATTGGAAGTGGCCTCCTTCTGAGAGCCATCGGGCATGTTGAATTTCAGGGCGGGAACACGTACCTTGCCCCCGTCGGAGCCTGTGCCTGACATGTACTTGTTTGCGATCCAGAGTTCCTGCGGGTCAAGGTCCTCTAAGAAGTCCTCCCAATGCTTGGACTTAGTCTCCTCCAATCGTCGTTTGTAGACTGCGCTGACGTGCCGAGCCTCTTCGTGTATGGGAGATGCGACGCCTTGCAGATTGTGGGAGGCGCGTTTGGTTCTGGTGCACTCTTTACGTAGGGTTTCGAGCTCGGCGTTCCACCATCTGCGGTTGTATGGGGCCGTACCGCTTTCCTTGATAGTGTCTTGGATTATCCCCTGTAGAAGTGCGGTGAGTGCCGTCACGGCGGTGTCAATATCATCTGTGGTATGGATATCAACGGGAATACCAGCTGCTGGCAGCCGTGATGAGAGTTCCTCGTTGAACGCCTTCCAGTCGACTGTGCGAAAGTTGCGTGTGCGTCTTTCTTCCGCTAGATCTGTTGAGAGGTCCAGGATGGTGTCGATGGGGTAGTGGTCTGCCCCAACCGGCGTCTCCCCTGGGTGAACTTCGCAGACTAGTACCCGGTCGATGAGGTCAGCTGATACGAAGACGTTGTCAACACGGTACTCGTTCTTCGTTACCATATGTTCGAGGGTGGGGACTCCAGGCTCTAACGCCATTTCAAGCCCAAAGTCGGAGACCAGGTCGATAAGGAGTTGCGCGTCCTCCCGGGCTCTCGGAGTGAAGAGGTGATGGTCAGTTGGTTTGTCCCACCACTCGTGGTGCCGGTTGAAATCGCTGGCCCAGATCATTTGCGGGTTTTCGTACTTGGTGCGTAGCTCCATGGCTGTTTGCCGAATGGCATCTAGAACTAGGGAATGAGTACAGTCATTATATACGTTGAAAATGAAAATATCGCCTGCGTCCGAGCTTAGACGTATGGCAGTGACATCGCCTGTGCCAGCGATGACAACTTGTTCGTAGGCGTCGGTGCTTATCCTGCTATTAACCATGATTATAGATCTCGTAGGGTAGAGGTTTTCGGCCTGGGAGTAGGGGTACAAAGGGACCCAGTTGCGATTAGTGCGAGTAAATAGGGCTGGGCAGAGGTAGGGTTCCTGAATTAAGAGGATGTCAAATTCTTCATGTAGTGGCGAGTTTGAGACCGTTTGCTGGGCGTTCATAGATTTGTTTAGGTTGTACTGTCTAATACGGATGCTGTTGGAGGTTTTGTCAGTCATGAGGCTACGGCAAGGGGGGACTTCTCTTTGACGCTGTTCATAACGCCGTCTGCGGGGAGATCCCAGATTATGGTGGACCAGTCCATGGCATCTGCAGTTGGCGCTCCTTGGCCTTTGGAGTTCCGTAGCTGACTGCTCTCAATTAGTGGGCGGAAAGCATCAGGGATGGTGGTTTGTTGCAGCCGGTCCTTCTTGGCCTGTCGCCAATCACAGTCGGTGAGGTCCTGCTTGGAATACCGTCCGGAGTAGAAGGGGGATTGCCGCTGCGTCCAGGGTTCGTCTGTGGGGAAGTACGGAAGCGTGTTGCTTTCCAGGCGCTCGTCGAGCAGCCTCTGGAGCTTCTGTCGACTTGGGCAGCTGCGGTCCCAGCTGGCATGACCGCCTAGGTTGCATGACACGCAGGCATGTGCTTCCTTTCGATTCAGCTGAGGACAGTCCTGGGCGTCTTCGTGGTGTTGGGCGCATGTTGCGCAGATGGCTTCTGATGCCTTACAGGTGCTGGCGATGTGGCCGTAGTGTTGACATTTGAGGCATCGTAGTGGCTCGACTTTGCTCTTGTGGCACCTGTAGTTGTTTCCCAGAACTAGAAGCCCTTGCCGAAGCAGTTTGTTGGCATCCGATGGTTCGGCGAGGGTGATCGTGGCGTGTCCGTGCTGTTGGTCCTTGCCGCGGCGTGATGCTGGCTTCATCCATTTGATTTGTGAGATCGCGTTGGGGGGGAGGTCGTTCTCCGTTTCAAACGTCCTCCAGGCATCCGCCGTGTCGATAGGCTGATCCACTGGTAGGTAGAGGGCCTTGATGGTGTATTTCTTCGGTTTTACCATGGCGCCTGGGCTGAATTTGGCAATAAAGGTGTCAAGCCTCTTACCGCCGAGCAGCCAGCTCTTAGCTTCAGCTCGGTTGGTCTCCAGAAGGATACCACCCTTATCGAGTTTTGTGCAGCTAACGAAGGCCCACGCCGCATCTCCCCTGATTCCGTGCAGGGCGTCTGTGGCTTTCTTGGTGATGCTGTTGCTGTTGGTGGTGGTGGGGTATAGGCTGGCCTGTCCAGTGGGCGGGTCGACTAGGATGCGTCGACGGTCCCTCTCCATCCTGGCCTGCGTGGCCGGGCGCAGCAGGGTGGGTGGGGTGCTTGTGCCTTGGTCTTGAGGTGCGGCCGCTCTTGCGTAGGACCTTGGTGTGCTTCCGGCCGTGGCTTTGAAGTCTCCGGCTGCGACTTTAACAACGTCAGTGCATTTGTCGAGCTCCCGGCTTGCCTGCGATACTCCCCGACGGACGGCCGTTACCGTCTCCTTGGTCAGTTCTGCCAGCTTCGCTGTGAGGTTGTTCGAAATCTCCTTTGCTGCTTCCCGCAAAATGTTGGTGGCTTGCGTGACCTCCTGCTGCCGAATGATCTCCTCCTGGAGCGATGCTAGCGCGTGTATCGTTTCGCTCGTGCCAGTGTCTTGCACTCGAGCAGCAACCTTGAAAAGTACATTAGTAATGAGCTTAAGGTCTACCTTTGTCGTTTCTATCATCCCCATGTCCTTGAGGTATTGTGCTGCTTTTTCCGTTGGGCTGACGGGCTTTGGGTTGGCTTGCGAGCCCTTGGTACGCTTGTGCGGGCGTAAGGGCGTAGTCGCGCCCCGCGCTGATTTGCTGCTGGGCCTTGAGGCGTCCGCCGAAGGAGAGCTCAGGCTCGCCTTCTCGAGTTCCTTGCCTTTACGCTTTGCGCCTGTCGTACTCGTCGTGTCGAAAACCAAGGTCCCTTGACGCATACCTGTCATATGTGGGGGGGCTGCACGGCCATCTGCTGGGGGGTGAGCTGCGTCAGTGCTGTCACTACTTGCTTTGCCAGATTCCGGGGCTGGTGTCTTGCGCCGCGCCGCTGCGACGTCGTTCTTGGCCTTGACCGCCTCGAGGGTCTTGAGGAAGGTGAATCTACTGGTTTCGCGCCGCGCTGCTACTCTGCTGGCCCTGAGCTTGGACGTAGGTCGCTTGGTGAGTTGATGATCACTGTCGCTGTCTTCAGTGTCGTCGTTATCGTTGTCATTATCGTTATCGTCGCTTTCATCCTCGATGTCGTTATCTTGATGTGTGTTGTCGTCGGTGTTCGTGTGTATTCCTCCTTCGTTTGGCGCTGTGGTGTTGTCTGATGGTGGTGGTGGGCGGAACCAGTTCCGTAGTGTGGTCCCGGGCTTACTGCCCGGGGTTGTGGGGTTCATAGGACCTCTTCTTGCTTCCCTTTCTTGCGGACTTACCGTGTAATGTTGCCAGCCTAGGCGGGCGCTTATTTTTGATGATCGTGGTAAAAGGAAGAGAAGAGTCCCCTGCTTCATATTACTACCCCGTTGCACTGAGCCGAAACATCAAGTATTTAGTAGGTGTCTTCACTCGCACTGAAAATCGCGACTTAATGTGGCAGCTGTGAGATGCCCCGTCTACCTTACGATCTTTTATCCTACATCGTTGAGGCCGTTGATGACCCGAAGACTCAATGGGTCCTCCTCACCGTTAGTCGCGAAACGGGTCGATTCCCCCTAACAGCCATCTACCGCGAGCTCTCCTTCGACTCGCGCGATGCCCCCTCGTCCTATGTCACACGCGATCCCAAATACCTGATATCCCTCGAAAAATTGACCATCGGTGCTGAAACAAACCCACATCTCCGATTCACCGCTTCGTTCAATTTATTTAGCTACACGTCAAACGACTTGGGCAACAAATGCCTGCGGGCGCTACTTCCGTTTCTTACCAACTTACGACGGCTGGCGATCAACTCTATTTACGTCGACCCCGACACTCTGGGGCTCCTTCCCCCGACAGCGAGACTCACGCATCTCATTCTGGGAAGCACGAATTACTCGTCGTCATTTGTGGACCTCTTGGCATCCCATCCAAATCTACGTCTATTCTCGGTATACCAGTTCGGGGCACCCCTTGGAAGCGAGGAGCGTCCATACAACGCTGCTATATCGCCCACAGCGCTCCCAGAGATACACTCCCTCAAATGCCCAATCAGAATCGCCAAGCGATTCGGACATAGGCCATCAGTCCACGACGTCTGCTTCACCACCGCGTGGAGCCAGCGCCACACACCGTTTCCCGAAGAGACGGAAGATGCGATAGTGAAGGCATTCCCTTCGGTCCGCGCTGCCTACTTCCCGGAACCGTTCAATTTCCCCGGAGTCGCTTCGTTGTCCCGAAGGCTCGCAAGCTTGGAGTATCTGCGATTGGATGTAGATGGGGTATGCTTGCCTTCTTTGTTGCCCTCCCCCCGTTTATGTAGCAACTCACTGAACCTAGGTAACGGCCCCCTTGCCCTGGAACCTCCTTTCGACGACGAAATTGAAGTACCTCAGGCTTGTCGGCGACATGATCCCGATGGGTGCGCCCGAGAGAACCGCCCGCTCGGTATTTGATGCCATTGGGGCTATGGTGATGGTCGACATAAGCGAAGATGAGAAAGACAAGTTTCGGCGCTTCTATCGTCACTCGAGAACAGGCTTTTCGGTGCAAATCTGCACCTCACAATGGCAGCCTTGGTGGGAGAGCGTGCAGCCGGATATTGATAATGCGTGCCTCCTTGATCGAGACCGCTTGGTTGGCTAGGGTGTGGATATTGATGAAGGGCTCGGTAGACACTGCTTAGCCGACGGAAAGTTTGTACGAAGGAGATTACAGACGCGGTGCATACCCAAAGGATGTATCAGAATTGGGAGGCTGGTAGTCGGGCCTACGTGTAGATAGCTCCTATAGCTACATGATTCAAGTTGTGTAGAAAGCAGGATATACCTATACCGGACATGTACGCATCCTGAGGTCATCTGCACGCGTAGGTTCTCTCCAACAGCTGGCGAACAGCAATATATTCTTCACGATGATCGAGGTTCTAGTGGCCATATCATATCATACAAAAAATCCTGGTAAATACAGTTACATCGGCATTAGTCGCATAAATATTGAATCTAGTATGTCATGGACGTAGCGACCCTACATCGGTAGCATGAAGGCAGCCAATAACTCTTCATATGGCGCAGGCACATCATCGTCTTCCACACCCGAATGATCTCCTACTCCATCGCTCACCACATCGGAATCGGAATCGGGACCGTCCACATTCACAGTAGAACAGTGGGTGCGCATGCACCAGCACTGGCCCTGGCACCCAGCGAGCTCCATGCTATCATGCCGGATGCCGCCGTCCAGCTCGTCCAGCCGCGCAGCGATCAAAGCAGGATCATACACGTTCTCGTCGTGCAACTCGAGCTGCAGGGGACGGCCTTCATGCGGTGGGAGCACGTTCAACGCACGCGCAATGAATGCCTCATTTACAGGCGACGAACCGTCGGTCCGCGTGTGGAAGACGGTGATAGCGAACAGTGTATCGGAGTCCTCCGCGCTATCTCGACAGCAGCTGAGGCCCTGGAACGAAATGATATTCCACCCCGTCTCGACGATGAAAGAAGTCACCGGGTTTGTCGTTAGCTGCGGGGCCATATGCTGCTTGCACGCGTCGAACAGGGCGACGTATACATTCGCGTACTCCGCCCAGTCTTCGTGGTCTTCGTCCTCGGTGCCCGCAACCCAGAGTGTATGGAGCCTGCACTCGATGCTCCGCAGGAACATGTCGCAGTTAGGCGCGTAGTCCGAGATCAGGAGATCGGTCAGGCGGGGGAGATAAATGCCGTCCTCAGCCTCAGCCTCGGTCGAGAGGATGTCGTCCGGGATGCACCCTATAAGTTCGAGGCTTTCCAGCGCGCACATCTGCGCCAGCGCGTGTGCGAAGAGCCGATACCCGCATTTGTGCTGGTACTTCTCCGTATTGGAGGTGGGCTTCAGGTGGAGGTGTGTCAGGTGCGCGTATATGGGGGCATCCCATGGGATCTCGAACCCTCCCTCCAATGCGAGACGGGTGAGGCGCGGAGGGGGCGCCCCGCCGAAAGGGGTGACGACAAGAGGTTCGTCCAGGTCCTCCACGCTCAGGTCGAGGGATTCCAGAAGGGGTGCAGCGGCAGCGAGCAACGGGGGTAGGGCAAGGGCATCTTCGCGTTGGACCAGGATCCGCACTGCGGCCATCCGGTGGAGTTCGGCAAAGAGCATCGGTGCTACACCACGTCGCAGGGGATAAAACTGTGCTTTCCCTGTGCCTCGGCCGTTTGCATTGGTGTCGTCGCCGTCAGCCTCCACTTCGCGCTCTTTCTCTTCATTGACATCCTCGTCGCCGTCGAATTCTCCCAAATCCGTGTCGTCGCTGCATGGGTCTTGTACCCCATTCCACTCTTCTATTTGAGCCTCGTCGACCGCGTCGTCACTGCCGTCGTCCCTCTCATCGTCGCTGTCGTCCGTGTCCGTGCCGTATTCATTCCACAGGACAAGAGGCAGCTTCTTGGAGAGAACGATGATCGTCCATAATTCGGGAGCAGCTCGCACTGCTGTTCGCCAGGTTCCGCAGACATGGCTGAACGCCAGCAGCGGATGCGCAGGGGGTACGCGCCGGCCTTGCGCGTCATATTGCGTGGTAGACGCGAGCATAAGAATTTCGACCAGGAGCTCGAAGGGCAGCTTGTTGATGCCGCGTCGCCTCAGAGGATGCACTACCGTCGACATGGTAGTACACAGGAGGATTGAGAATTGTGGCAAGATGGTGGACAATGGGCCCTTTATACGAGTTTGGACGGTAAATAAGTCTCGATGATGAATGTGGCCACCTGCCACACTGCAAACAAGGTTGTGCTTCACTAGCAGGTAGGTCAGCTTGACGAAGAGAGTTACGCGCTCTTTGAAGATGGATCTAGCAAGAGCGCTGACGCCCTAGATATATTCACCCACATATGCAGTCAAGCAAAGCTAAAGACTGCGGTCGCCAGGGTTACCAAGAGGAGCTGCACGCTACTATCAGTAAATTGTACGGGCAGGTTATCTCACATTGACATCTGGCAAGCCTCAAGAGCTCAAAGCTTAACCGTACCTTCAGCCCGTCCAGTAGCGGAACCGACGAAGTTCCCAAAAAGGCCGGTATGAAGCCGCTTTTCGTCAAGCTCGACGATGACAAACGAGCCAACACCCCTTATCCCCCTTATCCCCCCCCCCCACAACACTCGTGCGCTCGCGCTCTCACCGCCTATTGACGGAAAACCTCGTAACCGACGCCTCTGTCCAGCGTGCATGCATACGTCCGTAACCTCGACCACCCCTTCGGCGCTCAAGGGCTCACCATACGGGGTCGAGATCGGAAAGCCTTTGCCTCGGATTTGAAGACGGAGTGAAAACGAACTGATGGGGGTCTAGGATACGGTACGCGGTTGGCGGGCAGAATCGTGCTTCGTGAGTTGTTCGTGAGTTGAAAGGGTGTGACACTCGGCAGATCTTCCATATTCCACTGCCAACTTTTAGAATAAATCCACACGAGGGTTTTGCTCTGGAGAGTGCTGAAAGTTCAGATCGTTTGGCAGAATCTAACGAATTCCATTACTCGGCGTCATCTCGTTGGCCCGAGCCGTCGCTTCCCGTGGGCCGTACTTGCATTCGCGACACGCAGCCCCCCGCCCCCTCGTGCCCCTTGGCCGGGCACATTCCACCATTCTTCTTGGGACCCACAGATCCGTATAGCGCGACACTGAGTCCCCGGTAGTTCCTGGAGGTACTGGGGTGTCGGCAAGAAGAGAAATCGTGGCGGGTTCGTCAAACACGACCCACGCGCCTGGGTTTAGACAGCAAACCGTGACAATATTAGGCATTACCTCTCCATATCTGCGCGAAGTATCGGGAGGGGGGGTATACGGGTTATACAGAGACTCGAAGCGAGGGCTGAAATAGGGCGATTGAGCGACCCACCTTGCCCATCGACATCTGCTGGCCTTCCGGGGTAGGATACAAGAGTAGCAGCTTGCGAGGCACGACCATTGCTGCGGAAGGACTGAGCTCAAACAGTGAATATGTCTTGACGCATATTCAAAGCCAAGATACCAGCTTCCCGGCCGTAGCCTGGTCGTTGAGGCCAGTACGATATCCTATCCGAGTCGTTCTTTGACCCTCCAAGAATAACCCGCACTCCCGCAACTTCCACTTCAGCTCGGCTGGCGAGAATCCGTCGATATCCATCCGCAATACCCCACGTACGTCCACATCCTGAAGCATGGGGATTTACCGTGATAGGACTGTGTGTCGCAGAGCGAATAAGTTCGTAAGTTCGCGCACACCTTACGTGAGTGTTCACGAAGCGGAGCGTTGAATCGTATATCTGGGCCGGGATGTAGATGGTTGCAATTTGGCATGGGTGGATGGGAAGAAGCGCATGTGGTTATTTAAGCGCTGCAAGTATTCAGCTAGCGAGTCTTAAGGCGGACATCGTACTACCGCACGGCCGACCGCCGACGTTCCGAGTCTCTCGTGGTCCCGTCCTCATGTTGCAACCTTTGGCATTCTCATCGAGGTGTTTCAGACCTCTATTCAGAGGTAGTACGCCAGCTAACGGCCGTCTTTGGCAGCCACTGCAACCCAAGCGGAGCGAAATATAGGCAGCCCCGCTGCTAGACGACACGAAGCCCAGGGAATCAAAGACGCAAACACGTGTGTTACCTGTGCAGTTGGCAGCGCGCTTTCAGAGTTTTGGCGGGAACGTTCGGAGAGCCGGCGCGAAGGGCTTCGGTATCCAGCATGTACGCAATGAGTGCATACAAAACACCGCAGCGAAGGTCCAGCCAAACGCCAAGTTGAATACTTTTTGAGATGCAGGAGATGGGATATAGCGCACCGGAATGTTGACACCATCATGGAAGATGTATCTTGCGTGATTTAGTTTAGTTCATAGAGTACTGGGATATGGAGCGTGGCGGAGTGGTGGGTTTTCCGAAGATGAAGGTAGATCATTGTATGGGTAGCGACACTTGAGTTGTGTGGAGATATCCAAGTGCTTGCCCTTGTCGTCTCCCGGCGCGCGCCCTTTGGCAGTATTGCTTTCGGATAGGTCGTGGCAATAAGAAGCTATGAACCAACGTTGGGCGAACGGCTACTCGCTGGGGTAAGGGAGACGATGGGTTCTACTTATTAGTGCTGCTCGTTGAAAAGCAAGTTTGAGTTTTGCAAATGGCAGGTAATAGTTTCCCACGAGGGCGCTATCTGGACTTGAACGCCCTCTGCTGAACTCTACCGTCTCCCCTTTACAGCGCCCGGGGAATCTCGCTGGAGCATCCCATGCAGGCACCTACGAGCTACGAGAGCATGTACGTGGCACGATGCCAGTGGGGGCTAGCTTCATGATGCCCCGCTAAATCCTCATGCTATCAGATGGTTTTCATATCGATGCAGACGGCGACTCCGTCGTATTTCATCCCTCCAAGGTTCTTTCCTTCGGGTCAAAATATATCTGGGTGGCCAGATGACTACACATATCCCATGCAACTCAAGGAGAACATCGACGAAGGCTAAACTACGAAGCCCGTGGTCTCGTACATCATGCCCTCGTGTTCGTGAACACTGACGCTGTCGCTCCTTTACCCTGCCTCGTTGTCTGGCGCGCGTCAGACGTCTTGTATTCGTGCTCCCCTTTCCCGTTATCTAAATATCGTCTAGACTATCCCTTGCACCTACAAATTTGATTTTGTTGTCTGATTGCAGTGGGGCACGAGGGGGTTTCAACCTAGAGGCAGTGTCGGCGAAGGTGATGATGAAGTCGAGGAGCGCTGAAAGCTGAAAGCTGTTGAAGCGCTTGGGATTGGCAGGTTCCCGTCTGATCGCCCCGCGGGACGGTTTGTTTGCCCTCAATCTATACTTTCCCAAACGAAACCAGATTTTCACTCCGTCAAAAACTATGGGTACATTGTTGCTTCGGCGAAGAGACATCGTTCATCACAATGTGATGTCCTCACACCAAAGTAATGCGATCAACCAGTCCGACGCGTGGGCCATCCCACCGCGTGAGGCCATATTTCCAATAGGCGGTCGAATTCCAGGGATAGGCGAACATACCATTCAGCATAGCCAAGGCACTCACCGTGGTGTCAATTGGGAGACGGCCCAGGTGCGCACCCTTCGATCTAGTGGTTTGGGAACCCACTGATTGGTGGCATATTTTTAGGAAGAGGTGAGACTGCATTCCGGTGCGTTGCTATAACACTCACATAAACAATGCCCCCCAGCGGATGAATTTACAGTGAGTCCAATACTGGTTGCTATTTACCTGCCTCACGAGTACCGACGGCAGGTACGAACAGTATATCTCAATATACGTCAATCAATGTCCCTTCTACCTCTTCGACACAGAAAGAAAGCGGAACATCCCCCGATGTCAGCTCAAAAATGACATCTCAGTCGCCCTCAATAACTGGTTCAAGATCCCTTTGCTCTGCGACGAAGTTATGGTTATTATCGCAAGATTATACCTGCAAGTCAGGGGATACGACCCGCTTCGCCCATATGTATTTGCGGCAATGGTGAACTACCCAACGATCGATAACCAGGAACGCTTCATACTGTCTCTACAGCAACAGCTGCAATCCTACCGGGACCCATTCATGCCTGTTGGACCCATTCTCCAGGCGGTTCGTGAGCTCATCGACGTGAAGCGCACCCGAGGGTCGCCGACACCCACCACCGGAGATATACAGGAGCAGATCAGACTGTTCGGGCAGTACGCCGTCCTGTCGCATCGCTGGGATGGAGAGGAGCTGTCCTTCCACGATGTAGCCAATCTCTCGGACCCCATGGTGCAGGCAAAGAAGGGATTCAGAAAGTTAGCAGGGTTCACGAACATTGTTCGAACCCACTTCGGATGCCGCTATCTTTGGGCGGATAGCATGTGCATCGACGAAACGGGTCGGAATGCCTCGATTCCCCTCATGTTCAGCTGGTACCGCCACGCATACGTCTGCGTGATTTACCTGTCAACTGCGCGCGGGGTGTCGGAGGATCCATGGTCCTCCAGGGGCTGGACTCTCCAAGAGTGTCTTGCCGCCACCAGAGTAAGATGTTTCACGTACGACTGGAATCCCATCGGAAGAATATTCAAGTTCGACGTCTCCTGAGAATTCGCCCGCACTTCCTCGGTGTACGACGAAATTCGAGACATCACAGGTACGCAGGCCGACTCCGGGAGCACGGAACGATTTTTGCTGATTTTGCTACACGATTAAGGGGATATGAACTGGTGGACGTATCAACCCGGCGTTAATCAAGCCATCTGTTTATTCTGCGCAATGCGCAGGCGCAGAACGAAGATCCCCGAAGATATGGTGTATTGCCTCTTCGCCGCCCTCGATATCGATATTCCTATTGAATATGACGAAGGCTTCGACAGAGCGCTGTACCGCCTGCAAGTTGCGATTCTCACCAGAACTGATGATCGTCGTTTACTCTGGTGGCAGGACGGCACTCCTTCGCCATATAATTCATTCCTTGGTGGCGACTTCGCGTGTTGGGGGAATCTATACTGGTGTCCCCCGATCGAGAACATATACGACAAGTACCCCACCTTCGACCCGACCATTTCCTTCGATTCCGATGGCGTCATGCGAATCATGGTCAGCCTCTATCCATGGCGCGGTGCCAACTACCCATTCCGATTCGCCCTGCTAGGACAAAACCCCTTCACTGAGGGCTATTTTGGTGTTTTATTACGAAGGCTTCGTGGTGGGATGTACCGCCGAGTGGAATACATCAAGTGCGAAGTATGGAAAATGCCATTGGTCAAAGAACCTGAGTGGATTTACATTAGGTAGATAGGTAATTGTAGTAAAGGGTTAGTGGATTTGCGACGAACTATACGATAGATCCTAGCAAAGCCTCGAGCAAGTGGCTAGATGAAACGCAATAGGCATCACTGAGTGATTTCCACCCAGCTAGTATTTGGTCAACGCCTTGAAACCAAACATCGCGAAATTGACACCCCCAGATTGGAGGCGGAGTTGGGAGGACTCTACTGGTATCGCTCTCATCAGTCGTCCTGAAAATCATCGGTTTCGAAAGAATGTCATTTTGGAGGTAACGGGCAACGGGAAATACGTAGGTGAGTATCTAACCGTCTGTTCGAAAGAGATCCGACGATACACGTAGCGGGAAAGAGTTACCCAAACACCAGCGACTATGTCGTTAACTGGCCTCTGCGCTTAGTCGCAGTCCAGGATTATACAGTCCATACGCGAAGGTTACGCTCGGGGGCGAATGGGTCGGATGCAACAGGTTCTAACCTCTCGTAAGTAACCATACGACTTCTGCGCCCACTGACACTGAAAGTTGTCAAATTGCAGTGCATACTAGTCCTCTAGGCACGAGTCATGGCCGTGCCAATGTAGCAGTCTCAATCTTCGAAGTTCAGGAAGAGTCCCTGCTCTGAGATGCATAGCGAAGGGAACCATTGCGCTCGTTTTCTCCACCCACTAGTATAGCCTAACATTTACTCTTGTTTCCTTCTCGACTGATGTATCATGTAACACAATATTTCTCAGTTCCTGCTGTAAGGGCAACCTCAAAATGGCCGACAGCGCAGGCCTAGCAGAGGGAGAATCCAAAGAAATGAATAAGACTAACTACAATACATGAGAGAGCTGCTCACCTAGCAGAGGGAGAATCCAAAGAGAACAGGATGGGGATTCTCCATGCTAGGAAGCGAAGTATATACTGTAGTAGCGTGGGAGGAATGAAGGGTAACTGTACAGTACACCAGCCACAGGTACGAACGAATATCACAAGGTACGAGGGGGCATGTGATAATGAAGTGGAAGGGGAATGTACAGGAGTCGTGCCAGCGACCTGGGGAAGTAAGGGCGAAGAGTAATGAAGTGGGGGAAAAGGATAGAGGTAACCCGGACGAGCCCCGAAGAGTATAGATGAGTCCGAGCGAGTCCGAAGTGTCCGAAGTGCGGGAAGACTCCGGAGTCACCGGACGCGGCTTGGATGCGAAAGGAGTGGGTGGAAAGGAAGTGGAAAGGAAAGGGAGCGAAAAGGAACGAAGGGGAATGAAGGGAATGTAGGTAAGAGTCCATGGAATGAAGGAAAGGAGAGAAAATAGGAGTGTCCCCTTACACCTACACTCTACGCGCTCTCATTACGGTTACATCTCTTCACCACAGACTCCCCACTGGAACGGGATTCCGTGGCCACTCTATTCATCGCTATCTACAAGGGCGTCGCAGAGGCGCTCTGTTGGAGGCTCGTTCAAAATGCAATGGTTTCATCTGAGCTAGTGGGCGACGACTCATCATCAGCGTCGTGAGTGCCTTTTCCCCCTCTCAGCTTGGTGTATAATTGACACTGGGGTCGTTAACGCCGTTACTTTATAGCCGTTCTCGATGCTCGCTTTCGAGTGCCTCACAACGGCAACTTATTTTCTTCTTGATCTGGCTGTTCTTTCTGGGCAATATCCGGCGCGAGTAACCCTCTTTCTCTCTCGCAAGGATGCCACTCTTCGTTCTTACTTCGACTTGGTCTCTGCGCAGCAATTCCAGCGACAATGCTAGCATCAAAGTACTCGCCGACGACAACGGATACGGCTCACAAATAATGTTTGCGGCTACCTGAAGGGAAGGGAGAAGGGGTCGCCGCATTTATACGACCCAGCCGCCAACATCGATATCGATTTTGCGCCCCCCCCTTCCCAACATTATACACCCATCGCCAAACACCATTCTCCTAGAAGGTACCGTTTGTCATACGCTACCACGTCGCATTGACCAAGTTCACGACACCCTAGCAATCATGCCAGGCAGTGATGATACTGCATGCCCTTGGATGCATGTCGTAAACGGTCCGCGGACGAAGGCTCTTCTCGACACGTTCCTCAAGATTCGCCCAACAAACCGTGAACGTCCTTCCTCTCGGCGATGTGATTGAGCGAGATGTAGTGGGGCGGGAAAAGTGAGTCGTGCAGTATGAATTAGGCAGTTTAAGCCCATCCCTAGGAGTCTAGCGGGATACATGAAGGGACGGGATAGCATCATGTCGGCAGCGGAGCACCCGTAGAAGACAATGGAGGCCATGCCAATAACGAGACGACCACGTGATGGTCTCTATATCTCCCTACTTACCACACGCTGCCACAATTCCCCATCCTTGTTCCACAACCATCACAACCACCGCTACTCTGCAGTCCACGAAATATGTCTTTCTCCAAGTTCCCACCCGAGACTTTACTCAATATAGCCGGCAACTTGTCTACGGAGGACCACCTCGCTCTCTGCCTCACTTCCAAGAAACTTCGTGGGGTTAGCGAATTGCTCCTGTATGTTGACATTAGGGTCACTGTCGAGCCGGGAACCGCACGCCTGGACACGTTATTGAACAACCTGTCCTCGGATGAGGGAAGGGCCAATCGAGCCAGACGACTCACTGTTGTCTTCGCTCACGTTCCTACTCCACAGGAACTGAAAACCATCAATGACATCGCCGTAAAGCTCCCTCGCCTCCGTATCTTCAATATTGAGTATGATTGCGACAATCCAGACACCAACGCTGGCGTGGCAGATCCAGTGTCCTCTCTTCCATCTGTCATCCCTTCCTTCTTGAAAACGACCACACTCCCGCTCACGGCGAGTGCGCCTCCGTCCTCACTGATAAATGTGACATGGCGCAGCCCGATCGTTCAACAAGGAACCTTCACCAACTTCGTCCAGCACCATGCTAATATCCGCTGTTTGATGCTTCGGGCAGCCTTAATCCCTGACTTGGACGCCGGCATCCTACCCAACTTGGAGGTTCTTCAAGCACCGCTCGAAGTCGTCCTTAGACTTCTCCCTGGACGACCCATCCGTCGGGTGAGCACCGTAGCCCGTAAGAAGGTCAATTACCAATGGAAGAAGACAAAGGATGCTTTGTTGAGTGTCGAGGTCTTCTCATGTGTACAAGCTTGGGGTGACACAGAGGGTCACATGTGGCTTCCGGAGATGGTTGGGTGGATGAAGAATCTTCAAGTGTTGCACCTTTCCGTACGTTTATCTCGACGTTGACACTTTCTCGTCTCAGGATTGATCGTTTATCCCTTTCTAGTACGGGATTCACGTGATTCCTGTGGTGTTACGACACACCAAAATTCGCTTTCTTCGAGCATTCTGTGTTTCTGATGCAAAGGTCGAAGAACTCTTTGACAGTGTACCATCCTTGGAGTGTGTAGAAAGAGTGATCCGCGGTTCGTTGATGCGATCCTATCGGAATAATAGGGTGGAGAAGCGTTTTATGTGGAATAGTAAGCCGAGTGAGGAATGGTTGGCGAATTGGGAGGAGAGCGCCTGAGGCTCGTGTGGGTTATGGATCGAGTGTGTGCTCGTGATAACTGTGACAATGCTGGTCAGAATCTCCCCTCCTATACATTGTTCGCAGACTCCTTGACCTCGCATTGTTGTATCATATTGCGATGTAATGATAATGTGTTGTTACTTCGCGTATGTTTTCAAATATATCATGATAGTGTATGTATATTTTCCATCACCTTTATGTCAGTCCTCCAACCACCCAACTCTTGAAAACCATAACCGATCAGACAAAGAACCCATATCATCCAATGAAATCCCCGAAATCCTTTTCTCGCCGCACGACAAGTCAGGAAGACAGCCTTCCACCTTCTCCCGGCCTTCTTTCAACCACAAACTATGGCTCCAATCTATGAGCATAAACACTTGAAGCCCGGAGACGCGGGCCAGTAAAGGTTTGGTTGAGTTTTGTCACGTTCGAGAGGAGCTGGACGGACGAAAAACTCTGGGGTGAATGTTTGGGATGAGGGTCGGAAACAACAGACGAAGAGCGACAGCCTGGACACCCAGGCACCCAGAAAGCAGCGGAAAACGCGAGGTTACTGCCTTCTAGGACCAAGTCGATTTCAGGCACCGAGGACGTGGAGGAGACAAGAACTGCCTCGATTAGAGCGCACTGATTACGGAGTACTCAGACAAAACACTCAGAATTTCCCTCTCGACTCACTCTCGGGATACTTTTCGCCATGGCTCGTTATCCGCTCGACGCGAACGAGTGCATGCCGCGTCATCCCTGTTCTTTCGTTCTCATTCCTTCGGTCTCAACAGCGCTAATAACTCACAACTTTTGACCTTTGAGTATCTAACATTATTAACTGTTATTAACCGTGTTATTAACCACTTAGTTATTAACCACCAGGTTGTTGACGGAACACTAGATATAGCGCACCAATGAGATATCCTGCATTCCCTCCCACTACAGCATCCTGATCGGTGAATATTTGGATGATCGCCTTTGATCAACTGAACACGACAAAGAGACAAGTCAACTTGGGCGAAGTTGCAGTAGGGGAGCTCAAAGTTGGCGCATAAGAATCCGCGTACGCATATGCGCGCATACGGCCGAGGTGCCGTCGATTATGTAATGGTATTTGAGTGTCACATATCCGAGTAGCGCCCACGTAGCGCTGAACGCAGCATATCACTTCCGTTGATCTACACTGATCTACTGCAATCATGCCCCGCGCAAGGATCCACGACAAACTCAGGCATGCATATCTCATTCATATGATGATGCGCAACACGATCTCTCCATCCGATGACCTTGCAGAGGCAATCCAACGGCTTCAACAAGACATGGAGATACTCAATGCCATCAAAAACACTCGCTACCTTCACACACGAACACATGTTCCTAAGCAGGGTAACCTCCATGTTCTCTGGGAGTATGCATCCGACCCTGCTCAGCATGACCACTTCACTCAAATGGTCCGCATTTCACCAACTTCTTTCTCTGTACTTCTACATTTGATTGAAGACCATCTGGTTTTCCACAACAATTCGAACAACGCACAGAAGCCCGTTGAAGTGCAGCTTGCCACTACACTCTTTCGTATGGGTCGGTACGGAAATGCAGCATCTCTCGAGGATATAGCCCGCATTACTGGATCTTCGGAGGGGGATATCGTGAACTGCACAAAGCGTTGCTTTACTGCCATTGAGTCACTTCATGACTTATTTGTTCGACCGTTGACGCCTGCAGAGAAGGAGGTGGAGAAGCAGTGGATTGATCAGCATCTGGGGTTCAAGGGTTTGTGGCGAGAGGGCTGGGTAATGTATGATGGAACCATTATTGTCTTGTTCGAGAAACCAGGCTATGAAGGAGATGCCTATTACACTCGGAAAGGAAACTATGGATTAAATGCACAGGTATGAGATCATTTCATCATTCCTTCAGTTATTGCTGATATTTCCATTAGATTGGGAACATTCCTTCCAATCTGCGGATTGTTGATTACTCCCATGGGCATACCGGTTCAGCCCACGACTCGCTTGCTTTTGAGGGGACAGCAGCACACAAATATCCCAACTGGCTCTTTCAAGGAGAGGAGTTCGCTTGGGGAGATTCTGCATATACGGTGAATTCTCGAACCATTTCTGTTCACAAAAAACCGGCATCAGACGACCCCAACAACCGGTTGTTCGACAGAGCACTTTCAAATCTCCGAGTCCGCTCTGAGCATTGTATTGGAGCACTCAAAGGACGGTTCCAGTGCTTACGGGGCCTTCGTGCAAAAATACACAACCCACATGAACATGCCTTGGCATGTCAATGGATAACGATTTGCATCATCTTGCACAACATGGTCATTGACGTCGAGGGCACAAGTGGAGCAAACTTCTTTGGCCTATCACACTCTGAGGTTGAAGAAGATCATGATACTGGAGATCAACTTGAGGATGCCGATGAACAGGACAGCGGAGTTGTGAAGCGACGTCAATTAGTGGCAGAAATTGTTGCATTTGCAGCAACAAGAGCACATTAAATAGAATGTATTGTAGTTGAAACGAATGTAGTGCCAGTGGCAAAATGAATGTAACTACTAGTTGGTATCTGAATTCTCATCATCAGAAAACATCCCCATCTTTTTCAACCGCCGCCTATACTGTGCCGGAGTCATTACACCCAGCTCTAGCTCTTTCAGCATCAGCTTGCGGATCTTGACATTCCGGTCAGCATCAGCACGGTCAGCAAGCTGTTTGATTTGCTGCCTGAGAAGAAGGTGAATTCACAGTTATAAAGTATAGATCAAGGAAAAAACATACATCTGAACATCAATAATTGACTCTTCGAAAGAGCGCTTCTTGGGAACAACCTGGATAGAGGCCTTGGCCTTGTTAAGTGCCTCATCACTAAGATGGGACACCTTGGGACCTTTCCTCGACTGAGATGGAGTGGGTGGAGGTGGAGTATCATCGTCTGCAGAAGCCTGAGATGATGAGGGAGTGTTGGTAGCGTCAGCTCCAAAGAAACGCCCAGGGGGATGGACAATGGGAGCTCCAGGTGCGGGAGGATCATCATCCAAGGGAATGAGAGGTCTAAACAGGTCAGCAGTTGGGGAGAACAGTTCCCGCTCCATGGCGAGTAGAACCGGATCAATGGGGATATTGTCACGGTTCAAATCCTCTGCAAGAGCACCACGATGAGGGTCCTGCATATAAACCACCGAACGACCCCGTGGTCCTATTCCTGTGGTGACAACAGGAGGGACTACATTCGGGCGTGAAGCCCAAAGACGATGGAGAGCAGGAAAGTAGGGGAGATCCTTGCAAATTTGCTCTTTATACTATTTTAGAACGGTAAAAAAATCAAAAAAGATCACGTACCCCAGATGTTACGAGCCTCAGGGATAGTGTCATGGTCAGGACCCTCTGGTGAGATGTAAAATGGCATATAGACCTCGATAGGTCCATCTGCAACCTCCTGAGAGGCATCATCACCAGTCAGGCCATCCCCAGTTTGCTTGAGGCGCTTCGCCATGATGATGTACTTCTTACGAAGGCTAAACCTCTTTTTAAGTATGGGCCAAAAGGAAATAAATGTAACATGGACGCACGCTTCAACTTTACTTTTCACCCGGTCTCCCATAGCCTTTGCATACAGCTTAGACTCCTCAGGGAACAGCTTCGCAGCAATGGCTTTATAAACCATGATCTTCCGCTCCCCTGAGGTGTTCTAATTTAATCAAATGCTCAGCAAAATGAATGTGAAAAGCGAAGAAAAGCACACCTCATCTTTCTCTTTTTTCCCAAAGAGAACCTTGGCATTGTGACACTCCTCCATTTCTCCAATCAGCGCCCAAGTCCGATCATCAGTCCAATCAATTGGCGCGATGTCCGACTTCCGAACTCGAGGTGGCATGCTAAGAGACGAGAGGGGAAAAGAAGAGACGCGACAACGCGTTTACGATGTGACGAAAGTGTGACATATGATTACATAATCGACGGCACCTCGGCCGTATGCGCGCATATGCGTACGCGGATTCTTATGCGCCAACTTTGAGCTCCCCTAGTCTGTACAGTCGACTCTGTCATAACCCATGACCCTCGGTGGACGTGCTGGGCTATGGGTTTTGAGAGAGTATGGGTTAACTCAAAGCGCCTATTTGGGCGTCTAAGAAAAATCGCCGTCGAATTAGTCGGTGGATTTATTTACAGGACTACGGCTGTAACTATAATATATATGACAAGGAAAGATTAAAGCAAGACTAAAGTCTACTATAGTTAGAGAAGAAAGCCATGAAAATGTCAAATGCTAGCAAAGTGGTCGGAAATCTTTGTTGCTTTCATGAGATTCAAGAAGCCCAATGAGGGCTTCGCCATCAACATTGTTCCCTTCGCCATCAAGCCATATATTTCTTCCTCCTCCGTAATAGGCTTCTTTTGCTGAATGCGAGTTTGAAGTTCCTCTTTCTGATTCCTAGTGGCACGTTGGAGGATTTTTAGCCCCCTTTTAAGTACAGGGAGCTCAATCATGTAGAGTGCGGGCTCAAAAGTGAAAAAATAATGGTTTTTAGTTTCATAATTCAACCGCTTACAACAAATTTAATTGAATATATGACAAAAATAACATATACATATGGGTTTTGACATCCCCAAAAAGTATGGGTTATCAGGTATCGCAGAGATATGGGATTTCCCTGCGAACCAACTTGGTGGATGGGAAAATGTATGGGTTTCGGCAGAGTATGGGTTATGACGGTCATGGGTTATGACAGAGTCGACTGTAGTCGAAAAAGAACCCCCGTGGGAACACATTACTCTACTCGTAAAACCGAGTCAACAAGACTCCAGCGCCCTCCAACGCAGTTCTAAGTACTTGCAGCAGTGCGGCTGATCCTTGGTCTGATCCCAAAAGAATCTCGCGACACTAGCGTATGTTCGGCCTCGCTTACCAGCTCCATAAACGCGAATTTCTGAGGTATCACCGCCTGTTTCTCTCCCACTCGCTTTCAATCCTTGAATCCCGTCTGTTTTGGCGGCTATGCGCATTGCACGTCAATGTCTCCGTGTAAGCGCTACTGATATGCAGAGACCCTCAGTCTTGCAATAGGTCGTCCTGTTCCTCCCAGCAGTAGCCCGTGACGCGAGTAGTGCATGGTATTCTCAGCCGTGGTCGACGCAACACAAGATACGCTGAGCACGAAGACATTTGGATTCGATTTGATGAGCAAAGAGCAGGCTGATCAACATCGGAGAAAACGCAAGGGAGAAGCGCGATGACACGGGGCTGGGCTCTGGCTCTCGTGCTGATATGGTGATTTCATGTCTCCTCGTACGATTGCCTGCCGCCTAATACTCCGAGTTTGTTAGCAGATCGTGGTCGGAATCCAGCATGTCTGGTCGACCGAGGCCTTGGGACCACGATTTGAAGTGTCTGGAGTGCGTCTGTGCGGCTGGATATACACACGAATTCGCTCAACATCCACATCATACTCTTGCCCGTTATCCAGCAACGCCTTTCAGCCAGTATTTCTGTTCAGCCCCCGGCATCGGTAGCCGGCACATGTACAGAGGTTGAGCATCTCCGAAACGGCAAAGAATCGTTCAACGAGGATATCCGACCACGCTCCGGCCAGGACGCTGGTCATCTTAGCTTCCACTATCATCCAGAACCTCGTGCGGACACCACTATCATGCTAGCTCGGTCATCGAGTAACGGTGGGAATGCCTCGCGAGCTGCTGTTTTATTCCAGAGTATCCGACTCCCGCTCAACCAACATATGCCTGCCCTCGCTGCGTACCCTCCCATTATCCGTGCATCTACTTCTGTATATGTAGTGGCAATATGCAGTGGCAATACCTACTGTTGTCTGTTGTCTAAACCCAGACGCGTGGGTCGTGTTTGACGACCCCGCCACAATTCCTCCTCTTGCCAACACACTCATGTCCACGGCTATGAACCCCCTGCAGCGCCGCGGAATCAACAAGCTCCCCCTCGAACTCTTAGTGAATATCTTCGACCTCGCCTCCACGTACCGCTTCCTCGACGAGGGACGAACCGTGCCGCCGTCGTACACGCTCTTTGAGCTCAGTCATGTCTGCAGGACCTGGCGAACCGCCATACGGGGTGCGCCCCAGCTGTGGACGATCGTCTGTGGCATAGAGCCGCCCGCGATGATACGCGAAATCATTACGCTGTCGCAGAAAATGCCGCTTGCGATCCTGAGTGTTGAGGAGGAGAGTGACGACGAGGGGGATAAGGAGAACAGTGAAGAAGAGCACCGCGACGAAGATGATACTGAAGAATGGCACGGCATAGAATACAACGAAGACGACGATCAAGACGAAGAGTGGCATGGGATAGAGTGGGACGATGATGAAGATAGTACCAATAGGCTACCCGAAGATATCCATGGGGACAGTGACGATGAAAGCGACAATGAAGGCGACGACGAGAGCGATGACGGTGACGAAAATGAGAGTGGACATGACAGCGACGAAGACGACATTGCATTCGGAGTAACTACAAAAGACACAGCGGAGATACTTCTCGCACAACTGCATCGCATCTCGGACATCGATATTTTACTCGACAGCAACGACACACCTGGCTTACTCCCTCTTTTTGACGCCGATGCCCCCCTTCTGGAATTCCTCAGACTATGCGTCGTGGGCGGGGATGCGCCTGTTGTCATAAATCCCTTCAGAGGAACAGCACCGCCACGACTCACGAAGCTCGTGCTGATGGGTGGATGCGAGCTCAGCCTGTCATCGTCCTTGTGGGCGAATCTGACGCAACTGTATCTGCACAGCGACACCTCTCAGCGCGAGCCGTACCAGACTGATGGCGGCTTCGCGCTTTTTTCGCGGGCGCTCGCCCAGATGTCTTCGTTGAGAGACCTTGATATGACCTTCGCTATTCCCCCTGATATCTGCGACTTCGACCCATTCGCCGTCCCCGCCATCGACCTCCCGAGTCTGACCTCCCTCACCTTACGGGACATGACCAGCAGATGCATCCTCTTCCTCCCTGCTCTTCACTGCCACCTCACCGAGCTTGACGTAGCCGCCGGCGAGGACGATGACCACGCCGAGTACGCCGAATACGAGAATAACTACCACTATCTGCTCCAGGTGTGCCGAGAGCACATGGCCGCAGCGCTCACGCAGGACCCGCTGTCACTCGTCAAGCTGAAGCGGACGCCCTATGGGTTCCTGATGAAGGGGACCCGCTGGCGGGAGGGCGTCCCCGCACGCACCTCTGAGTATGAACATGACGATCTGGTAAGGATCGAACTCGTGCATGGGATGCCGGCGGGGACATCGATGGTGACTGAGGAACTGATTACGCGCGCCATAAACATCGTCCCGCCGCGGGAAACTCATACGCTGTTGGTCGAATTAGAGGACATAGATGGGTTGGATCTTCCCTTGGTCGCGTGGTACCTCGACGGGCTACCAGGTATTCGAGTTGACACCATTACGATGAGTGGATATGAAGAAGAATGGTGGCATGCTCCCGAGGACGAACACTCCGTGGTCAGCGACTTCGCGGCACAAGGAGACGGAGATCCACGCCTTTCGAATCCAAATACAGAAGGCGATGGCTCACAAGATGAGACCAAGTGATAGAACTCACCTAATATGAGGTTACTGGTCACCGTCCTAACCGGCAGTCATTGGTAGCAATGTCCTCATACTTATATATAATATATAATACCAAACGTTTGAAATATCTCATTTGTACTGCATCGATCCCTTGTCGTGGCATACACATATGAAAGTGCGTCATGTTGTTGAGATGGCAAATAAGTAATAGTACATAGGCATAAAAACAAAACTTATTATCAGCCGAGTTCTACGTACTCAAGCCCGCCACTATGTGTCTATAGTTCATTGACATATGAGTCTGTCTTCCAATCTGCCAACCATATGTCTCGAGGCTTGCACCTCCAAACGAGGTTCTGGTTCCGTTTTCCGTCCCTGTGGAGCCTAGCAACGGCACCTTCTGACCAGTCGATGCACTCAAGCGATCCGTTAGACTTGAAGAGAGCGGATGCCACTCCCTCAGTGTATCTTCCGTGCAATCTAACGAGCTGAATACTCGTATGTTGTAGCGCCAATACCTCAATCTCCTGCAGCGGCGGCGTCATCGAGATGTCGCCCTGACGGGCGGCGAAAGCGGATGAGACTAGGTATCAAACAGGCTGGCGAACGACGTACAGCCAAATCCAGAACCTCGAGGCCCTTCATCTTCTGGAGAAGACCCGCAAAGAATCCTGCGTCGACATACCTGTCCCGCTGGCACCTCAGCACCTTGATACTCTCCAGACCGTCTCCGCTGACCGCTCTCCCGCTCGCATCCCGCAGACCGCCGCGCCGCCCCGCGCCACCCGTGAGATAAGTGTTGACCCTCCGGACGTTCCGCCCAGGCAGCAGCGCGAGCACCACCGCGAAATGCGCGTGGATGCTTTCCAGATGAGGCAGGACGCTTGCGTCCACGCGTGGAAAGTTCCTGTTGAAGCACTGCGGGAGGTACAAGGCGCGGATGTGCGGGTGTAGGCTGACGAAAGCGATGAAAAAGGGGGTGTTGAAGGGGGTGCGGTTGAACCAAGTGAGATCCAGCCAAGGGGATTGTCGGTGAGGTAGTCCGTTGGCGATGTAGGCGAATGGCGGAGGAGTGGCTTTGGGGCGGTGGGCGGGCATTAGGACTTGCAAGGCACGAGAGAGTGTCTTGAGCATAGCACGGTGGGAGGGAAATGAGTGAGAAGGAACGGGAGCGTCGTCGACGGAGAAGTCGAGGGCGCGATGGGTGAGCAACATGGTACGCAGGCAAGGGAGCGCGTCGATGATCGCATGCACCAAAATCAGGTCCCTGTTGGCGAGAGGCCTGCCGAAAAAGAGGGACAGACTCCGCACATACGCGCATCTCTCGTGCTTCACCATCAAGTTCGCATAGAAGCTATTCAGGGGATCGTCGCCCGATTTAGCGGTCGGTTGCCCCATTTCGAGCTCGACGGTCGCGTAGAGCTGGATTTCGGCGATGGCGTGCACTTTGCGAGAGGTGCGGGAGAGTGCGAGAGCGTCGGTTTGCGGTAGGAATGACGCGACGGAGAGCAGGAGCTCAGAAGGGAGCTTGTCTAATGGCATGGTTGGTGTGGTTGTGGTGGCGATATGAAGTGAGGAAGGGAGCGAAGGGTGCGACTCTAAGCCACAACCACAGCACGTGAGTGAATGCATCTTGCCACCGCATTTCCCGCTTCGTCCTTTTGGATCCCACCTCACCTCCTCAGTGGGCAGGACCTTCAAGGGATCAGGGCAGCATGATACCGTGCTACGCTTCATGCATAATCGTAGCCGTTGCCTACGTCGCGTCTAACGTGAGTCTATGATGGATGATGTACGGACCGAAAATTGCTCACTTTTCCGTAAAATGCTTGTCCGACGCGAGAGACGGAAACCCCTTGAACGAGGTTCGCAGACACAATGCGCAGGATGCACGGCGGCGAACCTGCTGCTGTGAACATAGGCTTCGAAGTATCGTGAACCACTCGCTGTCTTGGTGGGCGATGCTTCATAGAGAATAGAATCACGGAGCGCGAACTCTTCGCACTGTTAACAAGCCACCGACTGACGGGAGACAGCTCCAGAGCCGTCCGTCGAGAAGATTCCCAATACGGAAGAAGCCGATCAACGGCGCCTTCAACAAGCAGTGCTGCGTACACATTAGTCTCTGGTCGACCACTTGCACAAGTCAACAAAGTAAAGGACGTACGTGTTGTTCTTGCATCGTGCTTCTAGAAGAGATACAATGAAGATAAGTAGGCAGTAAAGCCATGTCACCACATCTACAAAGAGCCGCCTGGCTGACCGTCTCGTCCATCAACGCTGACGAACTGCCAGGGTGGGCACGACGCGCTGAATGAGTCCGCGCACCAGCTCTCACTTCCCTCTTACCGACTGGGAACTTTCAAGCCAGCAGCGATACCCGTGTGATTGCCTGGAAGTAAGGCGCGGGGCGGAAGTAGGGTGCTGCAGCTAGCGAGGTAGAACACGTCTAGACGGGTAATTGCATAGATTAAGTTGCTGACAGTACGTCCTGAGTACTTCCCGGGGTGCGGTAGTGTCAAATATTAGCCCTTCAACGCGTAGAGACGTCGGGGAGCAAGATGCGAGAAGACCGCGCGGGCATGAGAGCCTGGTAGATCCAGAAAGTATCAAGGGTGATGTCATCGGATGTTCCCGTGCTACAGCGACTTTTTGTCGTATGAAGGGGAGCAAAACGAAAATGCTCGAGGCGACATCTTGAGCGATTTGATGACACGATAGGAGGTATACGAGTAGACCACGTGTCCCGAGTCAAAGCTCGGAATGGCTCTTGAGATAGACATAGTTATGAGGCGTAAACGCGTCCGGATCGTACATGCGACGAAGGACGTACAAGTTCCGCAACACGGACTTTCCACTACACAGCGTGCTCGCGGGTTTATTCTGCAGCAAAAACACCCTCGACTGTGGCTGGCGGCGGTGCCTTGCGTCTTATTCCCGTACCAGTAGCGCCAGTGTGACATAAGTCGAAGGCGTGAACTGCGTTGAGGATAGTGGTTTCCTGCTGAAAACATGGCTACCAACCCGCGAAGATGAGGGTGGGCATGAACATAGTAAGCTGTGTTCGCCGAGCATGATAATAGTGTCGCTTCACCCTAATGATATGTACACAAGAGGAAGAAAGAGAACAAGCAGACGAGGAAAGGAGGTAGATGCGACTTGATCCGATCCTGATCAGATTAGATGACTCAGCGAGCTCTGCCACGATCGCTCTTGTTCAAGAATCAACGCCATATCAGATTCCGCTCAGCGCACACAGTAAGACGCTTCAAACTCCACTCGCACAGGTGCTAAAAGGGTTTTTCGCGCAGAAATGCCCGACCTCCCGAACGAAATTGTATGCCACATCGTGGATCTCGTCGACTGCGTGCAGACTCTCTGGACGCTCCTCACTGTCTCTCGCCGAATGAGCCTCTTCGCCATCCCTTCCCTGTACCGAGACCTCTGCTTTGATTCCCGCTCCGCGCCCCGCGCCGGATTCAGGCCATCAACACACGCGAACGCGCTGGAAAAGCTCGCTCGGACGGCCAAGTACAACAAGAACCTCCTATTCACGACCTCGTTCTCCGTCTTCCGATTCATCTCTCCCCAGGCCAAGAACGAGAGCGTAGGGTCCATACTCCCATTCCTCCACAACTTGCGCCGCCTCAGCATCACCATGCCCTTCGTCGCCCCGGAGACGCTGACGCTTGTCCCACGGGGCGCGCAGCTCACGCATCTCGTCGTGCAAGATACCGTCTACACACAAGCCTTCGCGCACTTCCTCGAGGACCATCCGACACTCACGAACATCGACATCGACGGGTATCACATCTCGGAGCCGCTTACTCTCCCGCTGTCGCCCACTGCACTCCCCAGACTCAGATCCCTATCGTGCCCACTCGGCGTCGCGCCGAAACTGGGCAGGCCTTCCGTGACCGCCCTCAAAATCGCCAACGCCTCCAGAGAACACCACTACACCACCATTCCGGAGGAGCTTGCGCGTGAATTGGCAGCTGCGTTCCCCTCCTTACGCTCGGTGCACTTTGCGGATCCCATCCATTTCCGGTCCGCGGCCTTCCTGATAGGCCTCCTCCCCGATGTAGTGTATCTACAGCTGTACGAACCCTCTGTACGATATTTGCTTCTCAACTCGCGTGCTACGCCCGACTGACAGATGCTTGCTAGCAGCCAGGCGTCGCTCAAAACTGGCAGCTGCTCGCAACGTCGCGTCTGATGTATATTCGTCTGACCATTCCAGCCACTGGTGCGCGTGCAGACGAAGCAGCGCGAGGGGCATTTGGCGCCATCGAGCACCTGAAGTACCTAGACATCGTCGACTCGGGGCAAGGCACGGCGCGGCGCTATCATCGCGCCTCAAAGGCCAGCCCTATAGTTAATATCACCGACATTCAATGGCAGCCTTGTGGGGAGACGATCGCCAATGACATATACCAGGGATTCCGCGGGTGATCGAAATGGTCGAGCCTCGCATTGTACTCCCTATGTTCTTGGGTACCCACCTCGTGTACAATATGATTTGTGCTGAATCTCTGTTCTTTGAACTGGAACCGCTTGACATGCTCACTCACAGTGCTGAGTACCCAAGTGCCTCCCTTGATGGACTCTTGAGCTTGTATAATTCATTCCCTGGATCGTACTTCAGCAGCAGCAACAGCCTTGGGCGGCGCCGATAGCAACCATCAAACGTGCGACAGAGTCTTCCGACACTTTCAACCTGTCGTCTAACTCACTTTGCGCGCGACAGAGGAATATTATTCAAGAAACCAGCACGGTGTCTATGATGACTGGGACAACGGACTGTAGCTGGGCCTGCGTGAGTCCTTTTTGCGAATACATCATAGCTTGCATGACTTACCGAACCGCAGGCAGCTACGTCATTGTCAATATTTTCCTATCTTCAACAACGAGTCCGACTCCCTTAACGAGCGATGTCTCCCGTGAGTAGCTTACTATGGCTCAAACACCGAAGGTGCGAACAGCATACCCCAACTCCTGGGCTCTTTTTTCTCTTCGTCGTTCGCCAAGTGCCTGTGCGTCCGATGAAAACCCAGCCTCTCGCCTACTGCAAGCGACGAGTGCAAGTAGTACGTACCAGGTAGACCTTACTGAACAGCTGAGGGTTTTATATAATTCATTGTCGCAGATGCCGTATTTACAGAGGAAATCGGTGATAGCTTTCGGGAGGCAGCTGATGCACGGGCAAAGCTACGACAGGGCGAATACCTATGCTTGCCACTTGGATGATAGTAGAGGGTGGATTGGCGCACCTGACTGGTAGCGATGCAGTTCACGACGCAGAGCAGGTTCCCCGTCGCGACGCATCCCAGGAGGCAGACACTAGACTTCACCACCGTGCTAAAGCACTTCCAGGCGGCACACCCACCTGCTGCGAGGCTATCGAACACATACATTTGGGCCGTCTGATCAACCGCGATCACTAGCAATAATACACCGAAGAAGAGTGAAAGCGTGCGTGTGTACGTACATTCTTTCTGGATGGCAGTTTCGAAGCCGTCTGAGACACCCATGCCGAGGGCGTTATTTCCTGGCACGACGCCGCCGACGGTCTGGAGGACGGCGCACATGACGAGGAGAGTCCTAACAAAAATCATTGCTTTCTCATCTAGTAGCTGTTGGTGGGTGAGGTGCTTGTCGAGGATATAGAATCGTCTTCCTTGATCTACACGCCTGTTCTTTGATCACTGAGATGCACTTGCATTCACTGCGTTCCGCGGTTGCGTACCCTAAGCGAGCTTAGGTGGGCGTACAAGGCCGGAGGTGATTCTAGGTCTGTAGATGAACCTTAGGATTGTCAAGCTACACGATGGTCGTGAGCATCCGCGTACCTTGGGCTAGGTGAGTGTAGCTGGCTGGAGTAGCTCGCTTAGCATAAGACACGTGCCTAGGTTCGTCTAGCTGGCACGACGAAATGGGGGGCGACGCGGACAGCCTCAGCCGGACGAATAGATGATGACATACATTGATATGTCTTCGCACCAAGCCCGCGCGAGGAAACACACAAAGTGATGTGTTCAACATCGATGATTTTCATGATATATAACCCGTATTGATGGTAATTGTGTATAATCAGTGTATGTCCAAAGCGCCAGCAACTTGAAGGCAAGCAATCTATGTAATAAGTGAAAGAGCTCTGGGTTCGTCTTGAGTGTGAAGTAGGAAGCAACCATTGGTGACTGTTAGTGACTGTAAGCAACGGAAACTGCTCACAGAACTATGTTAGAGCTGCACCGAGGGCCGGCGTACACAAGGCGTACGTTGACATATCTAGATTAGCCACGGCTACCCTAAGCATTTATTGTAGGGCAAGTGGATTAATGTTTGTGTAGCCGACCTACACGAACCTACGCGTGGCTAGACGACGCTCCATGTGATCGACTTAGGCGCAGTTCGCGTACCTTGGTGTATCTCATTCGCACACTCCTAGACTCAGCCAAACACTGTTCGTCATGGTCAAATAGCTGAACCTCTATGCGTACGTCACTAACATCAGCTACACGAAGGTACCCGAACTTGGGCTAGGGAACGTCGGAACGCAGTGATTCAGCGACGAGCAACAACTTAGTTGAGCACCGGTACTTGCACACTCCCGAGTCCACACTATCACAAACCGCCTGCTATGGGGCACTAATGCCATCCTTTCCGCTGAACATGGGAGTGGCAAGCGCAAGCGCAAGTCTGGGAGCTGGCGAGGCAAAAGGATGCATCCGCAGGCGTTTTGGTACGCCCGGCGTAGGACACTTGGCCATTTGGGATTACTGCTGTTGCGATAGTTCTAGTTCTAGAGACTTTAGTGGTCTTCCGTTACGCTTTGACACTCATAGGTGTCGTCGCCGACGCTTGCCACTCGACGATTCGCTGATTCGGGAATATCGTAAGCGCGTGCAGCCATCTCAACTTTCGCATTCAGAACGCACCAGTGGTCTCCTCATGATGGCCAAGTCGAAGAAGCATGAAGTTGTACCCATAGGTCTTAGCACACACACCTGGTTGAGTTACTGTGCAGATATTTGCCCAGATTCGGCAGTTCGGTGGCACTGCCCAGTTCAACGTCGTCGATGATCACGCCCTATACGAGCGTGAAAATTGTTGCTGCTGGACATTAGTCGTAGTATGTATGATCTGTGCCAGACATAATGTCTACGCGAGTGTGAGGTGTGCGTCGAGACCCCCGCCATGACAAGAGCCTCGAAGTGCGTGCTGCCGGGCATTCCGAAACGCCTGCGCGTATGCCCTTTCGTACCCGAGTTCACAGACTTGCGGCTCCGAGAAGGCGGGAGGAAGACTCGGAGCGGGGGGCTCGACTAGACTTGTAGAATTGCAGAATTGTAGACTTGTAGAATTGTGAACGCACTTCGCCAACTTCGGCATGGACCGCGGCGTGCATATGCATGCCAGGCGAAACGTAGTGGCCGGCTTCGCTGCGTGGTGTGTGTGTGTGTGTGTTGGCGTGGTGTGTGTGTGTGTGTTGGGGGGGGGTGGAATCGAAAGGCACGGGAACTCCGCAGGAGCGTACAAATACTGAGCGCAAAAGCAGTCTCGAAGACTCAGAACTCAGCATCCCCACCCACCTCGTCTACAAACCGCCAGCAACAGCCGTACCAGCAGTGCCAGCACCAGCAACAAAGATGCATTTCGTATCCGCCCTCGTGGTCGTATGCGCCGTGTTCAAGAGCGTCACCCGGGAACAACGCGCTGCGCATCGGCGTCTCGGACAGCTTCGAAGCCGCTATCCGCACAGAATGTACGCACGCACGCATGCATGCATGCACCATCATCAAACTGACTTGGCTGAACGTCCGCTGAAGAGGTGTGTTTGATCATTTGTAGATGGCCCGGTCATCTTCGACAGCCTCGCCGCGAGCGGGTGTGACGCCTGGAAGAGTCTCGGTACAGTCGCGAAGGCGACGCCCTGCCTCCTGGGGTGCGTGGCAATGGGGAAGCCGCTCTGTGTCATTGGATGCATCGCAGAGAGCGACGTACGTCGACCATCCGCACACCGCTGAGATCCCGCTGACGCTGTGGCGCTGTAGCTCTGCCCGTGCATCAACTGTTTCCCCGCCGTCATCACCGATTTCCTCCACAAGTGGGGCATCCGCGACAAGGAGCTGCATGCGCAGCTCTTCAGCAAGGTGTACTTGGTAAGTTACGGACTTGCGGTTCCGGAAGTGCGGTTGATGATAATCGAATATGTAGGGGCTTGCGAGCGACGAAGAGAACAGGAAGGCGCAAGAGCTTGGGTACTCGGTCAGTACCTTCGGTGCTTAAAGCAACGTAATGTATGATCAACGGCTGTCGAGGAGCGAGAATATTGTGCTCACTGGTTTGCAGATAGGGAGGCAACCGACAAAGGAAATAGTCGGCTGCGGTTTGGTAAGCGGTTTACGCGACGATATATCAGGACGAAGGACTCACAATACGCTGCACACGGGCAGGCCGGCTTGCAGGCTAGCTATAGTCGTTACCTCAGTAGTGGTCTCGGTTTCAGTGTCTTGAATGATCATCATGTTCCGCGCGCAATTTGTCTAGACGACTGCCAACATGGTCCAGGAATGGCAGTGCATGCGAATGTATTTCATCAGACTGAGTCTTGGACGTCACTACGCGAAAAAAACGGCGAGAGACGTCTGAACCTCACGGATACGCAGACGCAGGAGATGAGTAACAGAATTTGTATTTTATTCGAGTTTGACGACTGATAGCAAAATAGTGAACCGCACCTCAGACATCGGGGAAACAGGGGGGTCCACAGCATTACGCCTCGGTGAATGGATGCGAGGAGATCATTGGGGGCAGAGAGCATGCAGTATGCAGGGCGCTGGTCAATTGTAGGAAATCTTGATGAAGTGACAGTGGCGACATAACCAGTGGGGGACAGAGACTATGGGCGGAGGTCGACAATAGACTTGGAGGTCGTAGAGAGAAAAGAGGAAGTGGGAGGTAGGAGGATCGACTCGACCTGGATGAAACCCACGAAAGTAAGAATGAGCGTGACTGAATGAATATGGCAGCTTCGTGGTCACTCTTCGCCGAGTGCCGTCGAGCAAAAGGAGCGAGTTCCCCGATGCTCAGTATTGTAAATTAGACCCAACCATAGGTAGCGTGATACCAACCACTCACAAGAAATTCACTATGGCCACGCAAAGCTATGGTTTGCTTCCTGGACACTCTTCCTTGACCGGTTGACCAACCGCGTATCTATGCATCCATGGTTGTCGAAGCGTCTGGAAGAAAAACGTGGGATGATATGCAAAAGCGGGATGTTTGGATCTATGGAGCTAAATAAACAACGTCGGGCGTAGCTAAACGTTAAGATACTTATCGACTATCATCCTGTCGACATGGATGTTAGTCCACAGCCTAAACGTTCGCCATCGGAAGGGGCGCGCTATATGACTGACTTGCGACTCGACAAACGCGGCTGGACCAAGTACAGATGATTGAGCCAAGCTACCACCGTCTTTGGCTGCCTCAGAGTCGTGCAATGAATCAGAGGGGAAAGGAGAACATGCCGGACGTCCCTGCATGGTACCGACGTGGCGTCCCAATTTTCTTCTGATCGCACCATAACTTCCCACCAAGCTCGTGCCAAGTCAACACTCGGTCCTGGCACGAAGGCCTACAGATGCACCTGGGTTGCAAGTCTCGATGGATACTTGTACGCAGGGACCTGAGGGCGCGCTAGCCTGCTAGGCTCGACGACTAGCCCGCCACGTCGCGTCCAAGACTTTACCGTAGCGAAGTAGTCCAATGTAAAAGCCAGACAAGGCCTTCCAGATCCCCACCTCCCCATTTTCCAGGCGAGGTTCGCGGCTCCCTGGTTATTCATTTCGTCATGACGTCGAGCCCTACATCGGGGATGCGCCTCTCCCTCTCCTTCGTGCTCGTCGCCACGCTTCTCGTCGTCGGCGTGTCCGCTCGCCCAGCCAACGACTGGTCCAAGCCCTGCTTCAACGGCGAATGCGCGTACGACTTGCCCGAGCATAGCAACTCGGGCTTGGGCGCTCTCAAGATCGTACGTACTCCACCTCACGCATATATAATATACTACTACTTTGCTAATTACCCTCCACGTTCACAGGCTGGCTCACCAAAGTCGATCACCGACATCACCTCCGCAGCGGGCTGGGTCGTCCTCGACTGCGACCCCCACTCGCTCGAGCAGGAAATCCGTCTCGTCTGCCAATCCGACGACGACGTCGACGACACCGCCTGCAATCATGTCTTCGACCACTGGGGCCCAGAAGACAAGATTGTCAGGTTGCCCGAGAGTGTAAGAATCCCGTCCAGGAGTATTCTGGATGCGGTTATTGACGTTCGGTATGTGTGCAGTGCGGTGCGGGACCCTTTGCGCGTATCGCAGCGGCCTCTCTGGCTGCGAACCAAGACCTTCCCGCCCACGCCGAAGGCAAAGTGGTGCGACGAAGCGGCATCCCGCCAGTCATCCACTCCTTCAAGATCGACACCAACTTTGATCTGGTCGACGTAGAGAAGTCAGCATCTGATCTTTCCCCATCGTTGCTTCGCTGACCCCTCTCGCCTCTCCTCTGTAGAGTCGGACCTATCAACTTCGCTTTCGTCGGTCTCACTGCTCCCTCTCCCGCGGAAGCATTCGCCCACCCAGACATCGACCTCAACTTCGACTTCGTCGACGGGTGGTTCGACGACGTCTTCAAATCCGTCGGCAGCTGGGTCTCCAACGCCGCCACCACCGTCGCGCACACCGTGACCGACGCCGCACACACCGTCGCGCACGCCGCCGAGACCGCCGGCAAGGCCATCGCCCATGTCGCCGGCGCCGCCTTCGAGGCGATCAAGAGCGTGCCCGGCCTCCTGGAGAACGCCACCCACTTCCAGTTCGAGCCCACCGTCGAGATCGCGCCCGTCAAGTTCGAGGGCCACACGAATCTGATCGACTACAAGCCGACGGGGTGTCCCGGCGGCGGCGGCGCGGTGACCGGGGGCGTGATTGCTGGGGAGCTGAAGGTGGATGTGACGGGCACGGGAGGGGGCAATGTGAAAGCGGGCGTCATCGTCGATGGGTCGATCGTGCCGCCGAAGATCAAGGATTTTGCGGCGTTCGCGGGGCTTTCATTCGACGTCGACGCTTCGGTGACCATCAAGGCTGCAGTATTTGTGAGTTAGGCCCGTTCTTCGTCTGATCGCTTCCGTCGTTGATGTCGCGCCGCAGGGTGGATACGACTCTGGGAGAAAGCCCATCATCAAGCCCTTGGGCCTCCCTGGGTTCAGCATTCCAGGGTGAGTCCGCAGCCATCATCCTTCGTCCCTCGTACGCTTTCTCAACCCGCCCAGTGTTCTCACCATCGGGCCAATGATCGAGCTCCAAGGCCAGGCAAAGGCGTTTTTGGACCTGAAGATCGATTCGGTCGTGCATCTCGCGTACAAGGTTGACAACCGTGAGCTCGTCGGCCTATATCCCCTTCTTTTCAGCTAAAATCATCGTATAGTGGAACTTTGGTACCCTGCGTCGAAGAAGAAATCCACGGAGAAGGGCATTCATACCAAGCCGTCGCGTGCGTGTCTTCCCCCTTTCACACATCACCTCGCTTTGTATGCTGATGACCCGCCGCGAATACAGCTCTCAAGCTCAAAGCCAAAGCCAAAGCCAGCGCGAAAGGTTTGTCACCCCCTCCTCATCAGCACGCCGCAATATCTGACCCGCATATAATACCCAAGGTTACATCGAAGGACATCTTGTCCCCATCCTCAAACTCGGTGTAGAAGCCCTCGGCGGGAAGGCTGGCGCTGATGTGTACCTCGAAGCCGACGCATTCGCCCGCGTCAGCGTCCAGGCCGAAGCCCACGCAACCGCGACCGCCAAAGTCGGTGGCGCCCCCGCCGCCCCCGCCCCCGCGCGCCCGAAGAAGGGCAAGCGCGAGGCGTACGTCCCGCCCTACAGCCACCAAGCGCGCAACGAGCTCGCGGTCTTCGACAAGCGCGCCACCGACGTCGACGTCCACGCCGCCGCCAAGGGCGGGTTCAGCGGGTGTGTCTGGCTCGATGCGGGGCTGGAGCTCAACTACGGCGCGAAAGCGAATGTGGGCGATTTGTGGAAGGTCGATGAGCATGGGTCGTTGTGGAAGAGCCCCATTTGGCCGGTCTGGTCGGTGAGTTGTGTTTCTCTTCCTCTTCTCTTCGTTCGCGTGTTCGTCACCGGGCGGATATCTTTTCACCGCTACGTATGCTCACCTCTCTACGATAGGGTTGCTTCGCCGCCGGCACGAAATCCGCCGGAAAGGTCACCGCGAAATCTACATGGGACCCCAAAACCCTCGACGCCAAGTTCAAGGAGAACAAGTTGACTTGCGACGCGGATGCGGGCGACCTGGAGGCAATGCCGGATGAGACACTTGCATCCAAGACGTAAGTCTAGTCTGGTTCGCAGCACCATGACATTATACTGATGGCCGTGGCTACTTTCCTATAGATTGCAAGACTGAGTCCGTCCGTACTGCAAAGGCTTCACGCGTTCTTTATTTCATCGGCTATATATAGCGCTGTTCGGCCACTTGGTGCTCGTGTTCAACGTATTGTACGCTCAGGTGGATCGGAAAAGTATATGTAGTATTGAGTATGGTCGAGGGAGAGTGCGAAATGTAATGATATGATCAAACCGCCATATGAGGAACATAGCAGAACAAGAAAATGCCAGTGCAGTCAACCATTGCATCGCTGAGGTAGACTGTAGATGTAAGGTTAGACGTAACGCACAAGAATGCACGGCTGACAGGAACAACACACAGGTGGAGGCGTTTCGCTCTGGACTGAGTGATTTTGGTCGCGAAAGTCCGGGCATTCAGACTTAGAAACGTTAGTAAACTGTTTGTCTCGGTGACTGCCCGCGATGAAGAACGGGAGGACTTGGAGATCAATGAATTTAGTTTACTGACGTGCACGACGTATCCTAATGTATCATGAAGAAACTTAAATGCTAGTACAGTATGGAGTATACATCACCAGTGGATCACAAAGCTCCTGCACGTCTAGCAAATCTACAAACCAACACCATTCAAGTCTATATTGTTAATGGCTTGCTCTCTTTTTGGGCTACGAACTCGCGTCAGTCAAAGCTCGCAATATCCAAAGTCAAATGATACTCACACGTAGTAATTCGATCGCCCAGCGACAGGGCGATTCCCTGCGTCTTACTCCGTATCCGTACGTGGCCAGTAATAACCCCGCTCTCCGTTCGCTCGATGCTCAGATTCGCTAGTGCGTCCTCGCCTATACGTACGACAAACCGAATATATCCAGTCAACAACGCGGTCAAATGATGATGGGAGAGGGATAGTGGCGTACCGAACAGACTTCGAGCATACATATTCGCTGACAAGAAGTCGCAATCTCCCGACAGCGCGCCTTCGGGGGTAAGGCACGACATATTCGTGACGCTCATCACGTATTTGAGATAATCGCGGGGATTTCTTTGCCATTCAGCCGTTAGGACTTTTCGCGTCAGAGACAGAGAAGGAGATGACGTACGATAACGTGCTATTCACATTCACTCTGTTCTCCCACTCGAACTCAGTCCACATGCTTCGGAACTAACACCGGACATTAGCACCTCAAAGCAACGAGCATAAACGGGTCACACATACCTGAGCTTCCGTACAATACGCTGGCTTGATATAATCCATGATATCGACGTGAATATCATTTAAAATCACGCAGGCCTCCGACATATTCGGGCCTTCCCACAATATGCTTCCGAAAATGACCCCAGTCTCCGTCGACGAGACCTTAATCGTCGCCTTGATGCTCTGGAAACCGTGCGGGGCGATGGTGAAGACCGAAGGGCGCTCTACGATCTTGAGGTCGCCGAGCGTGGCGAAGTCGAGGCAGAGGTTTTGGAGCGTGTTAGCGGTCTGGTTAACGAGGAGGACGTCGAGCAGAATGTCGAAGCCGTGCATCTTGACGTAGGCTTCGGCGTAGATAGGATCGGAGAAGCCTGCGCAAGCCCATCACCATGAGATGGTCGGAAAATCAGGAGAGTGGGAAGCGCGTACCGGTAAGTTGCGCAATCTTGCTGAGGTTAGAGATGAAGTCTTCCTGAACCTCCCCGGATCCCGTTGCGCGAGTAAGATCCTCAGCATCCTAATCACACAGTGATCAGAATTCACGACGAGCGGTACGTAAAGGCAAACGTACATCAATAACATCCTCATTCGCCTTTTGCGAGAACTGGCGGAACGACAGTAGATCATCAACCTGCACGATCGTCTTCTTATCGCTCTCCGCAGCTTTCTTATCCGCAGCGCGCTTCTACACGTCCCTCGCTCAGCAACCATTACTACACCAATCTGGAGATAGATAAACGCACCTCCTGCGCGACCAACATCTTCGAATACGCCGCCTTCGTGTCGTGCAGGAAGATATCATGCACGGCCGGTTTCTCCTCGAGCTCGCTCAGCGTCTGGATGCAGTTGAGGATCCGCTCTTGCGAGTCCTCGTCAATCTGCACCGTGACAAACTTGGACTGGCCGACGCGGATGATGGACGCCATGATGAGCATGGCCTAAAAGGATGGCTGTCAGAAACAAAGAACGAAGCGGGAAGAGGGGAGTAGCCTATACGTACCTCGGCGCGAAGAGAGTTAAGCGCGATTTTATCGCTCGTCTTCTCGTCATACCGCAGGACCAATTTAGACAGGGCGGCAGAAAGTACAGAGCCAGTGAAGAAGTCCCCACCAAGTATAAGAGCTTCGCGGCACCAACATCAGCTCCCGTTCGCAAAAGGCTAGCGAGCGCAAACGTACCTCTCAACGGCGGCTTCGCAGCAGCTTTCACAGCCTCCAACTTCGCAGCCGACGCGCTGGTCGTATATGCGCTCTCAGTTGCGTACGTCCCATCAGCGAGCACCCTCGGGCGCGAATCCACCTTCTTCTCCTTATCCTTCTCGTCTTTCTCCTCGTCCCCTCCCTCCGCTCCAACAGCCTCGTCCAAAAGCCGCTGCTCCGACGCGAGTATGGGTATCTCCCCAAGCACCTTCCGTATCTCCTTCATCGCGCGCTCGATGTCAGCCGTGTTCTCGACATACTCGCCGAGGATCCAGAGGATGCCGCGGTAGACTTTCCCGGACTTGATATCGGGGAGGGTGGAGATGAGTTTCTCGGTGATCGTGGGCCGGAGATGCGGGAATTTCTCGACGACTTCGCTGTATACGCGACACCAGGATTGTAAGTTCAGGCGAAAGTGAAGAGAAGGAAAACGCGACCAACCGGACGAAGGAGACGACATCGAGGGCGGAGGGGTTGTTGGAATCGCCCAAGAAGTCCATCAGGGCGTGTACGACCGAGGCCGCAACTTCTGAGAACTTGATAGCAGTAACGTGAATAGATTGGATCAACAGTTGGCGATACTCCGGCGCCTGTAAAGTCGATTAGGTGTCCATGGATGGGATGAAATGGAACGAAGAGTCGCCTGACCTTCTCGAAATCGTGCTCCTGCGTGCGCTGAAGCTGCTTCTTCAGGAACAAGACAACCTCTTCGACGTTACGGCTAGACGTCATGCTGAGCACCAATCCAATCGCCTTCCGACGAACTTCCATGTCAGCACTACAGTAGGGTAATCAGCGATAGCATAGAGTAAAGTAGGGAACGCGCACGTGGAGAGGATTTGGAGAACGTCCATAATGATACTGTCGAGGACGTGGCCATGCTTTGAGCGAAGGGCTTCCACGCGATCGAGGACGATGAGCTTCACATTGTTGTCGGATTCCTTGACGACGAGGTTGATAAGGCACGAGGCAGCGGCTGCAAAGACAGGTTGGTCAGTAGACTGCCTGTCAGGAAGGACACGACATTTTGACCTTTGACAGCGGCAGGATTTTGGGTCAAGGCAGTCAGCGTTGTGGCGGCCTCGTACTTGACGGCATGGGACGAGGAATTCAGCAGCTCAAAGATGCATCGGATGTACCGTGGCTGAGCGCGTCATGAGATCCCAATCTCCGGAGGAAGAACAAATGAGTACTCACTCGATGAGCTGAATCGTCCTTGCAGTCCAACCTAATGACCTCTATTATGCTCAACTGCAGGAGCTCATCGAGGGCCGAGATCTGGTCGTACACGCTCAATATCCACTCCACGGCCTTCGGCATCGAGCAATGGGCCAAAAACTCCAGCGCGTTGCGTTTACACGTCGGGTCCGTCTCGGCCGCGAGGAACGTCTGCACCAGCTCCGGCGCGTCGGGGATCAGGTTCTCAAACTCGCGGTATATAGAGTATATGGCGAAAACAGCGTTCTTCCGGACGTAGGAATGGCGGTGTTCGAGACACGAACGGCAGATTGGGACGAGGGGTTCGAGGAGTTCGGCGTCTTTAGAGATCTTTTGGAGGAAACGGAGCGTTGAGCCGCGTATGTATTCGTTTGGATGTTGCTTTGGGCGCGTTCAGGCGGGATTTAGAGCATATATACAGAGGGAACTCACCAGGTCGTTACGGATGGCATTACTTTGCCGAGGTCAGCGCGTTTGTTGATGATGATAGCGATTCTGACTCACACCACGAGAATCATCTCCTGCTTGAGCTTCCCATTCTCGTCGTACTTAGGGCAGACCTCCCAGTAGAAATGCAGCAGCTTCTTGAGCGCCTTGTTCTTCGACGGCAGTACATATTGGATTATCGCCATCAGCAGCGTCGGCTACAGAGAGAAAAACGTTGTCTTCTGACTCCCGTTGTAGGAGTCCCATACACGTACCTGAGGATTGCCATTGATCGTCGAGACAATGATCTTGCGCAATGTCTCATGTTTGACTTCATCTGTGCCCTTCTCGAGCCCAGCGCGCAGTTCCTGCACAGAAGGCGTCTCAGTCGCGGATTCGTAGACGACGGTGTAGCAGGAGGCTTCCTGGCCTGACATGGTTGTGGAAATGGGAGAACGTTATGATCATTGATCACGTACGAGGACGTGGCTTGGTCCAGTTGATTGTGGGAATAAATTTCTAATTGTGCGAAAGCTTTCCTTTAGTCAGTGGTCCACAGACCACTGGCGCTTCTTGGCCACGGCCAACCGACAAAATGTTCTCGTCAATCCGATACGTAGAAGTGCTTCTAGTACTTACCCACGAAACACGCTGTGAGTATTTCCATACCGAACTCCTCACACTGAATTGATCCCTGACGCAGGTACTATCCGCGAGCCATTCACTCGACACTCGCGCGCAGCCTACATCCCGACCCACACCCACCCACCCTTCCGCAACTCGTCGTATATACAGTATACAGTATACAGTACGAGCATACCCAATGTTTTCGCGGACAAAGTACACTGTAGATGACTTTGCCTCTTTGCCTTTGCTATGCTGTGTACCCTACGACGGAGAAATATTGAAATAATGAAACGCAGCGAACTAGCTCTGGTTATCGGTTATCGCGGACCATAAAAATAAAATGGGGCACAGGGATGACTCCATGTACACATCCATGCGCGAAGTGGAGGCCCGCCTGTGCGCACATAATACGCGCTCAGGCCGCTGAATGCACGCGTAGGTCTCGCTGGGTGATCTAAAACACCGACTGACTGCTTACGGATGATCAATATGCAATCCTGCGCGGAATGACGGAAAGACGTGGTACGATGGTGGCAAGCGTCGGAGAGTACGGCCTGACCAACAGCAGGGCGATGAACAACACGACGACAGGCATCGCCGCCATGGCCCAAACCGACGCCGCATATCCCGCAAAAAGCGGCGCAGAGTCTGCAGGGCGGCGCGCGCGCACACCCTCTGTCATAGACGCTACAACTAACGCACCCAACATCTTCGTGAGCCCCAAGCACCATATATATATCGCAATAGCACACGCACCAGCAAAGCCCAGCGTCGCGCCCACCTGGTACGCTGGTACGCCGTATACATCACGGCGCCGACGCCGCCCTCCTCCCCTTGCGCGCCCCGCCCATGACCATCGCCGTGCACCCCACGTACGCGCCCGCGAGTCCAAACACGCTGACAGCCATCCCGGAGAAGATATACGACCAGTACCGCGCCTCCGCCCTCGCCCCGCCGGCCACCGCGAAGAGTACGGCGCCCAGAGCCATGAGGGCGGGGCTGCACACGAGGATATGCTTGGGGCTGAGGCGGGGGACGTAAATATTTCCCGGCGAGGAACGACGCGGCGCCGCCTGCGACACCCATTGGGCTGCAGCGCACTGCGGCGATGCGCGGCGAGTCGCGCCAAAGGTCCTTTTTCATGACTTGACTTGGGGTGAGTACATACAATGGGAAGACAAAGGAAACGATTGCGCGGATGCGCGGCGCACCATGAGGACGTTGACAAGCTGGAGTTGAGAGCCGAGAGCCGAGGCACCACCAATGGGGACTCCAGGCATGGAAGAACAGCGGCGTGAAGTTCCTGTTCGTCTACGTCTTGGGCGGCCATGCCGGGCTTTTCACGATCCGCTCGATGGCGAAGAACAACGACGAACACAACGACGGAGAGGAGCAGTGTCGTCACGACTTGCGGCGATCCCCAGCCTTGGGTAGGGTAGGGTCGGTTCTCCAGCGAATGAAATGATAGGAGAGAGAGAGAGGACATACCAGATTCTGCGCGATCTGATATGGCGTATACGAACAGGATCAAGCCCGAGGTGAGCACGAGGACCCCTGGTATATCAACACCACGCCGCTGGGCCTTTGCAGGCATCGTATGCGTCGGCAACAAGAGCCACGCGGCACCCGCAGTGGGATGTCCCGGCGAGAGCGTATGCGGCGTACGCGGCGCTGCGCTCGACCGGGTCGGGGCATATGTGTTGTCCGTATCATGGCGATCGCGGAGGGGACATTCATCGCAGCACCTACGCACGCGAACGATGTCGAGGAAACATATTCCGGAGCCCGCTGAGCGCACATACCCATTCCCTGCAGCGCACGGAAGACGATGGCCATTATGGGGTGGACGCTTGCCCCCACTGGGGCGCTGAATATGGCGATAAAGGCGAAGCCGAGGCAGAATATGGGTTTTGTTTTGGGTGGAAGATATCCGATAAACTGCCGGCGATGAGCATGAAAGACGCGAAGGTGAGTGTGTACGCCGAGAGTATCCATTGAAGAGCGCCAGGGGTAAAGTGGAGGTCCTCGGCAAGCTAGTTCGGGCAGCGTTAGCAACAGAATGGGGGATTCATTGACAAGTGGCTCTCACCGAGGGCAATGAAACAACGACAGCGTTCGCGATGAAGATGTCAAAGAACTGGGCCGAGCACAATACACCGAGGACAACGAGCTTTCGAACGGGCGACAAGGTCTGTTCTTCGGCATCTGAGGCTTCGAGCACTGGGACTCGGACGCCTGTCTTAACTACTCACGGTTGGAAGCGGCACAATCACATCCAGAGTGGTCTCGGACCAAGGATTGTAGGGGCTAGAGTACACTTGAGAGAACATTGTAGTTTGAAATTCAACAGCTCGCTTGATGCCTGGCACGGAATGGCGTATCGCAATGGCGAACTGGATGCAGCGAGTCCACGGAGGAAGGGGCGCGATACGGCGCGTGTATAACAACCTACAATGAGTTTATTTCTGTTGCAAGGACGACGTCCAGGTGGATGCTGATGAACACATTCAATAAAAGAAAATAAAAATTAAACTAAATAAATTATAACTTATTTTTATTTAGATAATTGTTTTTATTTTCTACTTTTAAATCGGAGATGATAAGCATATCGGTGGGCGCTAAACTGGACCTATCTAAGAACGAGCCCCCGCGACTTACACAATGACGCGAGCTCATGCTAACTTGGCAAGTCCTCGATGTCACCCAACCAACCATGCACTCCAGGATGATCTGATGCATACCGTAGAACCGATAGCATCCGCAGAAGCTTGACGTCACCACCGTTCAGAGTCACAGCACACACGTCAACGCTGGGGCACCTTCATAGTCGTACGTTTTGGTCTCCCAGAAATCTTTCTCAAATAGGGGAACAGAGAGCATTACACCGAAGCCTCGACGTATTCGATGAGCCCCACCGCCTCGTCTCATTGATCATTACTCGCATGGTCATACCTCCCTCCTGCTGTCCTCAGGCACAGTGTACGCACAGCGCTCCATCCTCGCACTTCTAGCACTTCTGCGGCTCGAACGACTCTGCGTCGCAGCGGGCAGTACATCAATATCAACCACTGGCCGCCCCGATCCGGGGGCCCCTCGTTCGCTCGTGCGTCGCCTGGGAACAAGACGGTCCTTTCGCGCGCCAACCAAGTTGTTCGGAATTACACAATGTAGGACTTCGATGGGATAACGAGTCAACCAACGGGTTAGCACGGCCTACACCATTGCCCATTGCCGTATTCACCCCAGCCCAGTAGACGTATATGCCGTAATATACGACCTGACCGCGACCCACTGCACTTGGTCCCGCCGACTCTCAAAGCAACCGTGCGCGCGCCATGCCCAGGAACACCGCACACCGCACACCGCACACCGCAAGTCGTCCTGAGGCCTGACCGGTCTGAAAACTCGAAACTTGAAACTCGACGTATCCAGAAACACGGTCCATTGTCAGGCGGGGCCAACCCGCGTATCAAGCTCACGCTGATGGGGACTTTGGGCAGCACGAAGAAGAGATCGGGATGGACGCGTGCAAGACGTGCCGCAAGACGTGCGAAAGTTGAAAGCCCCTCTCCGGGCTTTCGTGGCTCTAGTAAGTACTAAGTAGAACCACGAGAGTCCGGCGCTCTAGCGCTCTAGCGCACTGTGTAGTACTCTAGCAAGCCTCTCGCGCGCACACAGAGACACAAGAGCTGCCACATACCCGACACTATTGTCATTGTTATTGCTGTCCAGGCTTTAAGCGGGCGTTAATGGGCTGCTGACAACGGCTGTGGAGACGTTCGTCTGTGTGTGTGTGTGCGTCGAGCGGACGAGAGGTGATTCGGCGCCTGCTGCCCGTTCGTCCGTTCAATATTCAATATTCAGGCCTCAGGCGCCTCCTTGCCGACTACGCGATTACGCGATACGCCCCCGTGTATGATGTGAAAGGATTTCCTGTTCTTGCGAGGCTTTTAAGCATTCAAACATTCAGCCATCAAGCAATCAAGACCTCCGAAGGGAATTCCAGTCGGGGGTCCCATATTCATATTCAGCCCCTGGGCCCAAGGCGTCCGTGGGTAGGTGATCTCCAGCGAAAGCGTTCCGGTAGATGCATAGATTCAACGCACCAGAAGATTCGCACAAGAAGATTCACAGATTCACAGATTCACGAACGTCCCAGCGTCCACGGTCCAGTCTCTAGATCTGGATCTGGTCGTCTCCGTCTCCCCAGACCTATGCCCCCAAACCCCAAGCCCCAAACCCCCTCTGCTTGCGTCTGCGTCTCGTTCACTGACATCACTGACATCACTGTCATTGAACGGTGGCGTCCATGACCTGGATGACCTGGAATCTGGAATCTGGAATCTGGATGAGGTGGAGGCGGAGGTGGAGGTGTCATTGTGTCATCTTCGTTCGCGGACGCAGGAAGACTGGACTATGGACTATGGGACTGTGGGCGGAGGGCGGAAGGGCGGAGGGGAGCAGCCGAGCCGAAGACACCGCGCCGTCGTCTTTACAGTTTACAGTTTTCATGGACTGGGGCGACTACATCTCATGGGCTCACCAATAGCTCCGGGGACAAGTCCGTGTTGGGTGGATCTGGCGATCTTATGTAAATGCGAGCAGTGATTTTGGGTTTTGGTTGGAGGAGCACATTGCGCAGTGGCAGAGAGCAGGCGCAGAGCTCCGAACGATCCGTCGCTCGTCGTGCGACTTCCTGATAGTGACGGTGCTCCGCTCGTCCTTGTCCTCGGAAAACAGGAAAACAGTGCGTTCGTGTCGTCTTCGGAGTCTCGGAGCTCGGAGTCTCGGAGGAAACGGCGCAGGATCGTGAAGGCGCAGAACCGTATAGGCGAATACCCAGGCGACTCGGAATGATTCGAGATTCACGCAATTGCGATTGCGTGTGTTGGACCGGGTGGTTGTTCGCGAGGCTCGTTCGCTGAAGGGAAGAAACACGCCCCAGAACGTGTGCTCTGGAGAGAGGGGGAGGTGGTGTTGAGTATTCCGCCGCAAGGTGGGTTCGGAGGATGCGTGGATAGACTGTGATATGAGTCGAGGACGGGGGAAAGGAGGATTGGACGAGGATGGGTTGCGGGGTGAAGGTATGGACGATGAGGCGAGATGGACCTAGGACAAGAGGGGGTTCTACGAAATCCTTTCTCTGGCCATGGATTGGACGGTCCCCTGGGGTTTAGCTGACATCAGGGTACGGTCATCTGGACGCCGCGCCTCAGAGTATCGGGGCCTCCGGGACTCCTCGCGAATTCCAAGTCCCTTCGCCCCGCGCTAGGGGTATGCGTATGCGACGCAGATATCATGATATTCCCCGCACCCATATATGTTATCGCGGTGGAGAATTCCATAACTGACAAGCTGCTGATGACCTATCTGAATCGGGCGAGAGCATACTGGGAGGGCGCTGTCGCGATAAGGCCATAAAGCCAACGGTACTTACCGACAACGGCCGCACGGAACTCAATAACTCAAGATCGTTCTCAAAGTGGCACAACGGCCGCCCAATGGTTTGGAGGATGCGGCGGTGCAGGAGGGCTGGCCTAGCAGTCCCCGCGCCCGCCGTTAGCCTCGGCATTGACGAGCAGTGTGTTGAACGGGTAGTGGCTGCGGGCATTGTGAACCGTGAACGGATATCGTCGTCTGCGTGTCTGGAAACACGGCGTGCGTCGCCTCCTTGAAGAAAGCGCACTACGCCAGGGGGGGTGCCCATTGATATTGAGGCTCCCTTACAAGGAAGCCCCTCCCGTGCGATCGCTGACGCGCCATGAGTTCTTGAGGATCGACATCGATGCGCCAGCACAGCACCGACGTGCCAGTTGCCAGACTTCATCGCGACGCGAATCACACGCCATATATTCGCCCCCGAGCAATACAAAATGTCTGCAGTGTCCAAAAGGGGCGTTGGGGCGTCGAGGCGAATGGGTGGCAGTAAAAACAGAGTATGTCGCGAAACACATATTCGTAGAGGTACAAAGGTGGGTAGTAAGTAAGTAAGCGGGCGTGGTTATATTCAGTATGGATAATCATTCATGTACGGGTCGTCCCAAGATTCTAGAAGGGGCGTGATTGGGCAAGTGTTAGCGTTAGTAAAGCAAAGCAAAGCATGGGAAATGGGGAATGGGAGAGCAGAGAACGGACCTTCTGTGATGCTTCTCCAGGCGAGGTAGAGTATACCTACAGACGCCGTTTCGAGGATGGTGGCGATGAAGGAGCCGTCGATTCTGGACGAGGATCCCTGTAGGACGCATTAGTTGGGTTATCATGGTGGTAATCACGAACGCAAACGGGGGAAAGAGAGAAGACGATGCTAGGTAGAAAGAAAGATGCGATATACGAAAGTCGACAATATGAAATGGATGGTAAACGGAAAGGCGGACGGAATGTCCATGTCCGTGGTAGTTCAGCGTCCGCAAAGTCAAGGTAGATCAGCAGATCAACGAAAGTCGTCTACCATCGCATCGCATCGCATCTATCGACAGAATGGACGGGGCGACTCACCCTACAAACGACCTTGCCCAGCAAGAACCACGCTAGCTGCGCGAGTACGAAGAGCACGAATGCCAAGACGTAGTACCAGAGGGGGCGTATCTCGTTGAGGATACGGAGGACGACGTAGGTCATCAAGACGAAGTAAATGATGGTTGCGCTGTAGAATAGAGGGGGGTTGATCAGCCACGGGCCGCAAGACGGTAGGGACGGGAGGGAGGGAGGTAGGGAGGGAGGTAGGGAGGGAGGGAGAAGAGACAGGCGAGTCGAGTCGCCTGAACACTCACGCGCCGGGCCAGATCGAGGTAAGAACGAACAGCGGTATACTTGCGAGGGCGTCGGGGGGATTGCTCGGGCCGAACGCAGCAGTGAACGAGAAGGCCACATCGAGGGAAATGTAGGTCGTCGCTGCGAAGAATGCGAGCGCGAGGATGGAGAACGGCTGTAGATGATCGGGGTCGGCGTGTCAGTTTCGTGGATTGGACAGGCAAGGGGCAAGGGGACTCACAACAACGCTGGCCATGGTCCCATCGTCCACTAGCTGAAACGAGATCAACGCATTTCCGACCAGCATCCAGAAGAGGGCCGCTACGATCCCCGCATGGATAGCGGTCAGCACTGTCAACGCCGTAGAACCTTGCTCGAGCAGCGAGCCCGTCGTGAGGAGCTGGAAGGGCAGCGAAAGCGCGTAGAGCCCCAGGAATATACGGAATTCAACGCGGCCTACCGGGCGAGCGAGAGTGATCAGCGCTCAGCCATTGTGTAAACGTAAACATCGCCGAAACGACGGAAAATGGGGAGAGGAACGGCTGGTTTTGGAGAAAAACGGAGGTCGACGCACCAACAGCAGCCTTGCGCCGGCTCACCAGAAACATCAAGGCTCCGACTGCGAATACGCTAAGCCCACACACTATGACATTTGCGATGTTCCCCAGCGATCCGTTTTGGCCTGCGCGCTGGATTCCGCATGTTGGGTCGATCCCGACGGGCGCAGAAGAAGAGGGGGACGATAGACCCCGGAGCGTGGAGGGGGAGTGTGATTGTAGCTGAACGCCCCGTCAGTTCATTCCAAGACGAAAACGAGATCGGAAACGACGCACTTGGTGATAAAATAGATTACACCACGGATAACTGGGCGTCTCGGAGCATAGCGGTTTGAAATCGCCAAACCGCGTCGACATCGTATGCTTTTCTCCGTCTTTTCGCTTGGGGTATGGATTCTACAGGGTGGTCGTTTTCGTTGTGGAATGTAGTACAGAGGGGTGGAGGAGGGGGAGGTGGGGGGGTCGTGAACGAAGGGAAGGATATCTGGGAGAACGAAGGTGGGGGAACGAAGACCACACCGTCCAAGCTCAGTTGAGAGGGCGTGGAAATGCGGTGGCCTGGTAACACGTGGCCACTGGGACCTGATCAAACAATAGACGAGTTATCTTATCGGATTCGATATGAGCGACCGTCTTTGAGGTAGAGCCTGGCCTGCCGGAGGCGTACTTTTGAGGGGGACGAGCACGGGGGGAACGATGAGGAGCAGTGACCAAATGCTGTGTGCGGTACAAGTGCAGCGAATTCCTGGTATTATCATGATGGCCCGTAGCAACTGGGCGCTTGACGCTTAACAACGATCGTCCGGACCGATCGTGATCAGAACTTGGTGCTCTCATCCTTGAAATTTTTCTTCCATGTCCTCGTTCCTCCGTGTACCATCGACAGGCAGACATGTGGTGCATTCGCTCGCTAACGAGACAGACGCCTGTCGCTTCTGTTGAGAATAGTGCTCCGAAGCTAACGAGAGCTTGTTCATGCAGGGATACTCCTTCGCAATGCAAGGCGGCCCTACTTAGGTTCGTCGTGGATGTCAGGGAACTCTGTAATTAACGTTCATCTTACCAGGTGGTGACAGACATTCTCTTTGCGATGTAACGCATGCTAAGTGCAAGGGTCAATCGGTCGTGTTCGCCGTAAGAAAACGACCTTCCGTCGGTTCAGCGTCGCGCAAAATTAACACGCATGTTCGACAATGGAAGCAGAAGAGATTGTTTCCAGCAGCTACGCCGTCCATATTGGCTTTGGATGCGATGGCAATATAAGTAAGGGGCACCGTGCGTTACTCGTCGGTTCTTGAACTCGCTCTTGACGTCTGATAAACAAATATGTAGGATCATGAACACGGCAGCTCCCTCCGTCCCATCATTATGTACCGGCCGAGTCGACTATAAACGCTGTGAACGCTCCTGGAGTAGACCTCGGAGATAGAAACTAAGTACTTATAGTATCACCATTTGATTTGGATAATTCGCCCGTCATGGTGTCTATCGTATACCAACTGATAGAAATTCGATTCTAAATTTCACCCGTTCGTATGCACGTCGAGCGCGGCACAAGACTTTTTCCACCGTGCTCGCCTCCAGCCACGCTTGCCCAAATACGATCCCCAGCCCGATTCGATTCTATCGCATAAGAGACCTCTTCGGTCTATGAATGCAAATATGAATTGAACTCACGTTTGAGGACTCACCTTCTCATCTAGTATTCCATCTAAGTCTCTAGGCTCTGCGTCACATTTCAATTGATGCGCTTTCAATCTCCCTTTGAGGGTCGATGGGTCCAATTTCGAGTGCGCGGTGACTGGCGGATTTCGTGCCCGCAGTGAAGCAGGCCTATAGTGAAGAGGTAAACATATTGTCCCGAAATGGCGTCTACCCCGCTGATGCACCGCCGGAGAACATGTGAACAAGAGGTGGATGTCTACAAATCGGCCTTCGCATCGAAATTGGGTTCCAATTCCGCATCCACGCACGCACCCAAACACAACCACTGAGCCCACCCTTGGCGCTCCCGTGAACATCGACGTCGGTGTCCCGGAGGGCGAGCTCATTGCAGGCCCGGCGGCCGTAGGGCGGGGTATAGACCTCTCTCTTCCCTTTCTCTGGGTGCACAGGGTCAGCAGGCGCGGTACTTTCGCGGTAGCATGATTTCGCGGTAGCATGAGCTTCGACCTCAAGACTGACGCGAGCGAAGGCGTCAGCCTCGAGATGCACAGAAACTCCTGTACCAAACCCATCGAAACCAAGTTTGAGAACGGGGATGAGATGTCCTTCGATGTACCCTGCAGATATCCGGGATTCAGATGCTGTCATGTCGTGATAAGACGAGTCACGAACCTTTCGCTTCGTCTTTAGCACTAGCCTTGAGTTTGAGAGCTGAATTTAGTGATCGATTGTCAGCACAAACATTGTTAGCCATCCATGGAGTAGATACATACGAGACTCCTTGGTTCTGATGCCCTTCTCCGTGGCATTCTTTCGAGAGGCAGGGTACCAAAGCTCGACTAGTATGTCCTTTGTTAGTCGTTGGAATATTGGAAAGGGAATGAAACCACAGGAAACTTACGGTCCTCAACCTTGTATGCAAGATGCACGACGGAATCAATTTTCATATCCAAAGCCGCCTTTGCTTGCCCTTGGAGTTCGACCATTGAGCCAATAGGAATGCTGGAAGGACTGAAAAGGCGAACGGGGGACAACAGCTGCGCACTCACCCGGGGATGGAGAAACCAGGAAGCCCCACGGGTTTGATAAACTGATAATGGGAATTCTACCTGAGTCGTACCCTCCCTGGGATGACACATGAGCAACGGAAGTGACCAAGTAAACACAGACGAAACTCACGAACACTGCACCCTTGATAGTCACCTGAGCGTCGACATCGAACGAGAGTCCAGCAAACGCAGCGACATCTTTGATATTTGGTGGTACTATCGAGCCGTCGATGATGTCTCCCGCTCTGGCATTCCCCCCGCCAGTACCAGCAATGTCCGCCTGGAGCTCTCCTGCGATGACACCCCCAGGACCCCCGCTTCCTGAGCAACCTTTCGGATTGTAGTCGACCAAGGTCGCAGTCCCATTGAACGAGACAGGCGCAATCTCGACTTTGGGATTGAATTCGAAGTGGGCAGCGTTTTCCAACAAACCGGGAAGGTTTTTGACCGCCTCAAAAGGCGGCGCTAGTGCGATGGACTTCGGGGAGCCAGCCTATGGTGGTAGCATTCAAGGGGAGTACGCAGCAAGAGCATTTGTCGTTGTACTTACGATCTTGAGAACACCCAAGCCAGAATTACTATGCTTTAGCAAGTCGTACATGCGTTCGCCATTGAAGCAAGGCTTGGACCAGTCGTTGGCTGCAGCAATACCGACAATGAGAAGTGTGGCCACAATGACGAAGTATAGCGATAGGCGCGTTCCGGGTGTTGCGGCCTTCATGTTGAACCAAGCCAGGGAGTGAGCGTCGCCTGGAAAATGTTGACCTTCCCGTTCGTGAGGGCAAGGGGTGCAGATGTAGCTTTTATTCCTGACTACCTTTCTGTAGTATGTATCTGACGTGATATATTGATGTAGCGGCCTAGCGCTGAGCGTGGCTTCTTCTATTGTTACCGCAAAACCTAGCAAGATGTCGTTCGGTATATCAGTAGAGCGGACTACCATTGAACGAGTATTCTCGCTTCACCAGCTGATGGATACCTTTGCACGACACGGGTAATAGCACTACTGGCATAAAACTACACACGGCGTCAACGACATCCATGTCGAACGACGTCCCGCCTTGAGGGATTCGGTTGGCCTGATATGTAGAAGGGATTCGAGCGGGGAGATAACTAGCTAGCATGGTTACTTTTCCCCAATTTATGGAACTATGGCAAGTGTTACCAATCTGGGTCAAATATGGGTGTCCTCATTGTGGAAAAGGAAACGCACGACTCAGCGAGTATTTCATATTTCTTTAGCGGGAATATCGACCGCACATCAAAGGTAGAGCAGACCTTCATCAACAACCGTCATCAACAAGATGTCTGCCTGAAGAGACGCGATCTACACGATGCGGCGAGTTTGCAGACAGCGGCGACAGTGGTGGCGGAGCTGGAACACGCATCGGGCGCTAGTTACATCTCATCCAGCTGTTTGTTCGACCCAAACAGATAATTCTGGTTTTGACTCCCTCTGTCTGCAACGTCGTCAGAACACGTTACAGCCTACGCGTAGCGCGATCTAAGTACGTGTAATGAGACGGTAGCGTTAAGACGATGCTCACAGGTTTCATGATCTCCGACTCACATCACCCTCGTTCGATTTTTGTAGAAATGATTGGTTTTGCAAAGTCGGCGCGTTGCACGTCGGCTCCACAGGGACTGACTACCATACTCTCAACCAAAAAGAGGCTGTATTGTGAGCCCAACGAGGAATAGGTCGCAGTGAGTGTCGAATTATCATTCAAAGGCTCAATTTCTGAGATGGTACCTGCACTATCTATGAAGTGGTACACAATCAATATGCAGCATTGCTAATGGGAGGGATGTTGTGTGATGAGTAATTCGAGTTTCAGGTGAACAGCTATATAACTTCTACACCCAATTACGCTAACGACTGCCAACCATGGTGCATCCTAGGCGCAATGATTGGGGCTCTATGTCACCCTTTGAAGACTCTCCCTCTCAGGGTGTATAGTGAAGAGCGTCAGGACGTCGTTTCCAAGCCACCGCTGCGTCCTTACGTTTCCCTTCGTCACCTCGATGAATGTACTATCCTGCAGGCCGACTCGAACTCTATATACTCAAGGGGGTTTATGCGCTCTCTCTGCGGTTCCAACGCCTCACGAGGAGCTCCCCCCTTTTCGCCTCCAATACTCTGTTCCATTCTGGAATATCGGCTCGGCTCTCTCAATCCCTGTTTTCCTGGTACGCCCTTTATAGCGAACTAACTTATATAATGCCCATATTGAGTAGTTATACGCCAACTAAGCGACTTCGTATAACTTTGGTAACAGAGAGGAGCCTGTACTGAATTACAGCGGTCACAGTCCTCATATCTGCGAACCACTGGCCACCAGAAGTCCTTGTCGGTTTAACGCGAGTCATCGAGGCTTCGGCCTGCTGGTACCCACGACTGTATACTCGATCCTCCCCGTATCGGACGGTTCGGGGTCTGACCTGACGTAGGGAGATACATTCCGCGCTGGGTCCTCCCAGCGCCGCGATACCTCAGGAATTCCCGCGCCAGGACCAGGGAGATGTAACGGCGATGATTCCCCCCATTCCCATCCAGAATGCAACATACTGTCCATTCCATCGTGGATCACCGACGTCCAGTAATCCAAGGACGAGGCATGCTATAGCGCTACCCTCTCAGTGCTCACCTCTCGTATTACTGGTATGGTGGAAGAACTCACCCGCTCGTTATGCTTCAGAGGCTTATCGATATCGAGATGCCCAGGGAGCCGGGTTTTAAGGGTGTCCCTTCGTCGGATAGGTTTTGCGTCGTCTGCGCGCCCCTTTGATGTCTGTTTCAAACGTAAGCAACCGCTGCTCGAAGGAAAGATGCATTGCAACTGACAATACATCCATCGCAGACTCTGAAACATATGGTAATTGTAGCGAGTCGGTGTTCCTGCTGGAACTCTACGTTAGTTTGCTCTCGACTCCTCACAGCCGCCATTATGTCTTTGAACGTTACTGAAGCCAGAACTTCCGAGTCGGTGCTCCCCGGATGCCCCGGTCGAATCTCAACTAATGCCCTGTCGTTCGGGCATATTTCACTGTGGATGTCGATCTCATGAGGAGCATTAGCACATCGTGTAACAAACTCACACAGGTGACCGTAGAACCCAGTTCGAGTCCATCCACCGCCAGTTCCCCTTCTCGTCCCGGGTCTCACCACCGACTTTCAGTGAGATAGTTACACAAGTGGGATATCCCGCCTGTTGGTTGGCATGATTGAGATCTGGGGACTTCACCCGTATTCGAATAGCTGGAAACCCAGGTGCGTAAGCTGCCACGATGCTCGGACGAGAGTCGTTCTGAACGAAGTACCTTCAATATATATACTGGGGGGACGGATGAGAGATATTCGAAAGGCCTGAGCGGATTCAAGCTACTCACAGATAGCGCTGATGATCTTCATCTGACATTTCTAGTGGTATGGAAAGAGGTAGCGGTGCGTCATCTTGTACTTGTCCTATACTTAAGGCAAGCCAGTGTGGTGCTGGGCATATCGTACAGCGACTGGATCCACCGCGATGTAGCCGTCTATTTGTACATCGGATCGGGAAATCCGTCGAGCTCCCTCGCACATTCAACACGCGTCTTGGCGGAGTGGCGTTGAAGCAGCCAGCCCCGAAGATCGAGGCTCGTCCAGGGCAGGGCTGAATATCGTGACCACCACCGTGTCAGTACAACGACCTCAGCCTGGCCTGGAACCAAGCACGATTTCTGGGAGCGTGTCGTATGGCCACGCCAGAACCTAGGATTGGTGCAGACACGCATCGAGTTATGAGAAGGGGGTTCGACTTGGAGGTTCAGCTGTGGTCGATGAATAGGTTGGATGCCGTGCTAAGCTGGCGCGCTCCAGTCTGAGCAACTGGTCTAGTTCCGCGCGTGTTTGTCGACATTAAGGTGCTCGACCTAACATCAGGATCAGTATATGGAGTACGTGATCCCCCGTGGAACCTTTCACCAATCTCTGTAAGTCGCGTAACCGTTATTATTCTGAGTTCATATCGTATCAACTAAATAATAGGTTACGAAGAACCATGGCAGAGGCAGTAAGTTCGAAAGGCTACGCTTTGAATTCTTAAATTAAGCACGATATATGTTTACGTCCGTGGGCGACATCTGAATTTCGTGGGGCCCAGAACCGTACCCGTAGATATGAGGCGCCTGATGCGACTGGCCTGAGGATTGGCGCGCGCGAGGGTTGTGGGCAAGGTCGGAATGGGATCTGCTGGCTGAGAGGCGCGAGCCGTGGGGATGGTGCGTCTGGTGCACGACCACGCTCTCCCGGGCGCGCTTCTCAGACCTGGACGACCGTTTCTCGGATATCGGCGAACGTGAATGTACCCGATCGGGGCGATCAAGCGCATCGAGGGGTATGGACGGCTCCGACGACGACGCGGAGGGAGAAGTTAAGGCGGGAGGAGATGCAGGAGATTGCGATAAGGGCCTGAGGTATGGAGAATAGTGCTGGGGATGGGGGAGTAGGACGGTGGGCGTGGTGGGCGCCGCGGGTGGATGTGATGACGACGACGAAGTGTCTGCGACAGAGCTCCCTGCGGGATACGCATATCTCCCAACCGAGGAGGCGCCAACGTCAGTATGCGAAGGCTGGTAAAGCGAGATCATAGGCGCGGGCGTGTAGGACGGCGGATCGAACGGCCGTACCACTGCGCAGGATCAGTTAGATGATGAGGGTCGCGATGGACGATGTATTCACCTGGTTCTGGTAGCGGGTCGATCTCAGGGCGTTCGCCAGACGATTTCGGGCGTCTGCGTCTTCCCATGCGGTACACGAGGAACACGACGAGCGCGAGCAACACTGCAGCACCTACAGCAGCGCCCGCGATCGCGCCTTTGGGGAACGGCTTCTTCGCTCTCACTATGCGCGGAGGCGTCCACGGGTGGATGTCACTTGGCGTCAGAGCCGGCATTGCTGCGAGGCTGTCGAAGGCCGCGGTGTAGAGGATGTAGTCGAGGAGGAAGGATTGCTGGTCGGTGATTTCGGTGACGGTGATGACGAGGGTGTGGTTGCCTGGCGCGAGGTCGGCGTGGTAGAAGAGGTAGTTGGGCTGATCGGTGTATGGGTTGCGCTGCCCGTCTGAGGAGATTGTAGTCGTCTGCGGGGAGGCGGAGCCGTCGAGGGTGTAAGCTGTCGAGATGCGCCCGGGGTTCTGCCATTGCACAATGCCGTAGACAGAAATCGACGAACCTACGGGCGAGACTTGGTGAGATATGTCACGGCAATTAGAAGGAGATGCGTAGACGTACCGGTGAACTGGAGAAGCACGTAGTCCCCGGCTTTCGTGCTTCGATGAACGGACTTTCCGTGTGGTATTTGCTGCAGCCCGTCTCCAGTAGCGAACATCTGGTCAGACTGCTCGCTCCAAGCCCCCGTGTAATTCATTGCGGCGTCGCTATCGTCGACGAGGATGCTGCACCCCCGCAGAGGTGTTGACTGTCCAGCTGAAATGACGGCGTAATCAAAGTAAACATTCGTGCTGAAATCCAGTGTGATGTCGTGATACGTATCGGCTAAATCAGCGAAGTTGAACCACTGTTGATATATCTGGAACTGTAGGCCAGGTGGGTGATAAGTTGGCGATGCTCCGTCAATGGATGCTACCAGCTGGCCGTCAGCATGGCCGTAGAACGCGATCGCAGTTCCTGAGTCGACATTATAATATCTCGACACGTACTAATCGCAAGCAGTACTCACCTTCAAACCCGTATCCCAATGACCCATTGCCCTCCCCGAACGAGCTGTAGACCGTATATGTCTCGTTTACCCAGATGGGCTCTGGCAAGGACAGCGACCACGGCGAATTGAAAGTGAAGTTGGCGTCTGTGTTGTCGACAAGGACGGCGAGGCCCGAGGAGGGCATTTTTACATGGCGAACGTGGAGAAAGCTGTGGAGAACATGTTGTTGTGAATGTCAGAACAGCGCAAATGTCGGAGGGTCTCGCCCCTGGCACTCCAGTCGAAGCGGACATGAATCAGGAAGCGCCCGTCTATTTTCTTTCATTGAATTGATTTACAATTACGTGTTACGCGATCAGCCCCGATAGTTTACTTCCGACCTAGCTCTGTACTGCTCGTAGAAAGGCATGTGGGTCGTCCCAGTGGACCTAGATGGACGTGTGCATCAATCTCTTTGCTGTATTTCCATACGCCATACTCACAAAATGATTGCCATCAGGAATCGCCACGAATTCCATGGGCCGGGGTCTTATACGGCGGAGTACGCATTCGTCGTGGATCTCCTTGATTCGATGGGCCGCCCAGATCGTATGCCACGGCGATCTACCACACGCTATATACACCACGCTCAAATTGAAGAAGTACCTCCCGGTCGTGCACTCGTCGAAGAGACAGCTCGTCGCCATCCGATTGATGGACTTCTGCATCGCCTCGGAGAACCTAGCATTCAGTTGGCAAATGGTGAGTACTCCGATTTCGTACCACGCCGATATCGGCTACATACCAATGCAGCTCCGCCCTAGCAGCTCCATCCTGGCTGAAGAACCGGTCGTGTTCCTCCTGGGACCAGGAATCCACCGTCGTGCGCTCGGTCCTTTTGCGCGAGTCTAGCTCGTTGATGGATCCACCCCACCCCTCCGGCACCTCGAAATACGAGCTCACCCAGAACTTGAAGGTCTCGAACACTTCTTCCGGACTCTTCGTCGTTGCGTCACCCCATGGATCATGCAAGACCGTATCCGCGGGCAGCTCCAATCCGAAAGCGAGGTGTGGTGGATCTCACGTGTCACAAATCAAGGTAAGTGCTAATCCGTTGTCATTCATATCGTCTACTCACCGTACAAGACCAGTCGCCTCACGTATCTATCCAGCAAGTGATAGGTCTCCAGCGGGATAGCTTCGGGGAAAGAGAACGGTGCCATCGCTGACACCGTTCCAATAGACCAACCCACTACGACAACGCCACCTTCCTCAGGTATCCCTGTCTCCCGGATATACGCTGCGATGAAGAATGCGATCCGAACGGCTGTCCTCTCCAAGAACTTAGTGTCCCCATGTCTCAGCTCCTCCAGCTCGGTATCCGTATACCTGGCCGATCCAGGATATTCGGTGCGGTTCAGCGCTACTGTGCGAAGATTATAGCTTGCCGCCAGAGGGTGGAGGCGTTCGAAGGTTTCTAAATCTCGATTAGAATTCGCGAGAAACAGGAGGGGGTCGTACAGCGTTAATACATACGCCCATTCACCGCAGCTCCGTGGATGAGTATCACGGTCGTGTATGTCATCGAGTTGGGTACGGGCCCGCTGTCCGTATAGGACAGATGGCTCCCGTCCTGCAGGCTCAAAGACGAGGACATGGACGACATGAGGGAGGAACTACCGTGGCATCGGGCTGGCGACACTTTCTCATGCGCTGAGTAAGCTGTCTCTATCAGAATCAAACCCAGTGTAAATCTGACCATACTTGAATTACTGCCAGTATGGCGGATAAATGAACTAGATGCTAAGAATACATTTAAAAATAACTTAGAACGAACGGTCAGATTATGATTGCAGGGCAGACTCGACTACGTCTTCGCGGCTCTCCAGCACCCCATCAGCCTCCGCGCGATCGTCAATCTCTCGCTTCACCTTCTCAAGGATGGCAGTCCTAAACGCCCTCCCCAGCTCCTGCGCAATAGGGCGGAACGCCATCCCAAACGCACTGCGCATCTCCAACTCCTCCACCTCCCGCTTCTTCACCTTCTCGAGTACCGCCGTCCTGAACGCGCGCCCGAGCTCCTGTGCAATGGGCCTGAACGCCATCCCAAACGCGCTTCGCGCCACCAGCTCGTCGTGGACCGCATCGTGCAGATCCCGCGCATCGAACTCCCCTCCATCGTCAGCCTCCTCGCGTCTGTGCATTTTGTTGGCGATAACCTGCTTGATGACGTCCCCGAGCTCCTTCGCGAACGGGCGCAGCGCCATCCCCAGAGCAGATCGCGCTTCCAGGCGCTCGTCATCAGCGAGGCTGCGCTCGCTGTTGTCCTTATCTTTATCGTTATCGTTGGGCGGTGGCTGAGGGGGTGCGTATCGCGCAGCAAGCTCGACGATGCGGTCGAGCTGTTCACGTCGTGCTAGCCGTTCGTCTTCGTGATCGTCTTGATCGACTGAGCGTGCGGCGAGGTCCATAACGTAGTCCAGAGCTGCTCGGCGTTGGTGGTGATTATCGCCGCTAGCGTGGACGTCTCCGTCGACTTCGCGTGCGCTGTGGTTATGGGAGGAATCTGAGGGAGTGTTGTGATCGTCGTCACCATCGAGCTCTCGCGCTTCGTGCCCCCAGAAATCTGACTCGGGTTCGGGTTCACGAGCGTAAACGCTGGACATGTAATCGATATCTCGCACAGCGAAAGTGTCGTAGGAGGGTTTCACGGCGTCAGAGCCCGTCGCTTGATTGTCACTATCAAAAAACGCAAGGTGAGTTGAAGGGATAGCGGCAATAGTTTCAGGACTTACGATGAGGCATATGTCATTCCAGCGTGGAAGATTGAGCAGGCGAGCAAGAACGCCGGAATGTTATTGTGAACCATGATGAGAGATGACAAGAACGATACAGTGCCCAGCACAGGAGATGCGAGTAAAGGAAAGCGAAAGGCCGAAGAGACTGACGAAACTCCCTTCGTTCTTTACAGACTTTATATGATGCCCCAATACATTCCACAATGTTTGAGAACGAGTACCGAGCTCACCGCATGGCGACACTATCAGCAGGGTCGACGCGAAACGCATTCTCCGCACCCGCCACACAGTGCTCGCGAACGCAATCGACTCGTTTAAGTCGGGCGGGGATAGTCGAAGGCAATTGTAACACGTTCGAAGCTGGTTGTTGAGATGAGGGATGATCTGCTGTTGTCGGGCTGGCTGATACGCGGTTGGACACTGTAGAAAGTGCCAAGCCTGCATGCGAGTCGGAGGAGTTTCAGCATTTCGAACGTCCGAAGGGCGCGGAGGGGCGGGCGCTAACGCCACAGACGCGAGGATGAAGTTCTAACGGTCGAACAGGCACCGGGAGGCTCGACTCCTAAGCTGTATTGCAATCGATACCGGCGAGTCTACATCTTATCCCTTCCTCGTACGCCTCCGTTCCCTAAGATTGGAAACTGAAGTACTGACGGTCAAATAGTGCGTTGGCAGGCTTTAGCTCTCAAGATGGCTAGCCTCTCATGACGCCTTAGCTAGAACGCGGCTTCGTCCTGCGTTGTCTCCATCAATGGTGTACCCCGCTCCGCCCCCAGCCCCCAGCGCCCCTCCATACCATACACCTAGCGCACTATTTCTCGGCCCGCCGGACTCCTTTCCCTCGGAGCTGGACGTCGGAGCCCTAGCTTGCCCATCTTGGCCAACGACATGGGCCGTAGACGACCACGTCGTTATTTCGCCGAAATACACACCACCCTCAAGGGTCAATCCCGTTAAAGTGTGTCCGAAAACTCGACCAGCTTGTGAGTCGAGTCGCCGTTTTACTGTGCTGTTAGCACCCATGTCGAAAAAAATATCGAACAGTTTGGAAGTGCGCCGTGCAACGTTGGGGGAATCGCACAAGACTATTCGTGGTGTACCTTTATCCCTCTATCCAGAGCCAGGGCTTCGTTTAGCGGGGTAGGTGTTTCGCTGGGTGTCCTCGAGGCGAATGGGAGCATGTAGTCATGCTATAGATATTCTTGCGGGAGTTTTATGATTTAGTTGACCATCAACATCGCCCATAGCATGGAGAAAAGGGTATGAGATCCCCAAGCGATACGTCAAGTCCTATTCTCAACGGTTCCAATCAGCAATTCCTAGAAGATCAAGTGCTTGACATACACAAACTCGCTGGCAGTCAGTTGTGAGTCACATCGGAAGTCAGGACGACTTGCGGTGTACGGTGTTGCTGAACATGGCGCCCGCACGAATGCTTTGACAGTTGGCAGAACCAAGTGCAGTGGATCAGGTCATTTATGCAGGATATAGGTCTACTCGGGCTGCGGTGTATACGGCAATGGTGTAGGCAGTAAGATGATTGGTACGTGCTAACCCGTTGGTTGACCTGCTTCCTCAAGGCCCGCTCTCTTATCCCATCGAAGTCCTTTGTCAATTCGGAACAACTTGGTTGTCGCGCAAAATGACCGACAAGATTTATCGTCTCTTTCCCAGGCGACGCACGAGCGAATGAGGGGCTCCCGGATCGGGTCGACCAGTGATTGATGTACTGCTCGTTGCGACGTAGAGTCGTTCGAGCCGCAGAAGTGCGAGGATGGCGCGCTTTGCGTACATGCTGCCGGATGACAACAGGACCAAGTTATGTACAAGCCAAAAACCGTGGGGATCAAGAGCCACTGGAGAGAGATAGCAATATCAGCGTTGAGCACGGCGCGCTCGAACTGTTTTTGAAACTCTGATCCGATCATGATCAGATTACGTGACTCAGAGGTAGTGCACAGCCACGATCGCCCTTGTTCGACGCCATATCTGATTCCGCGGTGTAAGACCTTTCGAACTCGCAGTTGAGCACGTATACTGATGCCTAAGGGATGGTATTTCTAGCGCAGAGAATGAAAGACCTCCCAAACGAGATTGTATACCACATCGTGGATCTTGTCGACTGTCTCAAGACGCTATGGAAGCTCCTCACGATTTCCCAGCAAATGAGCGCATTTGCTATTCCTTCTCTGTACAGAGAACTTACATTTGACTCCCACTCCTTGACTAGTACAAGTTCCAGTTCGTCGCCTCATATCGATGCGCTGGCGAAGCTCGCCCGAACCGCCAAGTCCAACAAAAACCTCCGATTCACAAAGTCCTTCACCGTCTTCCGATTCATCTCCCCCCTGATTGAGGACGAAAACGTAGACAAAATACTGCCATTCCTACCAAATTTGCGCCATCTGAGCATCAGAATACCCATCATAGAGCCGGAGACGCTGAGCCTTGTCCCACGGCACGCACAGCTCACACATCTTGTCATAGAGAATACCGCCTACTCGCCAGAATTAGAACAGCTCCTTATGGATCACCCGACGCTGAAGATCATCCAGATGAGTGGGTTTTGGACTGCGGATACTCCCCCGTTGTCGCCGACCGCACTTCCCATGCTCCACTCTCTATCATGTTCACTCCGTGTCGCGTCGAAATTAGGGAGGCCTTCCGTGATTCATCTTAAAATTGACAATTTCCCTATGGACAATCGCTCTACCCCCATCCCAAACGAGCTTGTGCGTGAAGTAGCAGCCGTGCTCCCCTCTGTGCGCGTGGTGGACTTCACAACTCCAATCCACTTCCCATCCGCTGCTGCGCTGATATCCCTTCTCCCAAACGTAGTGTGCCTCAAACTTCGCGAGCGCTCCGTAAGCATTCTGCCCTCAGTCTGTGTACTAGGCTCGACTGACACGCGTGTGTTGAGAAAGCCGCTAATTGATCTAGATTGGCAGCATCTCGCAACTTCGAGTCTGAAAGCTATCATCTTAGTCGTTCCAGCGGCAAGCACGCGTTCGAACGAAGTAGCTCAGAAGGCATTTCGTGACATTGAGAACTTGGAGTACCTAGCCGTGGAAGCAGGAATAGGGTCGTCAATGCGCTATCGCCGGTCCCTGGGGGGTCCCATTGTTCAAATCATCGACCATGATTGGCAGCCTTGGGAAAAGATGATGGCCAGTGGCATATTTTGAGACATTTCGCGCTCGCTTGTGTCTACGAAGATTGGGATCCTCGTAGTCTAGTCGCCACACTAACTGCCTGTACGATCTGCAATGTATTGAGTCTCTCTGTTCAATGAATCGGGACTGCTTGGCATGCTTACTTCCCTTGCTGAGTAACGACATCTAAATCCTCCCGTTCTTCCTTCCATGATCCCATGCAAGTTTCTGTGACGCACTGCCATTGTTTCATTCAGCATATGGATACTCTAGATACTCCAGATATGTATAGTCACAAATGTCTCTACGTACATAGTCTCTGTTTGTCTCCCTGAACACATGTCCCCAAAACCGCCGAAAGGCAATCAACCATCTACTTGCGTTTCGTTCACTATCGTCTGAATGGTGGCGTCGATGAACCGGATGAGATGGAGGTGTGTCATCTTCGTTCGCGAACGCAGAAAGACTGTGGGCGGAAGGGTAGCAGACAAGACCAAAGAAACCGGGCTGTTGTCTTCATAATTTGCGCGGACAAAAGCTCCCAAAATCGTCATAAACTCACCAATCACGCCTGGAATCACTCTTTCTGGGACTAATTTGGCGATCTTAAACGTATCCAATGATTTTCGTTGACGGAGTACATTGCGCAGTCCCAGAGCTCCGAACGATCCGTCGTGCAGCTTCCTGACAGTGATCCGATCGTCCTTGAAAAACATTGTGTTCGCTTCGTCTTCGGATTCTCAGAGCAAACGGCGCAAAACCGTATATGCGAATACCCATGCGAATGATTCGAGATGATGCGCTTCCGTGTGTTGGATCGGGTTGCTGTTCACGATAGACTCCAGGATTTCTCTGGCCATGAATTGCACGGTCCCCTGCAGTTTAGCTGACATCAGGGAGATACTCGATTATGAAGAGCCGAAATCATACAGTCATCTGGACGCCGCGCTGAGCAGTGCTGCATATCGTATGCTCGGGGGCTCCGGGAATCCTCGTAACATGCACGACTTGATCAATCGAGGCAAATTCCAAGTCCATTACGAACCCTTCTTCGCCCGCGCTAGGGGTATGCGAAGCAGATATCATGATATTCCCGGCACTTATATTGCGGTGGAGAATTCCATGAGTGACAAGTTGCTGATGACCTATCGGGCGAAAGCATACTGAGAAGGCGCCCTCGCGATAAAGCCAACGGTACTTACCGACAACGGCCGCACGGAACGCTCTGAATAACTCAAGATAGTCCACAAAATGCAACAACGGCCGCCCAATGGTCTGGAGGATGAGGCGGTGGACACAGTGTCGCCTCCTCGAAGAAAGCGAGCTACGCCAGGGGGTGCCCATTGAGGCTCCCATAGATGAAAGCCTCTCCCGTGCGATCGCTGACGCGCCATGAATTCTTGAGAACCGAATCGATGCCCCAGCAGCGACTTGCCAATTGCCAGACTTAATCACACGCCATATATTCGTCCCCCCCGACCAATGAGGGATAGAGGCACCCAGATGGGAGGATCAATTGTCCCCCACACCTCATGGACCCATTTCGTAGAAGCTGCTCCATGCTCCATGGTTGAGAGCTCCCTCGGGCATAAGGTGGGAAGTCTGGAGATACACCGAGTGTAACTGCGAGATTACGATTATCATTGTGGAGATCAGGCGAGTCGCGCAGAGGTATAGCAGTAGGGTCGCGCCCGAGATCAACATCCGAGAGGCGAGGGCTGACAAGCCTACGAACCACTCGGATAAACGTTTTGAAACCGATTCCACCGTCGCAGAAGTCGAATATAGGGGAAAGCGATACGCCATCGCGGTCGAAGATACCCACCATGAACTTGGGCCCGAAAACGAGAAGCGCAACCGAGAAAAGCTGAAAAAACCGACACGACAGGGGTAGTCGAGCATAATCAGCGGCCTGTAAGACAACTTCGGAGATGGTTGTACCTGTCGCAACAACACCTTGGTCCTCCCTCGCTTTGATCGCAACGAGCCAGTCCACGTCGATCCAAGAGTCACACTCTGGGACGCAAGATCCAGTTCCATCCGGCGAAACGCTTGGAAAGCCGGTTGTATATACTTCGCCCTTGAGTTGCCTGTTCGCAGCGATCGTGATGTTCCTCGTCGCTTTGGGTTCACTCGCGTGCGAGTAATTGAAGATATAGCCACACAGTCGTTGCTAAAGAAAATATCAAATTTGGAAGATGCGACAAATTTGTAGACTCACGAGCGGTGGGTACATTTCTACCTTCCAACCATCCCCCTTCGCCCGTGCATCGAGCTCTGCAGTGTGGTCAGATTTTCTGACCGGGGGTCTCGCTGCTGCGGCCACGACGCTTTCGAGGTCATCAAAGAGTTCCTCATTCTGATGCGCAGACATTTCAGCACAGGAATCTACCAGATCATTCGATATCGAGGCGTCTGAAAACAGACGGGTCAGTCTTGAGAACTTTGCCCGCTAATTCTTCACGAACGACGCTACACATAGCGGTAGAAGTTTATTGCTCTGAGCTGAAATTAGCGGGAGCCGTAAGAAGCCCTCCAGGCGAGATATTGTTACTTGTGGTGGTGGCTAGACTATACCAAGTCTCGGAGTTGAATCTGATTGACACATTTTTGCAAATCGATCACCTGATATGATCTTTTTTTGACTGAGGAGTAGTTGGTTCTGGAGAAAAGCCCACAAACTACGACATTAGCGATGTTCCCCAGCGATCCGTTCTGCTCTGCGCGCTGGATTCTGCATGTCGGGTCGATGCCCACGGGTGCAGACAAAGACGGGGATGATAGACCTAGGACCGTGGCAGGGGAGTGCGATTGTAGCTGAAACCCGGTCAAGTTCATTCGAAACCGAAGCTGGCCCTGATAAAATAGATTACACCCCGGATAACTGGGCATGTCGGAGCTTAGCGGTTTGAAATTGCCAAACCGCGTCGACATCTCGTTCTTATTCCTTTCTCCGTCTTTGTGACCGGGGTATAGGTTCTACAGGTTGGTCGTTTCGTTTGAAAAGTAGTACAGAGGGGGAGCTAGGAGGGGGAGTCGTGAACGAAGGGAATGTTGGATATTTGGAGAGCGAGGCTGGGAGGAACGAAGACCACACCGTCCAAGCTCAGCTCAAAGAGCGAGCAGTTACAGCACGCTGCGTGCAGTATAAGTGCAGTGTATTTTCTGTATTATCATGATCGTCTATAGCAACTGGGCGCTTGACGCTTAGCAACGATCGTCTGGACCGATCACGATCAGAATTCCTTCAAAACCCGGAGCTCTCATCTTGAAGCTTTTCTTCCATGTCCTCCTTCCTCCACGTACCATTGACAGACGTCCTGCGGTGCACACGCTCGTTTACAGAGTGGACTCAAAGTCTTTGTCGTTGTCTTCGACAACAGTGTTCCTAGCTGTTCTTCGCTCGCAATGAAAGGCAACCCTATCCAGGTTCGTCACGAATGTCGAAAGCGAACGGAACTCTAGCTGCCACCCGAATCACCAGTCCGTGACGGACGCTCCATCTTGCAATGTAGTCGTAAGCCGATCAGTTTGGTTCGCCATGGACTGGGCGCAAGAAAATCCCTACAGCCTCTCTTGGTGCACTTTCGCGTAAAGCAGACAGGCTTGTTTGACAATGGAACGTCGCCAATGGTGCCACCGTTCGTGCTGCGTAACTAAGCGGTGTGCATTGGCTCTACAAACTTGTTATCGTGGTCCATAACCCCGGCTCGTTGCGTAGACCTCTGCAAGAGCAAATGAGTCTACTAGAACCGTGCATCCTCTTACGATGTCAGACCCCAAGGAGTGCTTGCATGTCATTACCGTTTATTTTGTTTGATTTGTACGCCATGCTGTTCATCGTAAGCCATGCATATAGACAGTCAATTCTCAAATTCCACCCGTTCTGTCTGATTTTGCGTAACCCAGTCTCATCTTAGAGATCCCGAACGTCAGGCTCTTGGACTTCTGGCGTGTTGATTCCTGATACTGACGCCCATATACATGTTAAGCAAGGTACACCACTTTCTCTACTGTGTTCGCCTCCAACCACGCTTGCTCAAATATGATCCCCAAGCCGATCCTCTCTACTACTCCCACTTTCCTGGCGGAGTCGGCTTCTGTAGGCTTCACGGCCATTACATATAAAAACGACGAAGAGTACATTTTACCATAGATGTTCTCGTCGTAGATTCCCGTTTCTCCGCCGCATCTTGACAGAACGACGAGTTCAACTTTCGTGAAGGCAGGCTGCGATCCGGCTTTGGTTTGTAAAGGTATGAATATCCGTCCAGCAGCGGCTACACGAGGGCCCCCGCTCATGAGAGCGAACAACCCATTCTGAACTTCAGCGGTCCTATCACTCTTCAGAGTGTCTAGCTCCCCTACTTCAAACGTAGCAACCGTTGTCCGAAATACGAGAGTTCCTTCAGGTAGCCGCGGAATCTTCTGCACGTCCACTGGGCCCTTCGGATGAGAATACCTCTTATTCTGCGTCGGGAAGCCTGAGGGACCTGTTCGGCGGACGTCTATCGACTTGGCAGTTCCGCCTTCGACGATATACCACGTATCGACCAAGGATTCAGATACGCCGGGATGGCTTCCACCGAACGACCATTTATCCAAGTACTGGATGCCCCCGCGCCAGCCGACCCACGACCACGAAGGCCACGGAGATCCAGCTGGAATCGCTCGACGCACAAGTGCCGCGCTATCCACGGGACTCCACAGCATAGCATTGTCTAGATCTCGTAATAGCATCCCGTACTGGAATGCTGTCTTGTCTAGTCTGTACGCCTTGGATATGGTGGTGATCAACGCGGAGACGGCGTCAATAGCGTCGAGCTCATTAGTGAGGTTTCGGGGTGTGTATTCGTCGACTACGGATTGATACCCGCTGGTGAAGAGTTTTGCCATCTCGCGCGAAGGCGCGTCTCTGAACATGAAGCTCATGACTCCCGTAAAGCGTAGGGGGTGGTAGGCGTCCGATTCTCCTCTATGTTCAGCGAAGACGTCCTCGGCCCAGATATCTTCTAGACATTGGAAGTAGACTTGCTGCTCGGTAAAGAAAATTCGCCGCCGGGAGAGCATTACCTCCTGGTATGTCCAGCCCCTCGTCCCCCATACGGACTTCGCCAGTACTTCTTTGAGGTCAGGTAAAGGCACGGCGAGATGTAGATCTTTCACCACTTCGATGGTTTGATGTTTTTCCCGTGTTCCTGGCCGAAAGCCGGGAAGACCGGCGCGTGCATCCTGTCCTCCAACAGCGAACAAAGTTACGAATGCCCCTCCGTATATCATTTCCATCACCCCAATCTGCATCGCCTTATCATCTGGACTATCCTGGACGATACAGAGTGCGTCGATCCACAGGTATCGTTCCCCGAGTCGTTTGCATAACTCGATAGAGTCGACAATCGTAGCCGGCAGAATCGATACGTCCAGTCCTCCAGTCCTCATGCGCCTCGAGATATTCTCTTGCATGGTTTGGTACGTCGAGCCAACTCCACCCCAAACGTACGACAGCGCAATGTACCGGCAATCGTCGGGTACAGGTATAATGCGCATCTTCTTCACATCTACCATCCTCACCGTCTTCGGTAGGCGCTCCTTCCAATCCCTCCACCAGACCTTCTCGCAAACGTCCTCATGTCCGTCCTTGCAGCGCTTCATCCACGTCTTCAGTAACCCAATATCGACGACGTCTTCTACTTTCCTACCATGAGCGTCCGTCTTGCGATTGAATAACAGTGCGTCCTCTTCCATTAGTTGGATATCTTGGACAAGGCGAGTGCGTGCTGCCATCGATAACTGGGAAATCCGTGGAGGACGCTTCGAAGGGAGGACACTCAGCCGGTGGCAATGTTCTTTCAAAGGCGGCAGCGGGCTGGTAAAGCAGCCCCGTACTTCTGAGTATAAACTACACGTCACGCTGCGTAGCTCTTCGTGCAGATCGGCCGGTAAGCTATCCAACGCCCAGGACCGCTGGAATGCAGTGTCGACCAGCCTACAGAACGCGCATGGTGTCGGCGCTTTGGCTTTCTGCACAATGTCCAGCAGCGGGCCCAATGGAACGGCGTTCTCTTTGGAGACGCCTTCTGCGAGCATGGCATGAAAATCGATGGCGGCGCACGTAGAGCATAACGCGGTATTTGGACTAGGGTAGATTGACGAGCCATTGGATGGGTTGGATTTGGATGTGATAGATATATGGCTACGTATACCTAAGAAGTCTTTGAGCGACGTTGTCCGTACTTTATGCATTGTCTGATGTGGTCGACTTGAAACGTTGATGTTGGAGCATCTTGCACTGATGCAGGTCTCCCTGACAATTCTGACAATTGGCGCCAACGCTCATCTTACGTTGGAACCGGTTCTCCTAGCCCCTGTACTTCGTTCAGGGCCTGACTGTCTTTCGCTGCATCCACTTACGTGCCGCAGCGAACTCTCAAAGAGACTCATTCTAGGTGAGATTGAATTACTAATTCTAAGTCGGCTAGCGGGTCCCGTTACACGAAAAGCAAGTGACGGCCTCGCCATCCTCATAACAACATCCCTTGCACACCACTCTCCCACATCCCCCTCCATCGGCGTCGACTTTCACGTTCCCATCAGCAAAGGTCAAGAGCGAACTTTCCTCAAAGGGTATCCGGACGAAGAATTTGGCTGCGCAGCTAGCATTATCGTGAGGTCGATCGTTCGTGGCATTCTTCCTTTTCTTTGATGCGTCGTCAGATTTCGCCGTGAGATTTACACTTAGAGAGTTGGTGTCGTTGGCAGCATGGAGAGCGAGGCGTCGGATGGGGAAGGAGGGGGAAGGGGTTGGTGTCGGGGTGAACGAGAGTTGTGGTGTGGGAGGATAAGAAGGAATGTTTTGAGTACATCGTCGGGAACAAATGGCACATGAGATGGCGTTGCATCTGTCAGATTGGTTAGTAATCGGGACTAAGAGAAAGGAAGAAACGTCTCCACGCACCGCGCACACTCAACGATGCCCGTTCTGGTCGCGTGCAGAATTCGGCGACAAGAAGTACAATAAGCGTTCGTGAGGATAGGATTCTTAGGACCTCCAGTAGCTGCTAGTTTTCCTTTCGATTCCCCCGTCGGCGACCCTTGAGTCAGCACGGATAGCCCGGTTGGAGTGGACAGATTCAAAGGGCCATCGTCATTAGAAAGATGAGGCGGAGGGCTGATGAGTCGACGCCGTTTGTGAGATGCTTGGGTTGGGGCAGAAGTTCCAGTGAACATCGTCTTCGATGATGGATGGCGTTTAGAGTGAAGCATGGTCGTCGCGTGCCACAGTTCACTCGTGGTAGCAGGGTCGCGACTTAGGCCCCAGGAGACAGGGGTACTCTCATCTAATCAATAACAACGATCCAATGTGAGGGACTGGCCATGGCGGAACCACAATGATCGTGGCTCCTGCAAATACTCTTTATCTAGTAGATCCCATTCTTTCATGCTCCGAAGCCTTACAGAAGGGCGAAATCCACCGTAAAGAGACACCTCCCTGGGCGCAGCTGCCCATACTAACCTTGAGCACGAGGGAGATATCTGGCCGGATGAATCACGATGAAGAGAATCGCTGTGATGGCCTGGGTCGGGAGCATACCACTAGACCAGCGTCAACGGGTGAAGGAGAACCCGGACTATCCAATGAGAGACCGTTTAAATTTACAGTTAGCGCAACAAAGCCTTCGGAAGGGGGGTAAGGTGACTCCAGAGCCTCAAATGGTTTGGTGTTCAACGCCGTGGGATCGGTTTGGGCCAAGAGAAGTATCCGTTCGCGATCTATGATTGCTGTTAAGCTACCGTGTCCGCGTTCGACGAAAAGAGTCGCCATGGAAGAAAGTATTGCGAGGTTGACCTATCGTGAAAGGATGGCCACCAATTTCATATACTTTTACTACGTCCTATTGAATGTCACGGTTCCTCATGATGGAGATCTGTTAGGGGATCAGGGGCTCGTCCCGTGCACAGACCCTCGTGAGAAGTTGTTGCCATTAGCGCCTTTGTTGATGGAAATGCGACTCTTGTGCTTTCACACTCATCGTCCGAACGCGCTCTCCAACATCACGCACGATGAGCACAGCAAAAAAAGGCTCCCAGAAGCAATCGAAGCAGCCTGCACCTCCAGCAGCCTCATATGACGTCCGGGACATCGTCCTTGGCAAAGTGCGCGGGTTCCCGTCATGGCCTGGCATGGTGAGTACTCTCTTCGCGCTGGTCGCGTCCGTCGTGCTCACTCTCTATCCCCGAACTCGCGGCGCGTGGTGCCTTTTTGCCTGGCGGAATCGTAGATTGTAGACCCCGCTGGAGTCCCTAAAGGCGTCTTGAAAGAGAAACCACAGGGAAAGAAGACGACGAGTCATTGCGTCCGTTTCTTTCCAAGGGGAGACTAGTACGTATTGTACATGTTCCCATTCGACATATCGGCTCATCTACACAAATCTCCTGTCACTAGTGCGTGGCTTGCGTCGAAGGACATATCGAAGCTTCAAGTGCACGAAATCCAATCCTACCTCAACGCACCTCACAAAAAGAACGGAGAACTTCTAGAGGGTTTCAAGATTGCCCTCGATCCGAAGGAGTGGGAGGAGAACATCGAGGAGCGCATAGCCGCGCTCGATGAAGCCGAAGCCAACGCCGATGTCGACCAACTAGACGATAGCGACGGGGAGGGTGGTGAAGGAGGCCAGAAAAAGTCTAAAAAGCGCAAACGAGAGTCGGATGCGGCTAGTGCGTCGAAAACCAAGACTCCGAAGAAACCTAGGGCGTCGACGGCGAAGAAGGGCTCGGAAGAGCCTGCGTCTACCAAAGCTACAGCGAGGAAGACTCCTGCGAAGGGACGGAAGAGTGGCGCAAAGAGCAAGGCGATGGTAGAGTCGGAAGACGACGGCGAAGGCCGTGAGGAAGACGAAGAAGGCGACAGTGGCCCAAGCAATCCTGTCACTTCGCCACCTCCAGCCAAAAAGACTAAGCGTAACGAGAAAGAGGAAGAGGATCTTGAGGGTGAGTTCCCCCTCATTGAAAGCGAGCCGCCACTTTGCTCATGTTGGCGCCAGCTGATCTGGCCAAAGACCCCGAAGCTGTTAAAGTACGAGAATGGCGCCACAAACTCCAAAAGACGTTCCTAAGTCCAAAGGCGATGCCTAAGGAGGATGTACGCGGCCACAATTTCTACTCCACTTGGTACTTATGTCGTATAGGAAATGCCTGCCATCGACTCCCTTTTCACCACCATCGAGACGTACAACAAGATGACCATCCAGTACCTCCAAGTACGTCACTACGATCCCTCATTACCTCTCGAATCCTCACAACTGCTTAGTTTTCCAAGATCGGCAAAGTCATGCGCCATATCGCGGCTCTTGATGAGGGAAAAGTGCCTCGGGACGCCGAATTCAAGTTCCGAAACCGCGCGAAGGACCTCGTCGAGACATGGCATCATATTCTGAACCGAACGACGACCAACGGCAGTGGCAACACGAACGGGACGTCGGTCAATGGACTATCGGCAGCAATAACTGGGGCGGGCGACGCTAACGGGCATAGCGCTGAGATGGCGCAGTCGGATACTGTGGCGTTGACAAGCGTAGTGACAGACAAGACAGCGGCCATGGATTTGGACGGCAAGGCTGAGGCAACAGGTTCGCAGTATCGACTTTATCAGGAGGTCCATGTCTGACTACAGCGCAGAACCTACGACAACGATAGCTGCCGACTCGGGTGATGTCGCTATGGCTGATTAGAAGGCTTGCGCATCTCTTCAAGCTTTATCCGGATGATTACGGACTGCCGCCGTTTGCTTTTCCCTCGTTCACATTTTCGACCAGTCGTGCTTTTTGCTTCCCCGCTACTATATATGTTCATTCACCCTTTATCCCTTTCTCCCTCATTTTCGCGGCTTTCTTGTTCTGTATTTCCCGAATGAAAACAGTACGTACTGTGAAAATTCTCATAATGCATCTATTACTACTGTCCGCCTGTCCACCTTCATGGTCTGTAGTAATGGTATATAGACAGCCTTATACCATGGCAGTTTGTGGTTCGGACATGTATCATAACATCTTTTTACAGGCGATTCGACTATTTCAGGGCGATTCCGTATCGCTCCCCCATCCACGAAGAACCAGGCGTTCAACGACATTGTTGGCAGAGCAACGTTCGCGCCAACAAGGATGATGTTATGAGATGGAATGAAATGTATCCTGTGCAGAGGTGAGTTAAGTACAGCATTATCCGGATACAGCCCTGCCTGGCTGTTTACGCTGTATCAGCGATGAATTGTATGGTTGCGCCACACATGCCCGTTCCTGTCGCGAGCTCATTGTCGCCCCCACTAAGCACCTACTTACCTCCTGGTTACGGACATACATTGCCCGTCCGAGCGTCTATTGGTGTGGCGCTAGAGATATCACACGATTAATGATCTCGAGTGGCTATGCATGTTATTTCAACTTTTGGCCGTCGTGGGCTTCACAAAGAACTCGTCAAACACACGCGCTCACCATTTCCATCGTTCTCACCATGTTCATCCATCTTTCTTCCTCTACCACCTAGATTTCAACTACTGACTTTGCCTCACGTATCCTAATGTCCCTCATATCGGTTAGGCGAGCTCATTTGCCAAGACAAACACCAGATCCAAGCGGCGACGAGTCGCCGTCCAGCCCACAACCAACAGATAGCTCAATAGCAAGCGACCCTACAGTCCAGCAGCCTACAGAGAGCCAAACTACAACAGTCCAAGTGAGCACTCAGGTAGACGCTAGTTCTGCCATGGCTAGCAGTGATTCCCTTCCGCCGCTCACGGTGAGACAGGTTCGCCGTAATGGATACGTTATCCTGGTTGATTGACTGACTGCGATGCCTACAGGACTCTACGACAGCTTCTTCAGCAGGTCCGAACGAACCCACTGGCGCAGTGGAGAGCACGACTCCACCAACGTCGAATGCGAGTACGCCTTCGTGAGTCGATTGATGGCTCTATTGGTTCACATTATCTAAAACCCATTAGCTCGGAGCCGCCTCCCACTACATCAAGTTCATCTCCAACTACCTCGGTACCACCCACAGATCCTCCGACTTCCCAACCGACTTTGCCGCCGTCGTCGACCCCTACTTCTGAACCGACCGCCCCTCCGACTTCTACCCCCGAGTCTACAAGCTCCCAGCCCCAGCCATCGACAGAACCTCCGTCAACGTCAGATCCCCCGCCGTCAACATCAAGCGACCTACCTCAGACCTCGCAACCAAATGATCCGACAACTACCTTCTCGTCTGCACCGACCTCCTCAGACAACGATATTGTCCCGACTTCTTCAATGCCCGAATCTGTCTTCACAACGGAGATCGCTACAACGGTGGATGGCCAGCTGACAACGGTATGTAGTCCTCTCTCATTCCCCTCAATCCTCCCCTGACCTTTTCTAGATCACGAGCACGCTCCCCACGTCTCTCTGGTCCCCAGCCCCATCTTCTACACGCGCCACACCTTCGCTAATAGCGGGTGTCTCCGTTGGCGCCGCTGTCCTCGCCTTGATCATCATTGGCGGAATCTTCGCTTACCGTCGCAACCACCGCAAGCGAGTCATTTTCGGCTTTGTAGAGAAGCTAGTAGCCAAACGCAAGCACCAGCAAAATCGCGCCAGATTGCTGGAGGGTGAGGACTTTGGGGATGAAGACGTAGAGGACGTTGCTATGACGCCGTATAGGGATCGGGATGGGGCGCATTCGAGACTGAGTAGCGTGACAGGGGGCATGCCTATGGAGGTTCATTCTCGCGGTATGAGTGCGAGCGGGGCATTAGGTGATTTCGGCATAATTGGTGGGCGAGATTCACCTGCATCTACGCTCTCCGCAAGAGGCGCTTCCTCACCTTCCCTCTTTCGCGCTCGGGCGGAGAGCGGGAGTTTGTTCCGAGAGGAGGGCGTCTGGCCACCTCCGGGTGAAGAGAGTCGCATCGTCGATCCGTTTGCCAGAGGGATGGGTGCCGGCGAGAGCCTGTTGCCTAGCTCAACGGCGTACAGCGGCATCCCGTCCCCATCAACTGGACCTGCTCATACACCCGCCGCCACAAGATCCAGCTCCCCTGGCATCGCTGAAATAGGCGTCGGAGCAGCAGCTCCCTCCATCTCTACCGCGCCTCCTTCTCCGCCCGTCACGAAGGGTCCCTTCGCATTCATCGCTAACCTCACGCGTAGGACGGAAACTCCACCACCTGCGTATCGCTCATCACCTCTCTCTAACGCAGACGCCGAATCTTCGATGCCACTTCTAACAGCTGCACCTGTACCCGCACTACCTCCTCCTTCCCATTCTCCGAGTTTATCGGCTTTAATAGCTGCGACGGAGATCCCTATGCAGACGTCCATTCTATCATCGCAATCAACATTACCGACCGTAAGACCTGTAGAATCCGACACCCCAACCGTCGTCGGGTCATCAACATCCACCGGCTTACCTCCCGGCGCTGCCGCACCTCGTGCTCCCGGTACGATGTCCACAAGCCCGCCCCCGGAAGCAACCTCGTTTAACCCTGATGATATGGCTCTACCGTCGTCCCCGTCGCCCACATATCTATCATCCTCACCGCCCTCACCCCAGGCCCCATCGAGGCTGAATAGATTAAGCAACATCAGCAGCGGCAGCGTGAACGCTGACGGGTCTCCCAAAAATTGGCTGGAAAGGGCCGTACACCCCCGCCGATGAGTTCCCTACCAGGACATTGCCATGCGTGGCGTATTTTCCCTAGTGTCGTTTTCTTACATCTATATACGATAAGACGGACCTCTGCATCATCATTCTGTTGTCACGTTTTGCTACACATTCGCTATCGCATTACATATCTATCATGGACATCTGATTCATATTGCATTTTGTATTTACTCAGAAGCTACATACATTTTTCCACCAATACTGGTCGCGGCGTAGGCATGCCCATGGTCCACTGACGGAGTATCTGTATGAGCGTCGACAGACGAAAGACATGACTATAGGATATAGATTGGAATCGTACGTGATGCTCTAGATCTCAACCTTGACCGCGTTGAGAATGGGCAGGTTAGAGGGGATGTCGTTGAGCGTGTAGAACGAGCGAGTTAGCGGAGGTTCTCAGTCGTACCAGGATGTGGTGCGAAGCTCAATTATATTATAGTAAATATAACTACCTGTAGAACGAGCGAGTTAGCGGAGGTTCTACAATGGTATGTGTGAGTAACGCTAGATTATAACCGGGCAAGTCGAGGGATTACATACCTCAGTCGTACCAGGATGTGGTGCGAAGCTGAGGTATGGGAATAGGGGGCGACACCTAAATAGTAGGCGCTGGGACTAAAGCGGAAAGGGGATGTATATAAAAGGAAGGAAGAGAATGAAATAAAGACGAAGCCATTGCACGATCCATTCTTTACAGAGCGCGAGTGCGTAGCCGTCGTGGGCAAGGCGGAGGGCGATGGCGCGTCCGATGCCCCGGCTCGCACCTGTAACGAGGGCCACGCCTTTGAAGATGGACATTTAGATATGCGGGTACGCAATAACGGGGTAGGCGTTGCGGGTTGCGGGGGTATGGGGAGGTCAAGTGCGTTGGAGAAGGGTGGGATGGGAACGCAGGAGAAAGAGCCTATCTATATTATCCGATGGAATAGGCAGCTTATTCCGCTGACCTCCTCAGAACCTAACGCCACAGGTGCACCCACCTCCGTTAGGGCCTACTGATGGAGGATCACCTTGTGGCGTTAGGTGTTTCTTGTCCCGTTGTCCCTCCACGCCCCCTATCCACTGAGTCCGGGCCTAATGCTGGGTTAGGCCGACCCAAAATCACATTATTTTGGATGCCCTCAGGCAATTTTTAGACTTATCGTATCACAATTTGTACTGGGAATCATATAAATACACATTATTTACTACCAAATGGCTTAGATTGAGAGTGAAGAGGCATAAACTTGAAGCGTTAGAGCTTGCAAACACGAGCTCTAACACAATTCTACCCTCAATCATCCACTCAATCTCACTCTAAGATCCAGAAACAAGTCTTATCTGCTTCCAAAATACTTAGGGTTAGGGGTTATGGGATTGTTTTTCATATTTCCTAGGGAATTTTTAGGGATGGAATTTTTTCCCTAGGGTAGGGTAAGTGATGGTAGGGAAATGGTGATAGGGAGGACGATAGGGATACAGAGATAGGGAAATGATACGGAGCTGGTGGCAGGGAATATGGTAGGGAAGTAGCAGGGTTCATATGAGAGAGATGGTAGGGAATTGGTGGTAGGGAAAATAGCAGGGATGCATAACACACAGATGCTAGGGGAAAATGTAGAGGAATGGTGGTAGAAAAAACATTAGGGACACAATAGGGTACATGAGAGAACACTGCTAGAAGACTAGTGACAGGGAAAACAGTAGCAAAGGCACTAGCATGAAGCTTAGGAGCAAGGAATGGGGAAACCATTAGGGATGGAGTGAGAAATGGTGCTGAAAATGCCAAAGATGAAAATAGGGATTGATAAGATGTATAGAACAGTTGTGTGGCCGTCTTGGACGACCTGGTGTGTGGTGGGATGCATTGGTGGTGTGGGGAATGTTGTAACAGATTCCATCGATGTATATTATTACAAGACGGAGTCAATGGGTCAGTGCGTGGGAAGACGAAGTGGGTCAGTGCGTGGGATGTGGAATGGGACAGTGCGTGGGAAGGCGGAATGCACATCGGAGCGCTGACAGTTTCGTGGGAAAACGGAAGCAATTTCGGGGCGGTCATAATTTCGTGGGAAAGCGGGTAGACATCAGTCAATAGCGGGTGAGCACTATACGCGCTGCGTGGCCGTCCTGGACGGCCACAAGTGGATCATGAGTAAGTATGGACCAACAAAAACTCAGCATATATGCTGTAGAGTATGTTTCTGACCGTCCAGGACGGCTATACGCAGTGCATGTCAACAGTCAACTCCACAGCAAGCAAGTCAAGTAAGTGGATACACGCAATCACGATTATTTGGCGTGTCGGCGAAGAGCGGCGACAGGTAAAGTAATAAATAAGTAAAGAGTTGAGAAGAAAGCATCATTTATGGGTTAGTTGAAAGTAGAGATGAGAATGTGACAACTTGAACTTGCCGTCCCGGACGGACAAATGTGGGCACGTTCTTTGTGTGTGCATTATCGTTAATAACCAGCATAATATTCCATCATGTGTGAGTGTGTGTGTGTGCGTGTGTGTACACACAAATACAAAGCTCAAATGAATACAGGGCAAACAAAACGGTGGTCGAAAACTACAAATGTATGTCACGCGTCACGATTACAAATTTATGTCACACGTCATTATGTACAAATTTGGGTCGTCGCAATTGTCATTTTTGTCACGCGTCACATTTACCAATTTGGATCGTCACAAGTAATATTTTTGTCACGCGTCACATTTACCAATTTGGGTCGTCACAATTATTATTTTATTGTCACTCGTCACGATTACTAATCAGTCACGCGTCACGGGCGCTTAGACTATGGAAAAACCGTAGTCGTCTGGTCTTGGGCGCCTAAAGCGCTGACAAATCCCGCCCTTCCTATTTGGGCGAACGGCGCCTCTCTCACTACACCCGTCACCACACATCTTCGCCCTCACCTCATTACCAACAACCACACCATACAACACAACGACTATCACTCTTAACAATGCCATCCCTCTACATTATCTCGACAACTCTCGCTTCGCGTCGTTGCCGAGGACGACGACAACAACTCCAAACAGCAGTAATGACGGCGTTGATCGCCAATCAGGCGACGATCGAGGCAGACGGGAGACACGACTACGAGTCGTTGACTCACTTCGTCATCGTGTAAGTCAATTTCTTTGTCGTTCGCTCTGCGCTAACTTGTTTTAGCGGGGCCCCGCATAACAGCGTCTCAGAGTCACAATCACACGTGACTGTGAGGGGCTACATCGACGACGCCCCCGCCATAACCATTCACGTCAAATTTTCGCGGCGATGGAACGTAAAAGAAGTCAGGACGTTTCGGGGGGGACTGGCTTTGACCGCGTCCGACTTGGATTTTGTTTGGTAAGTAATGTCACATATACCCTTCTATTCATCACTAACGCCTTTTCGCAGTGATATATAGTAGCATTATGTAGCTTCCGATTTTTTGTCGACAGAATTGCTTGTAAAATTCGCGATCGATGTAGCTTCTGACGTCGACCATTACGTAGATGTTGTTTTGGCCCAGGTAAGGTACTAACAAAGATAATTAAAAATCATGCTGACAATGTTATATGTAGGCCACCCATCGCCCTCGACTGCTCGCCAGCCCCGACGCAGATCTCATTCATATAAACGAGCTCTATCACTGTAAGTTCTTCACTTGCTCTACATAATTGACCGTCCAGGACTGACATATTGTTTCATCCTCATTTCGTGCTGCGTTACGCGACGAATAAAAGCACAGGCGTGTCCAACGACACAAATACACGGTGAGTACGTCCACGCCTACTCATTTCGTGCGTGCTGTGTTACGGCGACGAATAATACAAGCAGCGTGTTCAACGACACAAATACACGGTGAGCACGTCCACGTCTATCTTGACCGTCCAGGACTGACAATTTGTGTCATGTTCATTTTGTGCATGCTGTTTTACGCGACGAATAATACAAGCAGCGTGTCCAACGACACAAATACACGGTGAGTACGTCCACGCCTACTCATTTCGTGCGTGCTGTGTTACGGCGACGAATAATACAAGCAGCGTGTTCAACGACACAAATACACGGTGAGCACGTCCACGTCTATCTTGACCGTCCAGGACTGACAATTTGTGTCATGTTCATTTTGTGCATGCTGTTTTACGCGACGAATAATACAAGCAGCGTGTTCAACGACACAAATACACGGTGAGCACGTCCACGTCTATCTTGACCGTCCAGGACTGACAATTTGTGTCATGTTCATTTTGTGCATGCTGTTTTACGCGACGAATAATACAAGCAGCGTGTCCAACGACACAAATACACGGTGAGTACGTCCACGTCTATCTTGACCGTCCAGGACTGACACATTGTGCTGAGACCTCAGAGATAATGAAAATACTTATTGAGTACTGCGTTTTCGTACACAAAAGTAAAACTAATGACGGGAGGGGAGGGGAGACGACTACGATATCACCACTACTAGCGCCTTTTCTTTGCTTTGAACGGGTTTGTTGGCTTCTTTGTCAGCGCGGGGAGATCTTTGAGCTCGACGTCAGTGCTGTGAGCAGAGAATCTGGTAGGTTGTCGATGTGGCGGCTGTTCAGCGTGTGAATGCAAGACTGCTGTAGAACAAAGTGCACTGAGCCGTCCGTATTGTCATGAGATTAGAGTAACACAAACCTTTGTTCCTAGTGAGGCTTTGGAGAAACGACGGAGGCCTTGGCTGTTCAAACTCATCTGAGTCTTCGTTCGACAGTTCTGAGGGAATTGGCGGTGAAGCGTTAATCCCTCGACCAATTGAGTCTACAGTCTCTTGTGATGAGTGTGGCGCTGCCTCTACCCCAGAATTGAGGTGATCATTGGCCCCAGACCTGAGGGCTTGCAGATTTGCAAGTCGCCCAGCACGAGATCCTTCCGCCTTTCTGCCCAGCTTCGTCTTTCCAAGAGTACTTCCAGGCGTAGGTGAGGTAGGCCTCGGCGAGAACCTGACACGCTTGCTATCTTTGTCCCGCTTTTTCTGAGGCGTGTCGG